CGATGATCCTCCCACATCATGAGCATGCAGAATGCGAACAAGCGTCAACCATGGAGAAACTGCATGAACTGGCGGCGTTGTGCGCTTCTTGCAAATCACGCAATCTTAAGAATGAGCGCGCATTCTTAAGAACGAGCGCGCATTCTTAAGAATGAGCACGCAATCTGAAGAATGAGCGCTCATTCTTAAGATTGCGTGGGAATATCACGTGCGCAATTTATGAATTTTGCGCAATCTTAACAAACATTGCACGGCATAATTATGTTAAATGAAAATTGAAATGTAATAGCGGTTAAAGGGGAAATAATTCATATAACGAGGAAAGAAAATGATCTATGCTTCTGTACTCGCCTATTAAACTACGATAATTTGAATCAAATTAAACCTGTTATTATTGCTTTTTTCTGCCCACTATAGGAAGTTTTGTAATAACGGAGGACTGGGAACTAGTCTGGGAAGTGCTTTGTTTAGGCTAGACAAGTTACAATGTCCATGTATGCATCATATGCATGTCAAGAAAAAAACGATGTCCATCATGTCCATAAGCTGCCAAAATTTCTCGTTTGACTAGATACAATCCAGCTCTGCGGCGTATATGGTTGGGGTGTGAACAATAGCAATTTAAGTGGCAAATAGCATTAGCGCTATGGGATGTCACAGTATTCATTCTCATTCTTCACATTTTTCATTCTTTATACACCCCCCCCCCCCCTTTTGTTATCCCAAAAATCAGAATTCTTTCCACTACACTATTATTATGTCTCTATTTTTTCCCGGTCCTCCGAATACGTGTATACTTTCATATCCACTCTACTTTTCATCGTTAAATCTTTTCCTACGGTAGGTAAGCGACCTTGCGGTGCAACATAATAATTGTTAAAGAGTCAGTGAACGAGGATGCAGCTAGACTTGCCAAGCGCAGCTGTAGTCCGAAAATTTGGGACTCTCAATACTGTGTATGAGAGTCCCAAAACTTAAGGTATCCATATCATGCAAAACTTTGTGCTGCATGATAAAACCAGTGTGAATCAAATTTGCAAGCTTCTTACTCACTACAGTTTCTTCAATAATCCCTGAAACTTCTGATTAGCGAGGTTGCTGTTGTGAGCATTGCATCACCAAAATTTCAGCTTTTAATTCTAATTTTGCAGAGAGTTATCGAAATCCATACGTGAGACATCACATTGATGTGTACTGCAATGCATTGTGCAAAAAGACTCCTCTGCTATAACATTTTCATGGTTTAGATAAAACAGCGCCCTCTTGTTGATCTGAGTGAATGCAAAATGTTTCGTTTTTTAGCAGAGGGCGCTATGTTCATTTGGCCATTGATTAAAAAACAAGTAAGCTGCAAGGCTCTTCCTACACCTACCCAGAATACATTGGGAATCACACACCCATTTCCAGAGCATGGAGATTGACGTGGGTGGTTTTTGAACTGCCAAAACCTTGCCTTAAAGGTAGAGTCCATCATTTGCAGCCATCCGAAAAGTAACTGGCGTAATTATTGTTGAAAAACTAACTTGGTTGAAAGATAGTAAGGAGACTAAACTCCCTGTGAAATTATTCTTTCTGGGAAGCTGTCATTTTGAAGTAATCAACGAAAGAAGGCATTTCCAACGGTGATTCTTAAGAAGCACCGTAGGAAAATTTAAATTAGTAGTTCGTTTTGTTATTCAGCGCAGCGCGCACAAGTATTCGAACGACGCACACGCGCGCGCGGTTGTTATAATTCGTCGGATCAGTGCGCGACGTCGCGTATAGTTGCAATTCAAAACAATTCAAAAACATGATTCAGCAACTTTTGATTTGAAATTGAGATCTTAGAATGCTGTTTTTCTCAGAATGTACAGCTGAAGCTTAGTTGAAACTTCATCAGGTTAGTTGCTCAGTATCCTTCATTAGATTTTGAACTCTTTTGTTGCTTCAAACGAACAAAATGCACAAATTACAAATGATGGACTCTACCTTTAAAATTGGATTTAAGGTCTCAAATTTTGCAGGTGACATGCTTGCAACTATAGCATTTTGATGTATGTGTTGTGTGGGCATTAATTAGCCAAATGGTGAGTAAAAAAACGTCAGTAGTAATTTTGCACGTTTCTATGCACTCACGGTCCCAGTCTGGCGCAGCTGGTGCTCGGCAGCGACAAGACCGTTATCTTGTCGTGCATTCTTAAGAATGTGCCCTCAATCTGGAAGAGGTTTTTTTTTGCGAAGATTGCGCAAGGATCCAGTTGCGCAATCATAAGAATGTGCATGCGCATTCTTATGATTGCGCAAATCACAAGAAAGCACACAATAGCGTCAAAAACAAGCGTCAACGTTCGTCAACCCAAATAAGTTTTGGAACATCAAAAAAAAACTTCAATTATATGGTAGAAATAGCGACAAAGAACACCTTCAGCATATAAATTAAACTTAAAATTATTTGAAAAGTTTTTTAACGCGAAACATAGGCCTACGACAAGTTAGTGTTGGCCGCCATCTTGTTTACGTGATGCATGTATGAAGTGTACAGTGCCAAACCAAACAAGATGGCGGCCAACACTAACTTGACAAACTCGTTGTACGTTTTGCGTTGAAAAAACAACTTTGTGAATAATTTAAACTTTAATTTATAAGCTGAGGGTGTTCGTTGTCGCTATTTCTACCATAGCATATAAAGCATTTTTTGATGTTCCAAAACTTATACACAACATGTTGATGCTGGGTTGACGACCGTTGACGCTTGTTGACGCATTTTAGTAGGACCCCATGCAGACTTGCCCTGTATGCACTGTCATGACTGTAGTGCAGTGGTGTTCCCTACATGTGTATTTACCTGTATTAGTTACCAGATTATCATTATGTGGCGCACTTCAACGTTTTCCCCGACTTTCCTCATGCAGTGTTGCCAAACCTCTTTGCTGACTAGCTTGAGTAACTCCAGCTGACATGCTCATAATCATTCATAAGTAGCGCTGGAGACATAACTAGGGAGAGTGTGGTAGCAAGAGACCCTTCCAGAATGGCCTCCCAAAAATTGTCCTTTTTCACCTCTAATATCCCACCCCAGATTTCATTTACATACCTCATACATTCAGCTGTCATTCACGAAGCTAATGATCGACTTGAAACAGACCACACAAAAAACAAATGTGAAAAATCTTGACGATTTCGGTGGCTTGTCCGTAAAAAAACATCCAGTTCCAACGGCTGTCGTCCATTTTGTTTGGTTAATTTATGTAAATGTATGCATCACGTGATGACATCGAAAAAAAATCTGCGCGCGCGATGTATGTGGGTACCACACCACTTTCAGGCGCCGCAAGAGAGTTCAATTTTCGTCTGGTGCGTTGTCGTGGAAAGCATTCTCGTTGTCTTGCTTTCCGCGACAACACACCAGACAAAACTTTTACCCAAGCATCCCACTTTTTCACCAAAATTAGGACTTCCCAATGGTTCCTTCATGTGAAATTTGTCTCTATATTTGCCAACCGAAGTGGATTCCGTCATTGTCCATGTGGAATGAAATGCACACAATTTGACAAAATATGCAAGTTAGGCTAGTGGCAAATTAGGAGACCCATTTCGGAAAGAACGTTGCATCCTGACGCCACTTTTTTCACCATGTATCTCAATGAAGGTCAGTCTAAAGACATGAATCTGGGACTGAAAATTATTTCCAATTTTGTTAGAAAATACTTTGAAAATGCATGCAACTCTCCATAGACCATGGTGCACAGACTTTGTAAAAGATGTGGCGTCTGAATGCTACATTCTTTGTCAAGTTTTGCCAAAAGGGACTACATGTATTGTAGTCCCTTTTGTCCTAATAAGTGAAAAAGTGGGATGCTTGGGTAAAAGAACACGCCATGCCGAGTTTATTTCTCGAACTTTCAATGGCATAGGATCTATCATTCCAAAGAAATTATCAGGGTGAAAATGGAGCCCATACGAACGTGTAGAAAATCTGGTTTGACGGCATCTTGGATGGCAGCGCATGGTACCCAGAATCCTTTCATTGCAAAGTAGTAGGAACCCTCCGATTTATCCGGTCCATCCACCCAGCGCATGCTCACAAGTCACATGATTCTCCAGTGTTGTTTCCACAAGTTAGTTAACGGCTGTTTCATGTCTCAACAATGCAGCCAAATGAATCGATCAGCTCAGCTCAGTGTAGTGGGACATTTGATTGTTCTAATTTCAGGTTAGCTTTTTCATTTGTACTGACAAATAAAAAACCTAACCTGAAATTCGAAGAATTTAGACGAATGTCGTACTGAACTGAGCTCAGCTGATCGATTCATTTGGCTACATTGCTTTCAAGGTATGTATTTTCAATGTCTTTATTTCTCAAAATTTTGTTAATTTTTTCTCGGCGTACTGAAGTGGAAGCTGCCATTTTTGTTGATAAACATAGTATGCGACCACAACCCTCTGTTGACTGGTTGTCAACTGCAATGCTCTCCGTTCTAGATTGAGCGGGAACCAGCAAAATACACATCGATACCTTGAAATGTGTGGATGTTTATACAATAGGGAGGTTTCGCAAGCGAACGGATACGCTTACACTTACGTTTAGCTATCCGTATCCGTTCTTTACTTATGTGTAGCGAGTGAGATATGCGTGTCGTCTGCAAGCTTAGCGGACAGTGAGTGGCGTATGACGTCATAACTGATGACGTATCCGTCGCACTAAACGTATCCGTTTGCATGCGAAACCTCTCTAATAATAAAAAAAACCCAATTTTGCAGAGTCACCCGAAAAAGGTGACTATTGAAAGTATGCAATACACTGATTTATGTTTACTACTTGGAAGCCTGATATAAATAATAATTGGTTAACTTTCCTACATGTATGTGAAAGTGAAATGTGTATGTACTTCCTACATACAATAAAACATGCCAAAAGCAGTGTGACTATTTCGTGCATGATTATTTCAGGTAGTGAACTGCGTGTTCCTTATGAAGCCCATAATTAACAATATCCTCTTTCCTGTATCCATACAGTTTAGGAACAACCATAGTCTGTAGTCAGGCTGCTGTGTCAGCACGTCTAAAGACCACACCCTGGACGCAAGGAACCAGACAATACAACCGAGCCAAACCCTTTTGCATGCCTTCAAGGCTTCCACGTGATATGACAAAGGCTTATGGCTAATTTGTGTGCAGACAACGATTCTCTGTCGGAAAGAACAAGCCTTATGGATTCCCACGCTGAGGCTCGCAACCCCACCCAGTCATTGGCAGCCGGAAGGCCCTCCACTGGGGTAATTTTTGGAAGCATTTTCCTTTTGTTTGTGTGTGTGCAGTGTGCATGTTTATGGTGTAAATCGAGGACACGCATGTGAAGCATCATCGAGCAGAACAGGAGTCAAATCGAGGACGACCTCGATTAGAAAACGTGTGCAAAACCAATGGGAGCTGTTGCAAAAAAAGTAAAACAAAAGATCGATGATGAGGAACAATAGAAAATCCTTGATTTACAGCCTGAACAAACGTGTGTTGGTTATGTGTCACTCTGAGGGACACAAATAAGACGTTTAAACAAGCTTAGACTGAGCTCCGTTTGGTTGTACATGTATTGTGTTGGCATGGTTGGAGTGGGGTTGACATGAATTTATGAGTGCTCCCTAACCCCTAGGGTATGGCTAGAAACCCTGCTGAACACAGCAACATGCAACACTTGTCAAAATGACAAGCATGTTAGCAAAATCCATCAGGTCAAAAATCACAATGCCCAAACTGCCTCACTCAGAGTCTGTGGTCATCAACTGCATCATGATGCAACTGTATGGCATTTTTCAATGGGACTAGCTCTCATTGTTTCAGAATTGGCCCTTTATGCACTGGCTTTGACTGTCTTGGGACAAGACGTTAATTGTATTTATTGGATACACGATCACCCCCAAAAAGCAGGTTATCACGTACCGGTATCTAATATACAACAACAACGTCTTCAGCCAAGACTGTTGCATTGATGGCTCACTGCAGCAAGGTCCCACATACTATTACACCTGATGAACTGTGTTGCGTCCGGCATGGTTAGGGTTATCCCATCTTGTCCATTGTCAGGGACAGATCTTTGTAAAGGTCTGTGTACAGTTATAACCTCTCAAGGTGACATGTTCCCATAGATCCATCTTTGATCAGGTCAAATTTTCAAAAAAATATTGCATCCTATAGTTTCAAGTTTATTTCCCCTAATGCGGCATGGAAGCATAAATTGTGATTTTGCATTGCCTGCAACATGCATAGCGTACAAATGTGCATGTACTATTGTTGCACTATCCGCATTTCTTTCAAACATAACACAATCCTCTGTCTGCCTTCGTATACATGCCAACATTTTCCATTTTGAAACTTTATGTTAACCACTGTAGCAAGTTAGCATGTGGTGGCAATTTTAATTTCAAATATAGGCCTAAAAGGCTCTCAAACATTGTTGCGGAGTATAGTAAAAAGTGGAAAAGCAGAAAACACACAAAGCTGTCCGTCCGTGAAAAAGTTTCAGAAAATGGAAGGGGAAGACACCAGCTTACACTTGGTTTGTTCATTGCAGAAACTGACATGTGTGCACTTGAATAATACAAGTACATGTACATGTACATGTATCCATTTTGCTTTCATTTCTGCTGAGGATGTGTGAACATTTTAGAACACACATTGAAAAGTTTACCCCAACTCCAATTACTTTCATGTAAGATCGATCTTGGCAAGATGGCATGTTGGGGAAAATTTGAACACAATCGATTGTAAGAAATGTACAAAGATGTATGGTTGACCCCCCAAAAGATACTTATTTTGTTGGTCGTGGACAAATAATCAAACCTCCTCCCATTGTGCAGGCATTTGACCATGATGATTGCCATTGCAATTCTTGGATGTATTTACTGACACTGGTTGTTCTCTTACAAAACAGCCTACTGGGCTAGCAGGTTCAGTTGTCACACAGATACAGGTAAATGATGCATTGGTTATGATGTTTGTGAGAAGTAAAACAGACTATAAATTGTGACTCATGGCAACCCCTTTTTATAAGCTCCCTCTATATGATGCCGTGTAAAACATGGTCTGTGTCATGCTTTCCATTCTGTACAAAATGTACAGGCTTAGTACGTGCATGGAATTTGGAAAAAACGTACTGTATTTAAGGAACAGTACAGGGCAGCGTTCCATTCTTGCAAAAGTTCCCAAGTTTGCGACCAGTTTGTGCATATATTCCAATGGAAAATCATTTGCCGACGTTGTCAAACGTTTGTGTTGTAAGTAACGCACCCAGTAGATATGTAGAAGTAGATGCAGATGTGCATGAATGTGTTTGGTGTGTACATTTGTATGTTATGCTGATTGCACCATGTGATGGGTCTTTCATTACATTCATTATCATTGTGAGCCCTTAAGCTGATAATTTTCTGACATTGAGCATGTCACCATATGCGCAATACATGTATGTCCAAAGTGATGTGATGGGTGTCACCAAATTTATTCCTTTTTGTCGGATCATATACATGTATTTTGTGTGTCTGCTTGTCTGGTGTCTGCTTGTCTGTATTCTGTAAATTTGCATGTGATTTTCCACTTAGGAATTGTCATTGCATTTGTTCTCAAATGAGGACTTTTTGTAGTTTACATGTACCCATGCATATCTGTTGTAGGTTAACGTACACAAAGTACATTTAATGCGCAGTTCCAAAGTTTGTATGTATTGTCTTATGCACAATGTACCGGTACATAAAAGGATACATGTACCTTTACTGGCCACACATGTGCCAAAAAACTGTCTTTGATTTTTAATCGACGTTTCTACGAATTAAGTTGATTCTAGAAAAACATGTTGCTTCATATTTTACTTGTGTTCATTTGCACTGTCATACACCGTACACTGTACGTTGTTACTATGAATGTCAGACAAGTCGACCGTTGAGACAACTCGACTCAGGACAAGTCGACCGTTGAGACAACTCGACCGTTGAGACAAGTCGACCGTTGAGACAACTCGACTCGGGACAACTCGACCGTTGAGACAGCGCTACTTAATGGAAATGTATACACGTGGAGCGGAAAAAGTTGCAAAAATCTGTGGCAGGCAAGTGGGCGCACAGGCCCGGCAAAAACGATGTCACCGTGCACGGTACAGCCACGTTGACCGGGGATAACGGTGCGCGCACACGCCCGGCAAAAACGATGTCACCGTGCACGGTACGGACAAGTTGACCGGCAACGGTGGGTGCAAAGGCCTGGCACAAAAACGATACCACCGTGCACGGTACGGCTACGTTGACCGGGGATGCACGCACAGGCCCAGAAAAAACGAAAGATGTGCACGGACAATCTCGCTGCGCTATATCGGCTCTGTTAGTGTTATATGCAACAAAAAAACTCAGCCGCCGTCAAAGATCCCCGGTACTATCCCCAAAACTAGGCCCAAAAACATGCGAGGCGACTTGTCTCAACGGTCGACTTGTCTCAACGGTCGACTTGTCTTTCCATTTATCGCACATACGGTCGAGTTGTCTCAATGGTCGAGTTGTCTCAACGGTCGACTCGTCCCGAGTCGAGTTGTCTCAACGGTCGACTTGTCTGACCCCCGTTACTATGTAATGCGTGTGTAAAACAAAATGAGTTTTGCTTTAAAAACCAAAAAGCCTGATACAATGGATGGCGGGTGTGCAGAGTGTGCTGTGCTGTTGCTAGATACAGACCGACATGATGTAATCTTTGCCAGGAATGGATTGGAACCCATGAGAAAGGTTTGTCTACGTGTACTCATGCCCCTACGTGTAGTCATGTCCAGTGGTAATGGACTTCGTGCACAAGTACCCCCTCAATAGTTGCATAGCATGCATAGGGAGAGTTGGGGAGACAGGGGGGGGGGGGGGTTGAATGCATTAGGACTGTCCATTTTCAAATAATTTAGTATTCGATTACTTGAAACTGTGTTGGACCGTATATTCGGATATTTTAAGCTGCCAGCTGCAACTACATGCTGCGCCCGTTAAAAGTTGACGAAGAGTGCGCTATTGAAAGTTTGTGTGCGGCAATCGATATGGGGCGCTGGAGTGTTTTGACGTATTCTATACCGGAACAAGCTTGTAAAAGGGCTTTAACCTGCTAAAAGGATGGGAACAATGAACTGGCGTTGACAAAAAATTACAGTCAACAAAAACAGTGGCACCTGACAATAAAGCGCCGCAACTTTACAATAAAATAACATTGCAGTCGTGCGTGTATGTGCATAGTTTTTTTTTCTCTCGAATATTCAAACCGGCTAAAAGCTATATGAATATTAGGTTGATGATCCAACATTCGACTATTCGGTATATTCAGGACAGTCCTACGTACATGTAGAATGCATTCCCAACACAACATGCCAGGACGATCATGCAAACCTTTGTGCACATTCATAATAAAATAAGTCATGCTTACATTGCACAATACACGCACATGCAGTGTGTCCCTGGCCCTCCTACTGGGGCTGTCGAAAGTGGTCACGAAGCGCCATCTACATGCATGTATGGAGTCCATTAGTTCAGTGAAGGTGATGTGGTTTGCATGTATGCTGTCTCAGAGTGAGTCGAGAATTTTGAAATCTGTCTGTCAGTGAATTACCGTACCAACATGCATGCATTGATGTTTTCCATGTAATACTATTCACATATATCGTGTAATGTGATGGTTGGCAGCTCCTCAGATAGCAATCTTTACTGCAGACAATGCTTGGTTCAAATTTGAATTTGGGGCTTGTCATAGTATTTGTGGACGCCATACAGAATTAACTTCATTAAGTTAAAACCCTCCTGCTGTTTGAACAGTCACAGACAGTAAAAAAAAAAATCCCATGCCATGCCTTTTAGTCCGGCTAGTCACCAACAGTCAGATCACAAGCAAGCACTGAGACTAGTCAAGAGCAGGCAAGAAGTAGGCACAGCTGGCTTATCAGTCACCTGCAGTCAAAGCATAGCTATGCATCAAGTTACATAAACAGTCACAGCCAGTCCATCCTGCTTTACATGTATGTAGGATGGGAGCTCTTAACTGTTAAAAAAACGAGTCACTTGATTGATTTTGACGGCAAGGACAACTTCGCACAGAATGTATGTTGTTTGCACAGGAGGGTTAAGAACATCGTTTGCAGATTGTTGTCTGTGAAAGGATTGCGACTTTCAAACTTGCAACCACAACTTTTGCCCACTGCTGCCCTGTAAACTTTTTATATACTCAGTGGAGAACACCGCAGATTTTTGCAAAAGTCCTTAACCCAAACAGAACTCAACCCATCAAACCCCAACAACATGTTTTGTTGGAATCTGTCAGGATGGGTACAGTACCCCTAAACTGACAGTCTTTTACATCGGTTTGGCACACCTCCAGAATCAAAATCAGAAATATGTGTGTACAGTTTCCCATATGGTGTTGGAAATTTGCCAGGATGGGTATGGTTCCAAGTAAATCATGCTAAAGTTAGGGTTAACATAGGTTTGCAACATGACATGCAGTGCATTGATGGTAGATTCCTAGGGGCTCATATCTTGAACATGACACCTAATGGATACTTCTTTTTTCATCCCGCTTCCATAGGATGGAGAGGCGACCGAAGTGAGACGCAGCCGGAATGCAGGCTCTGGGGATCAGAACAGTGAGAGGAGCCGGGGCCAGCGGCAGCGCAATGCCAGCGAGGAGGCTGAGGACGAGGAGGAGATGCTTAAATACGGAGCCAAGCACGTCATCATGCTGTTTGTTCCTGTCTCGCTGTGCATGATTGTTGTAGTGACCACCATATCTACTGTGACGTTCTACACAGCGCCTGGAGGGGGTTACCTGTGAGCTTATGTCACCACACAATTCCATCACAAGTCCATCAAAAGTTTATCGCAAGTCAATCAAAAGTTTATCACAAGTCAATCAAGAGTCAATCACAAGTCCATCACAAGTCAATCACAAGTCCATCACAAGTCCATCACAAGTCCATCACAAGTCCATCACAAGTCCATCACAAGTCCATCACAAGTCCATCAAAAGTCCATCACTAGTCCATCACAAGTCCATCACAAGTCCATCACAAGTCCATCACAAGTCCATCACAAGTCCATCACAAGTCCATCACAAGTCCATCACAACTCCATCACAACTCCATCACAAGTCCATCACAAGTCCATCACAAGTCCATCACAAGTCCATCACAAGTCCATCACAAGTCAATCAAAAGTTTATCACAAGCCAATCAAAAGTCCATCACAAGTCCATCACAAGTCCATCACAAGTCCATCACTAGTCCATCACAAGTCAATCAAAAGTCAATCAAAAGTTTATCACAAGCCAATCAAAAGTCAATCACAGGTCCATCACAAGTCCATCACAAGTCAATCAAAAGTTTATCACAAGTGCATCACAAGTCCATCAAAAGTCCATCACAAGTCCATCACAAGTCCAGAGATGCCAACATACACGATTTGGGCGTAGCATTTACGAATTTGATTCGTGAATACGACTCTACGCTTATAGTTCATTGAAATACGATTTTTATAAATTAATTGACAATTGTATTTATGTAATTGTTACATGTACAAGTTAACAGTTTATGAAGTATTACATGTAAATGGATATAGAAATGATAAATGAAATAAAATATAAATAAAAACCTTTTATTTAATTAAAAGAAGATTATGAAGACCGCCGTCAAAAGCATTGCGATCGTGGAGGTGTTTCTTACCACCACGTTCGAGCGGCGAGCTGCGACTGACTATTTGACAACCATTAGTCGATTTTCCATGGTAACCTATGCACAAGATACATATTGGGTACCAGGCAAAATCGACCAGTGGTTGACAAATAGTCGCCAGGCGAGGCGAATTCGCATATGTACATGTATACATGTATATACACATCCGCGTTAGACTCGATTGCCAGAAACCAGCCCCACTCTAGACTTGATTTCAAGTCTGAGATCGCGGTTGCGCCGCGCAATATTTTGCAAAAGTTAACTTAATACAGTACCACTGTGCTATCATTCAATATTCGCTCCATAAGCCCAAAGAGGGCGCTATTTACGATATGGTTATGGAGAACAACCATAGACCCACAATCACAGACTTGAAACCAAGTCTAGTTTTACGCATGCGGGGCGTGATTGTACCCAGTGATTTTCATTGCATATATATAATACAGAATAGTGAGCGTACGTATGGGGAACGAAGTTGCCGCACTGCTGTACGGGTACGACGTACTGTATGTAGCTACATGTAGCTGTGCACGTACTAAGCTAGCTGCATCGATTCACCATCGAAGCTTAGCCCGGGAAAGCTGGAATAATGGAGACTCCTCTGAAAAAAAAGGAGACTTTCTGAGCAGAAATACCTTCCGAGTACACAACTGAGTGGCCTGTAATCGTGCGATCTAAGCTTGACGGTTTCCATGCATTCTGTGTTCTTTGCAAGTGCGACTTCAGCGTCAGGCATGCAGGAAAGAACGACGTGGCTAAGGCCAAAAAAAAAAGTCTCCGGTTTCTGGTATGGAGCTTGCCCAAAAAGTGGTGCGGTGACGCAGCTTTTTTTTTTTTCACCTCTTTTTTTGGCTTCAAATGTCGGCTGATGACTGCAAATGGTGCCCGACTAAACTAGGTGCAAATATTATGGGAGACCAGAGAGGCCACATAAAGCTTATTCTCGATCATAACCCCATTTAAAAACACGTTAAAATTGTGCAGCAGCAGGATTCCAGTCAAACCAGTGAGTTTGGCGGTTTTGAGACATCATCTTTCATTGAAACAAAATTTTTTTCATTTTGCCGACAGGCATGGCTACAGCGACGCGCGCGCATACCAGAAACCGGAGACTTTTTTTTTTTGGCCTAAGCATATTAACACTGCAAAACACTAGTCTTACCAGACGGCTGTGGAGTCAAATTTAGCATTGACAAAAACGAAGCATTTACTTAGAAAACACTTAAAATTTTTCAGAGCAGTCTCATACTAGGGTTTGTGCACAGGGTGTTGTAACGAGTTCCACTCGGAAGTAAAAAAAAAAATCACTTTTGATGACACACCCCCTCAAAAATCTTGCCTCCAAGCTGAAAACACAAGCAAATTTGATTTAAACAGTCGGGGAAAAATGGCCCTGAAATGCCTCAGATTTCACCACAGAGCATCTGGAGTCCAAATTCGTTTTCTTAACTGCTATTTTTCTAGCAATACAAAAGTTATTCACTTCTGAATGAGACATCGATCGAAAAAATAATCGGCCCATGTTTAATTATTGAATTATTACTTTACAATTGCTAATTATTGGCTGCCAGACAGTACTTCCATTCTCGCGGGGTAGGCTGGTTCCGGCCCCACAATCGGTATCGATAATGTACGTACCGGGAGCCAGTCTGCTCGCAAAGTGGATCTATTTGTGCATAAAATGAAAAACCCTTTTCAGAGGGTTGCAGAATGCAGATGGAAAAAGGAGATTTTGGTTGGAATACAACATAAGGCCAAAAAAATAATAGTTCTGCTTCCGGTTTCCCTACCTACCCTATTCTGACAGCCCTTACCCTAATTTTTTTATGGGAAAAATGAGGGGAAAAAACACCCAAAATCATCAATTTCTACCTTTTACCCTCATATGATCGTACACAAAAAAAATTGGCAAAAATAATTTTTCCCTACCTACCTACCTACCTACCCTATTTTCAAATGCCATGTAATCGGAAGCAGAACTATTATTTTTATTTGGCCTGAGTTAAAAATTTAAAAACATCAAATTTGTTGACGAACACAGGGAATACAACTTTAACATTGCCTGACATTTTCTTTTCTGGAGATCCAAGAACAATTACTTGCACATTACCTTGTTTGACAAGATTTGTATGTGGCTCCGAAAACTAGCTGGTTATATCACCATTTTGTGTGGTATTCCTACATCTAAACATTTTGATGTGAAATGTGCATTACCCACAATGTGCCAAATGAAAATAACTAAGCAAAATTGTGATTAAACAAGCAACTTTTTTTCCGAGCCGCATACATATCCTGTAGACGTACCACTTCTGATGGTCCCTATTATTTTGTTAAAGACTGATATAAGATCAACACTGTAACACATCGATGTATCCTGCCAATGCTGATTGAGTTGCTTTGTCCCATACAGAACCTCAAAAAGAAACAAACTGCAGGAAAGTTTAGTGTTAAATTTTTGTTTGTTCTCTGCTTGTTGCATTTACACAGTGTGTACACGCCATTCCATGAAGACCAAGGTGGAGCAGGGACCAAAGCCTGGAACGCTGTCGTCAACGCCCTCATCATTATTGCCATTGTCTTGGCATTGACTGTCGTGCTGGTTATGCTCTATAAGTACAGATGCTACAAGGTACGATGTTACCCGCAGCAGCAGTCAAGTCCATCACTTGTCAAATCACAAGTCAATGTCAAGTGGGGTTTCAAGTAGCAGGGATTGTATTTGTCACAGTTCATTTCTATATGTACATGTACTTGTACATTTATATGTACATGTGCATGTACATGTGCATGTACATGTGCATGTGCATGTGCATGTACATGTGCATGTGCATGTGCATGAACATGTGCATGAACATGTGCATGTACATGTGCATGTTCATGTGCATGTACATGTACATGTACATGTACATGTACATGCACATGAACATGAACATGCACATGAACATGCACATGAACATGCACATGAACATGCACATGAACATGCACATGAACATGCACATGTACCTGTACATGTACATACAGATACCGCAAATAAAGAAAGTCCACCTTCATTGGAGGGGTCATAATTTTGAATTTATATGGACCTTTGGAAAATTTTGTTAGCTTCATCTTGATACCCCGTTTGCTACCAAAGACTGTGAATTGACAAAGATTGACAACGGTGTATGAAAAATGATGCAGTTTGGAAAGTTGCAAATTTAAAGATTACGGGCAGAGAAATTGCTAAACATAACCACGCATGTCCGTAATGGGTCCCTATGGACGGCACAGTGCCCGAACAAAGCGCAGATAATTCAAATAACGTGCTCCCATGCATGCAAGCACTGTGCGATCGGTATCCCCTGCCGTTCATTTCGGGCAGTGTGACATTGCCATGCAGCAATTTCCATTGGCGTAATCTTTAAATTTGCAACTTTTCTAACTGCATCATTTTTCATAAATCGTTATCCATGTTGGACAATTTACAGTCTTTGGTAGCTAAAAACATTCTCCAATGGTCTATATAAATGACACTATCATAAGACGAGCAGATTTTAAATTTTGACCCTTCAAACGATTGTGGACTTTCTTTTTTTTGCGGTGTTTAGCAACATAAAGAGACTTGACTTGCTTAAGAATGAATGACTTGAGATTGGCTTGATTACAAGTTTTCAAGCAAGGCACTTAACCATTATTGCTTCGTCCTTTGGATGGGACGTGAAGCCGTAGGTCCCGTGTGTTGTGTAATGCACGTTAAAGAACCCAGTACACTTATCGCTAAGAGAAGGGGTTCGCCCCGGTGTTTCTGGCAGTGCAATTATCTTCAGGCATGAAGTCTGCACTTGTAAGGAAGAAAAAGAAAAAGAAGAAAATCCGCAATTGGTGTAAAAATAACAAAGCACTGTTTTCAGGACTGTTACTTCCAATCCTGTTGTCACTTTTTGTATTTTTTTTATATAAATTTATGTTGTGCTAAAGTAATCACTCGGGGTCTACTATGCCACATTATTGTTTTTGTCTCAATATTGGGTTGTGCCCTTAACCAACGTATTTTATAAACACTGTATACTCTGTGTTGTCCGGAGTGATTGTGAGAAAAATTCATAGATTATGGTTTATCATCACCCGATGAATGTTTTTTTTGTGGTAACCGTTGCTGTATCAGATTCGAACCGGCTAGCTGACCCCAGCAAGCTCGGTGGTCGAGTGGTAAGAGGTATGCGCTAGTATGCAGGAAGTCGTTGGTTCAAATCCCACCTGAGTAGTTTTCTCACAATTCGTGAATTTTTCTCACAATCATGGATTGCCTTGAGCGCATCCAATATCGTGCTGCCCGCTTCATCACTGGCGACTATAGGGGTGCATACCGGTAAATCGATCCGCCAAGCTCATGAATAAAAGTTATACCCTCAAAATATTCTATATTAGAGAGTTCTGAGCGCCGTAAAATTGGGGAATTGAAGAGATATGGTAGTGAACCTCTGGCCCGGACTTGGGGCTTTCAATTCTGAGCATTTTGGATGCTATTGGGCTCGAAAGTGGCGCTATTTTGCCATGTTGTGGAGGGATCGTTTTTCAAGATGGCTACTTTTCCGCTTTGGGGAAAATAGGGGTCGTCTTCTTTGCGTGAAAATATCTCGAAAAGTCAATGGTCAACCCACCATAAATTGAAAAGAAAATGAAAGATGACACATTGATCATCATTTTTCTGTGCAGCTTGAATACCTGTGAGAGTTTTGAGTATTTTTAAAAGAATTTTGAAGTATGGGCATTTAGCACTAGTGTCTATGGGAGTTTATTTGCAGGTATGCACCCTATAGATCACGGCAAACAGGATGTATTACTAAAATGCTGCAAACCCTGAAATTACCATCCGTTCAGGAAAGACAAAAACATCTACATGTACGCCTGATACTCCTTTACAAAGTAGTTGCAAGGCTGGTACCGGCCATCCCCTCACATCTATACCTAATACCCAGGAAACAAGGCAGAAAAATTCGGCCAAGAAAGATTGACGGTACATCCTCATCGAATACCATTGAAAGTTCCATCGCCATAAACTCCAAGTGCTTCAAAGTATCCTGGTGCAACACAGATCAACTTAAAAACTCATTCTTTAACAAATCAATTATTGACTGGAACCATCTTGAGGAAAACCTTGTTCAAGCCGACTCGGTCAAGAGGTTTAAAATTCTCCTCGGCCATGGACCTCACTCAGTGTAACATCCCAGCGTACACCCTCTCTCTCCGTTGCGTTAATGCCTGAATAGGTTTCTGCAACGTACCCATACAGATACAGAATCACTTGGGACAACACTGAGTATACAACGTTTATAAGATGCGTCAGTGAAGGGCAAAATCCAGTTTTGAGTTCACATCACTCGCAAATTACATCTTACGAGTATTTTGTCTTCCTGTAGGTGATCCATGGCTGGCTGATATTGTCGTCCTTGTTGCTGCTGTTTTTCTTTGCTTTCTTATATCTCCAGTAAGTTTTTCCTCATCTCAAGAAATTTGGAATTTTAACAAATCCAAGGTGTCAAGTTGGCCTAGTCAGTGGTACTCTCCTTAGGCACACATGTGGATTAGGATTTCAGTCCCTGCTGAATTCTTTGATAGTCACTGATTGTTCTTTCAATATGGTTCAACTGTTTCTCCAATAAGTTCTTCAAAATATTTCTCTTTTAAATTTCTTCTAGCAGTTAAACAACTGTGCCGCACATATGTGCACATTTGTATGTATTTTTCCCACCTGAAAGAATTATATGAATTTAAGTAAATGAACTGATGAAATGTCTGACTGCACTGAAGCAGATCCTCTATCATGTACCTGGACAAGATTTATGAAGGAAAATCGAGAGGATCTGAAAAAAAAATATCCTCTGCTCCCCACCCATTAACATCTGGTTCACAAAGATCAACTTTGGTCGGTCAGTTTCTTATGTCTGCCCATGCCGACATCTCTATGGACAAAACTGGCTTGAACTCATGCTTAAAATACATACTACACTTAGGTCGAAATTAAACTATACAAGTCACCAGCATGGAAGTGTCACTGAATGGGATAGCGCCATCATTTTTCATTACCATAGAATCAATATAGGTAATGAGAAGAATAGATTCTGCGTAGGGAAATGGAGAGGTTTTCCCCCTACATTTCTGATACATTACGGGAACCCATTTGGCCTTGTAAACGGCAAGCTGGCCGTTGTCGTTGCACAGTTTCATGGTGTTCATATATCGTTGTGTCCGTGCAACAAGGTAGTATCTCCTAAAATGACGTGTGACGTCATGTACATAAAACGCGAGTTTTCAATGTCAAAAGGTCGTATCTCACTAAAAATAACCCGGATGTACACACAAAGTCAATGGACGTCGCGACACGCCAGATACGACCTTGTTGCATGGAGCGCATACGCGCGAGATATGACTATGTTGCAGAATCGAGTTATGACCTTATTGCACTGATGCGACGATATGCACTTCCATGTTGCAAAGTTAATCTCAGGTGTACACATTCCTGCAAAAACAGAAGTGTAATTTTGATCATTTATTTTCCATACGCATCACCCGCCAGAGAGCTGATGCTAACGTACAATGTGCCCCTGGATTACTTCACCGCCTGCCTGGTCATGTGGAACTTTGGCGTGGTAGGAATGATTTGTATCCATTGGAAGGGACCACTGCGGCTCCAGCAGATCTATCTTATCGTCATATCCGCCCTGCTTGCCTTAACCTTCATCAAGTACCTACCTGAGTGGACACTGTGGACTATACTGGCAGCCATTGCTATATATGGTGAGTTTAGTACTGTTGCCTTCTGTGTACATGTAGTCCAACTGCAGAGCTGGTAAAAAAAAAAGTAAAGGGGACGAACCTGTGTTCACAGGAACGGAGTGCCCATCTCTCTTTCATTAATGATTGGGCCAGACTCGTACTGCTGTGGGGGGGATCGCCACACCTCCTCCACAGCGAGTCTGTTACCTTCCCAGCATTGAATAATGCCGGTATCCATTTAGCACCTGGGTCGAGAGGATAATTGAGGTGAAGCGCCTTACTCAAGGGCACAACACGCATGGCCACGGCAGGGCTCGATCCCACTACCTCACGATCGCGAATCCTGTGCTCTACCGCTAGACCACACATGCCCACCAACTGCAGAGCACCGCGCCAAGTTGTGCACACCTGTATGGGTTGACCCTGTGTCGGAGGTCATGAGGCAACAGTTTGTTGGTCATTTCCAGACTGTATCTGTAAGAGTGCTATACGCCTCTGTACCGATGACTTTGTTTACATGTGTGTTTTCTTATGGGAGCTTGGTGGGGACGACGGTTTTGTGGCCCCATAGAAAAGCGTACACGTTAACAAAGTGTGACGTCATCAGTACAGAGGCTTATTGAGGCTGTGATCAGTATATGCTGCCTGCTACAGTGTGATATGTATAGATTCATAACTCCAGCTATTACTACCCTCTAAAGCCAGGTCAAAAAAGTTAACTAAACTTTTCAAAACCATTTTCTTCTGACAAACACTCTTAGTCAAACTACTTCATGGTAATAAGATGGATTTTTTTATGTTTAGCTCGGTCGTCGAGTGGTAAGACATCTGCACTAGAAAGCAGGAGGTTGTGGGTTCGAGTCCCACCCGAGTGATTTTTTTCCAACTTTCACTCGGGAGGTAACACACTGAGTATACAGTGTTTAAACGTCAGTGAAGGGCAAAACCTTATTTGATTTACTTCATGGTTAATATTCATTCTTGTTGAATGGCTTCTCTTTTACTGACTGGTTCCATCATGTCAGTATCAGTCCCTCGTAGTTCAAATTTTGGCTGGTACCAGAGGGCCATCCGATTGTCCCCCGTACCTATCTTATTGACTGTCACTTGTGAGCCGGGCAGTGCTATCCTATAGGGTCACCTTGCAACCCCAACGAATGAGCTAAATCCGGCCCATTGTGTAGACCAGATGCATGAAAAGACTTCCAGTGAACAGCTATTTTGAGTCAATCGAATAGAATGCCGTGACGAGCCTAATACTAAGCAGAAAGCCTGCTTAGTCTTGCGATAAATTGTGTCAAGTTGTTGAAAAATTAACCACTGAAGATGAGGGGTCGAAACCCTGGTATGTTCTGTCCCCAACTGCACACAATTTTGCATGGCCCAGCTTACAGATGCATATCAAAAATATTAAATGAAATATCAATTTGTAAGTGTAATTTTCTTTTCTTTATTTGCAGACCTGTTTGCCGTCCTGGCGCCCAAGGGGCCGTTGAGGGTTTTGGTGGAGACAGCTCAGGAGAGGAATGAGCCTATATTCCCTGCTCTCATTTACTCGTGTAAGTAGTTACTTGGTAGGAATTCTTCAAACTTCCAATTTGGATGCATGTCGTAACGTTTGACGGTAGAACGTGATCAGTACTATTTCAGTTCAGGAGAAACAAAATTTGTAAATGTCAAATTTTATCGACTGTGAATCCAGGCCTACTCTGGTCAAGCAATGAGATGTCCGCACTAATAATCCTAACCCTGATCACCCAAAATCCATATCCTAAAAAAAATTTGTGTAGAGTTTGTCAAGGATTTTTCGTGATTGAGGAAGGTAACTTGTAGCTTATTTAATGGGACACAGTGTTTTCTGAAAGTTTAGTTCTAGAGAAAGTGTTTAGTTAGCTCGTGTGTAGTGGTGAATTTTTGATGATTAAGGAGGGTTTCAAGCAAACAAAAACTAACTTCTGTGGAGTTTGGGTTAAGTGCATGTAGGTGGTGTAAGTTTGGAAAGCCCTAAGCAAACGGTGCCTTTATCATTACATTTGTGGGGAGCAAAACCAGGTAATATAATCGAAATTGTTGCTGTTAAGGAGTTTAAATGGCTCTTCTGAGTTTTGTGGGTCCCAAAATATGTTCAAATGAAGGATACCCAGCGCCCCAATCCTTCAAAATCGTCAAGACAGTCCTGCCTGTCAAAATGCATTCATCCTCAATCCTCCAAAAAAAAAATCATCCACCTCTTCAAACACTATTCATCCTCAATCCTCCAAAATCCTCAAAACTGCCAGGAGGATTTTGTAGGATTGAGGTTGGTTAGGGTCAATGATAATAATGTAGTTAACAATTATTACCCCTGTTCATTAGGCCTTGAGACCATTTTTCTGCAGCAGCTTGAGATCTGCACAATGTGGTCTCTGCCGACACAAGTACACATTGTTATACTCCTGGTTGAAGGGAGGCAATTGTAGTAAAGTGCCTTGCCCAAGAACATAGGCACCATGTTCCTCATCAGGGTTTGCATCGGCAAACCATCTTACATAAGTCAGACACTCAGTAATCATTGCACCAGAGTGCTCTAGAATGTCACTTATCTTTTCATAAGTGCTTCAATTTCTTTGTTGACCCTAACTTCCCAGCATAATTTACTAGGAACCATACCCATCCAGGCAAATTCCAACACCCACATGGGAAATCGTACACACACTGTTGGACTTAGTTTCTGGAGGTATGCCAAACCCAAATTTAAAAGACCATCAGTTCAGGGGTACTGTACCTATCCCAACAGATTTCAACAAATACCTGCTGGGTGGACTTTGATGGGTTGAGTTCGGTTAGGGTTAATCACAAGTTTCTTTTATGTACTGCAGCAACCATGGCTTGGATGGTTGGAATGGCAAACAATGATCCCAACAAGCCCAGATCGGACGGGTGTGAAAACCCAGGCCTGGAAGAATCAACAGGTAACATCAGTTTCTTGGATTTTGAAACAAAAATTCTGTTGTCTCAGGGATCAGAACATTATTGAAGTTGTAGATGAAGCTGAAAATAAATATGAACCTTAAGACCAAGTGTTGCATAAAAAAACTGCCAGTGTCTATAACAAATAACACAAAGAATGTGTACACACCAAGAACAACTTGTTGGACCAAATCGTATTGCATTCTTTCTAAAGTAAACTCGTCTTAGGAGTCTAGTGTATTTGAAGCATGTTGAAATTCAACCGTGCTGTAGTTCATTGATGAGCATGGTTGAAAACAAAAAAGACCCGCCCAGGATTGTATTTCGGATCTTTGCCGGGTAAAATGAACTTTTTTGGGTCTAAGCTGACTGAAACCTTGGAGGTAAATTTGTCCCATCCAAAGGCTCATCCTGTGAATTCTTATGTTTTGTTCTTGTCTTGGTTTGTTTATTTGATAATGAAGAATCAGGCGCAGGCAACACAGAACCGGACGAGGAGGAAACTGCAGGAGGTTTTGACGTTGAATTCCGCCAGCGGCAAGACCGGGACCTGCAGAGAGATTTGAGCAACTCCGAAGAGGCTCGCGCCGCTGTGAACGCCCTGCGCCAGGCCCCTGAGAGGAGTCAGAGGAGGCAGCAGACCGAAGATGATGAGGACGACGAAGAACGTAAGTTGCTGAAAAGTGGACAAAGATGGAATTCCCCATGTGGACCAGAATGTAGCCGAAGGTCGCCCTCTGGTTGACGTTGTGACGACACAGAAAAGTCGGCAACTGACTTGACAAGATCAAGCTGCGTCTGAGCTGCGAGCGTCCTGAACATTTTTTTTTCAATCTAAGTACAATTGCGACATTATTATTGACAATCGGCATCAGTCAGCACTGAAATAAAATCGACAGTCCCAAAAGTAGAAAAATATCAACTGCAAAGGAACGTGTTCCAGAGAGGCGCAAATCAATAGCAGTCGGCCTGTATGAAGTTAGGACATTCTGCGCGCATCCGGATTATTTAATTAAATTGTGTAGATCGTTTGATGGGAGGAGAAAACAGGACTCGAAGAATTGTTGAAGTACCAAAAGAAAAGCTCTAGCAGAGCTTCCGGAGGCGCGTAGTAAAATGTATTAATGTAATAATACAATAAATATTACAATTTTCAATCTTTTAGATAGAAAATCTCGGTGAAATACACAGTTTTAAACACCATCCATTGTCAACATATGTGCCGCCATTTTGAACAAGTCACGTTATAACGTCTGCATAACTTTATTCGTGTCTTGGTTGACCTGAGCATGGTTGCGGACTTGCGGTTCTTCTGTGGCGAGATACTGCTTACTCCAGGATAATCACACTATTACTCAGTTTTGTGAACTGAACATAAATGTTGTGCTTGATGCTGATGGTTCTGTTGCGGCGTAAGCAAATCGCAGGGCGACTTAATAGACGAGTCAAATCCCTTGTTACATGTCTGTCAGCCTCAAGTCACAATGTGTTTAATTTTTTTGTGTTTAGGTGGTGTGAAACTAGGTTTGGGAGATTTCATTTTCTACAGTGTCTTAGTCGGCAAGGCTTCAGCTCAGGGGGACTGGACCACCACAGTCGCTTGCTTTGTAGCCATTCTTATCGTAAGTACACATGCGCATTATTTAAATTAGTATCCGGGGCACACCTTGGAGTATTGAAACATATGAGGTTTCGGCAAGAAATATCGTACAAATACTGTTGAAATCACTCTTGCAAATCAGTATTTTGTGGAGTTTGGCTATATATCAGAAGTTGGCTGGGAAATTTTGCCTTTCGAAAATTTTGAAATTTTCGGCAAAAATAAACCCGGCGCGAAGTGGTTAAGAGACCTCCAACCTTGTCTTTGTAACCATTGAGGGGGTGCTTGTTCAAAGTGCATGGAGTCCACTGACCATTACTCTTCATCGTCATTAGTGTTCTGTTGTTTGCATCTATTTACAGGGACTCTGTCTGACCCTGATCCTGCTGGCCATCTTCAAGAAAGCCCTCCCTGCTCTACCCATCTCCATCTGCTTCGGTCTGGTCTTCTACTTCTGCACCAGCCTTCTAGTGTTCCCCTTCACCGACTCCCTGGCCAGCAGCCAGGTCTTCGTATAGTACCGCCTCTTTCCTCACAATCACAAGTGGAGCATTTGGCTGGGCTTTGTGTCGCATCTGTCTTGCTTGATACTTTTTCTTTTCAAATGTGTGAGGCGTTTTGGCAAAATGAGACAGAACTGGGCAGAGGTCAAATTGAGGGTTTGTGGGTATTAGAAAAGAGCATGTAATTCTCCTTACAATACCGTTTGTCGCACTACAGTCGGACATTCCATTGACAAGTTATGGCTGTTTACAGTTTGAATTTAACGAAATACTGAGAAAAAGACCTTTAAAGTTTCAAGTTTTGTTCTTGGGAAAATGAAAGATGCAAGTTGTTTTCGTTAAAACCCCTTTATGCCACTTGTTTATACTATTTCTTGAATACGTGTGTGGTAGACATATCAAAGATTACAAATATCAATCAATCTGAAAAAAAAAAAAATCACCCCCATTCGGTTTTTGCATTTTTTCAAGTTCAGCCTCTGCCCAGTTCCATCTAATTTTGCCAGAATACGGTACCTCACATATTATCTTGTGCCCTTTTTTTCTTATTTCCCAAATTTGTGTATGGACATTGAGCTGGTTTGGCTTAATGACTGTGGTAGAAAAGTAGTTTCTTACCGCACAATTCGGGCAATTCACAGTGCAGTGCGCCACCATGGGTTTGACACCGAGAGTCAATTTTTCAAGTTCACGGTCGACAAAACATGGCCCAATCGAATGAGTGTCAGTAGACAACTTGAGCTAATTTGTTATAGATTAGGGGCATAGTGTTCTGCCGCCTTACAAAAAAACACCATATTGATAACAAGAAAAGAAATGGGCAAACAGATACTCGAATCATACGCTTACAAAACCACTGACTGGAATAACTAACAATTTCAAATGTCCTGCGCTGCGAATTTGTCGACCATCTCCCAAACTCTTGGTGGGGCACTGCATTGTGAATCGCCCAAATTGGTGTGCTTATTAATTGGTAGTTAAATGTGACATGGTTTGTCAAAATAAGTCAGAACTGGGCCGATGCTCACAAAACGAAGCAGCCATGGTTTTGACATTCCTCCACCTCTTTATATAGTTACATGTATGTCAATACTTATTGTTAGCCTGAATAGGTCTTCAATCACCCAAACTTTGATTTGTGATTTCTTTGTCCCTGAATGAAAATTGATCGCAATGTAAAAAATGAGATATTAACCCTCCTATGTAAACATACATTCTGTGCCAAGTTGTCCTTGCAGTCAAAATCAATCAAGTGACTGTTTTCAACCCGTAAGATTTCCCAGCCCACCTAAAGCAGGATTGACTGCCGTGGACTGTTAAAGTAACTTGATACAGCTATGCTTTGACTCCGGGCGAGTGATAAAACAGCTGTGACCACAACTTGCCTTTGTCTGTTGACCCAGTGTGACTAGACAAAGTACGTGCTTGACATACGATCTGACTGGTGGTGACCAGCCTTTGTTAAAAGTATAGAAGGGGAAGTGGAAGTGATTTTTGACTGTCTGTGACTGCTTAAATAGCTGGAGGGTTAATGAGAAAGCATTTTTGAACAGACCTATATGGCATGTAATGTATTAGTAATGTAATTGAAGTTATCTATTTGTTGTCGTGTAATGACATTGGAACCCTTGTAATTGCATGTGAATGGTTAAGTCCCGCAAAGGACTCTGTGCAACTCAATTCTTCTCCATTTTTTGCAAGGAGAAGCAAACTTTGTTCGAAGTGTTTATTTCCTATTTGATGAAATGAACCACATATTAAGAGGACCCTAGAACATTGACAAGGTTGCAGTTATGCATTGGTTTATTACACATAGCAATGATACAGTCCTAATTTTCATGACATTATTTCCTTGAAGACAATTATTTTTTCAGCATTGTTATTTTTTGTGTATAATGTATTTGTTCCTTTTCAGGTATTTGATTACCAAGTTGGTGTGAAGAGTACCACATTTTTATTATTCATAAAATGGCATTTGCATCGGGATAATGAAAGATCAATATTGGGGTTTGCCCCTCACCGACATATTTTATAAACACTGTATACTTGGTGTTAAATAAAAATGTTGAGTTGCTGTGTTGAGTTTCTGCTACGCCATGGATCTTGTTTGGTACTTAAAAAGAACCCACTTTCTGGCAAGTTGTGAAGCAGTAGTAATGAATAATTGGGATGTTTTAAAAAATTACATCAAACAAGTCTTACTGTCAAGACTTTGTGATGGGAGAGTCGGACTGAGAGAAAGTGTTTGTTTTTTCTTTTTAAAGGGCCCGTGTAATGGAATATTTGTAATGTAATCATTGAAATGTACGTTGGAGTTTCATGTAACTTTATTTTGCCATTGTAAGGTCATTTTGGTGCCTTTTTGGTTTTTATGCTAATGCAAATTTCCATATTAATGAGCAGAACTGTGATGTCCTTCAATCAAGGCGGAAACTTAAGTTTCACATCTGCTTCGGCATAAAAAGTCACCAGAAGTTTAGGGGTTTGCTGTGGTTATTTTTCTGCTTTCAGTGGTTTATTGTTGTTTCAGTATATGACAGTAAGACAATGTGAAAACTTTACGCACTGAATGTTTTTAATAAGCAGAATTTTGGGTTTACAATTTGAAGAGAAATACCCTCATCAGAAAAGTACGTTCTTGAAGTGACATCACAGCAACAGCGCCCTCGGTTGTCAGGAAAAGAATGACACATTTTAAAATGTTAAAAAAGTGCACTTTGCAAATACTTACCAAAAAGAGATGTCTCATAGTTTTTTTTATATACATTTCAGAGGAATGGATATTTGCTACAAAAATATGCTCCCATGTAAAATTCTTTTCAAGGACCCTTTAATGAGAAAATTGTTCAGTGGAACGCCGCTATAACGAACACAGCGGGATCCACACAAATTGTTCGTAATGGCGATCATTCGGTACCGGTGCCCCGGTGTCATATGAATATCCAACTCCTATGAAAATCGGACCCCTTTTCCCTATTATTGGTTAATCCCTCGCACGTGACGGGTAACTCTCCCCATATGATCCTGAAAACAGTATTATCGTTCTTCCGCATGCGCAATACTACCAATGAGTCCACATTTCATGGAGTCGGATATTCACGCTACACCGGTACTCACTTTTCAATAAATGGCGCCCTTCAGAACTTCACCCTGCCTCCACTGGTAGTTACTGAAAGACGACTTTGAACACATGCCGATTATTGAATAATGTAGTTACACAGTTTTTGAGCTTACTACCTACAGCAATGGATGGCGTTCCCCAGCTATTCCTTGGGGAAATAATAGCCACTTGTCGCTTTTCTGTTGACATTTGTCAACAACAATTTTCGGTACGTTTTGTACACAAAAATCGGGAGCCAAAGACGATGTTCGGTATAACCGAATGTTCGGTATAGCGGTGTTCGTATTACCCTTGATTGAGTTGGGTAATCCATCTTGTGATTTGTTGCTCCCTGTATCTCATTAAAGAGCAACCATCTGTAATTTTCTTCTTCAATCTTGTAACATTGATACTTTAAAAAGATATAGATCTTATGAAGGTATGCTCAATAAGCCAAAATGTCTAATTGCGCATTTATGAGCACAATAAATCCACCTAATTTGCACTAACATGTAAACTTGCTTGTAGCTCAAATTGGACGGACCATCAAGTGGTTTTTTGGTTTTATTTGGATTTCGGAGGACCAGTCTTACATTTTTTGAAATTATTCTGTATAATTGGTCACATGTAAACAGAAATTGCGTACATTGTACAAAGTACGTGTTTTTATGTACATTGGAAATGAGTGTATATGAACATTGTAAAAACTGTGTAAACTTGTGTTGTTTATACAAATAGGCTTGAAGATTGCTTGGTTTTCGTTATGGTTAATTTTTGTCAGTTTTTAAACTAACAATCATCCGTAACATGTGTATGGGGTCGTCTTGTTATGTAATATGGTCATCTTTTGTATAACAACATGCAAGATAAGTATCATTTTCTTAATTATTTTAGTTTTTCAAAGCCTATTTTGAGGGGAAATCATGGTGAATAAGGTTATACACGAGTCGGTCATCACAATTGACTTGATTTTATTGTTTTGATTTTGTAACAAGAGTTACTCAAATGTATTGCATCCAGAACTTCAGCTGCAAAATGAAAGGAAGATTGACATTTCTGCAGTTTTGTAATAATGTGCTTAGAATAAATTAGGCTCAGATTAACTGTACTTTCTGCATAACTTGTATTTGTAACTTACTCCGATTCTTCTTCTTTTTTTGGGGGGGGGGGGATGGGAAAAAGCCAACTGTAGTTTAATAGCTGAAAACAACACAAACTATTCAGACATCATCAGATTGATGTGTCCTTCATATGTCATATTCGGTTTGAATTTAGGTTTGCTGGAACGAATAACCCTACCGTATGTCAAAACTGAATTTGGATGATGGGGTTAAACAAATGAACATGTACATGATATAGGCCTACTGCACGTTTTCACTTTAGGATAGTATTGCGTACAATAATTTGGTCGTAAATGTTGACAAAGTTGAAGAAAAAGAATCCCCCCCCCCAAAAAAAAAACCAAGAAAATGAAAACCTGTGGATGCCGGGTGGAAGGCCAAAGAAAAAAATTCGGAACGCTTCACGATTGTGCGTGTCATCCTTGGGCAGGGGCTCGCTAATCTTCTCTGTATCGTTCCAATTTTGAAAATGTGCAGCTTACGCTCGCACACTTTGATAGAGAACCTGCTTTGCTTTTAAGTGCCGTTATTTTCCATCCTTTGCTATCCCGGTTAACAAGCGAAGCACGCGCGTGTCGACATTAGCAAAACGTTTCAGTGCCCAGCTGTAAGGGCGGAGGTTACGCATGCGCGCATACGACCAATGTACCGTGCCCACTATTATACAAATAACGAATGTTTGTGAGTGCGATGGTAAGAATAATTTTATGAGGTGACAGATTGAATGTTCTATTCCACGAGGCGAAGCCGAGTGGAATAGAACATTCAATCTGTCACCGAATGAAATTATTCTTTCCATCGCACGAACGTAAAACATTCGTTATTTGTTTTATACAACACCTGAATAAATTCTCGTCATTTGATTGGTAAATTATAAACTACAATTTATTTTGATTTTAAAGATGTTGAACTACCCCTTCACGAAAATGTTTGAACCCAACGCTGTAGCGCTGGCTCTTTGGAACAATACGCGCTACGCTGAACGCGCACACCAGCATGCATTTTGCACGCAAATACCGCGTCATGGAACAAGCGCAAAGTGAACGCATGGTCGCACCGTGCATTATACCGAATAATAATATGTCACGTGATCTACAATACACCAATCAGATGACGGGGATTTATTCAGGTGTTGTATAAACCAAGATATACATGGACATAGTACGGCTTGAAATTACACACTATAGAGTTATTGAAATATAACTCTTTGGCTATAGTACACACTGTGTATGCAGCCGGGAAGCGGCTCATACTAGTGTGTGTAATTGCAAGCCGTAGTGAAGTAATTCGGACACGGCCAAAAGTCAACGCGCAAAATGATGTCAGCCGCAGAACGTTAACTGTATTATTTTGTAAGGGAAGATTAATGTGGAAGCCGGATGGGTACGGTACCACTGGATAGGGGAAGAATATATATTTTTTGAGACGCCTGGCAATATTATTTTTATGTTCCGTAATAACTGTCAGTCGCAGCGGCCGCCACATGTAATATCTGGCAGCGGCCACATAATATCTGGCGGCAGCCACAATGTCTGCATGGCGGCCGCAACATAAATATCTGGCGTATGCTACTTTATGTGGCGGCCGCTACATAAGTATCTGGCGGCCTACAACCGTGGCAATGGGCCACATTATGATAATAATTACTGATAAGTACATAAGTATACTATATAGCGGCCTCCAGCTGTTATGTGGCGGGCGGTGCCGGTAACAGCACAACAAATTATAACCATGGGGGTCTAAAAATATATATATATTCATCTCTCATACCCGGTGGCAAAAATTAAGTATCGATGTGGCGGTCGCAAACCGTAAATATACGTGTATCTATATATTCCCGCGCGAAAAGAAAATATAGGCCTAGTCATTGTCTTTACCCCAGTGGCATCATCCGATAATTAAGTGGTGGCCTCCAGATGTTACGGGTGCGGCCGCCAGATGACGTTAAAGAACATATTCCCGTGCGTCCTCGAAAAAAAAATCAGTGGCACCATCCGACATTGTGGCGGCCGCCAGATCGACTCCGGTACAAAAAATAAGGGCCACGCCTTTCAAAAATAATATGCTCAAAAAACGTATATCTCGTTAGGTGGCACCGTAATTTTTGGTATAGGGAATTATAACGACCGTTGTGTTCCTTTTTACCCACCAACTCAGTGCAATAATTGAAATAGACATAAGTGATGGAGCGGTTGATCCACAAACAATGAGCTATAGTTCTTTGAGTTTTTTATATTGGTGCCTAAAATAATCCTATAATTTTAAAGTATGGTCATTAATAGGGAAAAGTTCCATTCCGCTATGAATAGCGCTACCTACACTATGGTCAGATGTACGTAATTTCGCATTTCAAGAGCGCACATATTAATTATACAGCCCGATGTCAGTCAGGAAATTTGCTTAAAAGTTAAAGCAAAAAAAAAAAATTAAAAATGAGAAGATGCCTTCACTATGCCCTTTTAATACGGCGACCACAGTTCAACTCCCCCCCCCCCAAAAAAAAATCCCATTGCTTGTTACGCGACAGGTCTACTGTATTTTTGGTAACAGCCGATACTCCATCCAAGGTTGAATACTTGCCTGAAAGTAAACCCATTCAAGTCCGCCGAAGCGTAACCAAGTAGCACTCGATGCAGGTACTGCCTGATAATGGTATACTCCGCGTAACTTAGGAGTATAGTTTTCAATAATACGGCTGTTGCGCGGTTGGCATAGGCCTATTGGTTGGAGACTGTTCTCGATGCGGAGTAGCTATACGTTGGAATTAATTACATCTTGCACTCTTGTTAGTTCTGCCATCTGCCAGCGCGTGGCTGACAGATGGCATTACGGTATTTATTGCATGCACTGCATTATGGTATGCTCAGTGCAAGGTCAACCGATGACCCCAGTCTAGAATCAGGAACCAAACTCATTTCCAGAACTTGGCGCGGACTGTAACGTGTGATGATCGCGGCCTTTCACATTTAGGTTACGAACATTCCGACGGCCCAGCGAAAGGCAAATCTTCGTACAGTTGAAGGGTGAACTAGTGGACTGTTGAATCCCAGAGTTGGGGGCCTTACTCTATGGTTGGATGAACGGTGATGACTAATAAGATTACTACATGACTTGGTTACATGCATGTGGAGCAATAATGCAGTAGAAGTCAACACAGTCGCGGATCGCATGCAGGACGGAGGACGTGCTTCAGTGTACATGTACTACAATGTACATGTACATGTACATGTACATCATACCACCATCAAACACGAACGTTGAAGTCTAGATCGACAAGGGCTTTCCTCCATGGGTACCGCATGTTGGCATTTTGGATAACGAGGAATTAGGAGCATGAGATGAGTTCGGCTCCCGTGATAATTCCGAGGCTCAATCTGAAGATGCTTGAAATAAATGCCGAAACTGAAACTGCAAATGCTACCGTGTCGATCGTCGTGATGAAAAGATATTATTCTGGTTTATTTAAACCTTCAAGTTCAACCAACTGAGAAACGTTGTAGGTCCAGGCCAGTTCGCGAAGTTTTACTTCAAAATGCCGACTCGTAAGAAAAAGGGCGAAGCGAAAAAAGCCGGCACCGAAACTAAGGGAGGGACACGCCCATCTCGTGGTACGCGTCCAGTCAAACTGGAAAGAGATTTAACTTCCTCCGATTATCCTACTTCTGGCGAAGAAAGACTGGAAGTTGAAGGGGAAATATTCTTTGATGCTACCAATGATCTGACAAAAGCCAGAGACTGTGCCACCGCTCTGGCGCCCTCTGTTGACACAACTGAAAGTAAAGGCCACAAATCTCGGTCACGAGTGACTGAAATTGGGCAAGCTCCACAGAAAAGGACACCTTACTTCCCGAAGTATTTTTCACGACCTACCAGGTATAGCGTTGGCGTCCAAACCGTACCCCTGGAAAAGAATGGTGGTGGAATCAAAAATCCATCAGTAGAGACACTTCGATGGGGAGGCATCGACCCGGAAGAGATGGAAATGCTCCATCGTGAGAACTCATCTGAAGAGGAATACGAAGACGCCAGGGAGAACTTGGCCGAGAATCCCCTATTGAGACAGGAGGAAAGAGGCCGGGAACGGATGAGGTCGAAGGTCAAGTCCAGAGATCGCAGGGATCAAATGGTCCAGGTATCGTGCCCGAGAGAGACTTGCCAGGAAACGACGGACCTTGGAAGCCGGACTACCGGCAATCGTCTTGAGAAACATCCTCGCCAAGCCGGAGGCCCGGATAACTCGGTCGAGGAAGGATACCAAGACTCCCAGGAGCCTTCCTGCTGTTCTTGCTTGCTGACTGTACTATACTGGCTGGCTCTGATGCTCCTCATATCTTTGTTGCTGTCCTTGTTTCTCACTGTCTTCCTCCTGTTTTCTTGCAATCACGGTCTGGGGATCGGACCAGGCCTTCTGTACTCAGACGTGGGGCACATCCGGAACCAGGTCGACCCATATTTGGACCTCCGTCACAAGGGCCCCCCTCCGACGTAATACGTATTGCGGGTAAAAAACACAAAGAAACTGAAGCTCTATTGTATAGCGAGCCACAGACAAAATTAGGAGGCAACATGCCCCTGCTAAATGTTTTTGCAGTATTTTTGCCACTTTTTTATTCCGAAAACCAAATGTTTGATTTTTATGAATAATACAAAAAACACGACTTTGTACTGCAGCCTGAATAAGCATCCGACGATTGTTACGATAGTTTCAATTGTAGCTTTTTGAAAGTTAGTTAAGGACTGGGTATTTAGTTAATTTTTAAATTGTAATTATACTTTTAAAAGACAATTTACAGTACCCCATGACCCACTGTATATATCTTATCCAATAAGTTAACTTCAAAATAGTGCGGGTGTCTTTCATTCTAAATCCCCACTCTGTATTTAATTTTTTTAAAAAGAACTCATGAACGGTTCTGTCAAAGATTTCTTCATGCCTTGAATTGACATAGAACTTTTTCAGTAAACATAAATTATGCTTTCTTTGTTAATAGCGTTGTTAACTGTAATTGTAAACTACTGGCGCATTTCAAATTGATTTTCAAAGATTTTTTTTCAAACATTTTAACTTGACATTTTTTTGAGCTGAAAACTCAAATATCTGTTTATATTATATTGCTGCAAATCAATAGTTTTTGTATCGGCTTATTGAAGTGGACAGAGGAGCGTAGAATATTATAATTCAAAAATGCGTAATGTACCTTTGTTGTACCTGTGTGTTATTTCATTTCCAAAAGAAGGGCGAATCTGGGTAGCCGGCATTCCTCTTTTATCAATATGCAACTATCATGTACATTGTATTTTATTTATGGACCTTCCTTTCCCAGTTGGCAGTAGATATCCAGTTTTGATGTCGGGGGTGGGGGGTGGGGGGTGGGGGGGGGGGTTCAGCCCGCACGTCCGCGCCGAAATGTAGACTTTTTTTCTCCGGACAAAAAACTGGCCTCCGTAATATAAAAAAAAACGGGGGGGGGGCGCTCTTCAAAACTGACCATTAATACTATGCATAATCGAACATTTTATGCCGATTTTAACGGCGCGTTGTTATGGTTTTTGGAGCTGGTTTTCTTTTTTCGTGGTTCATGTCAGATCTTACTTACCCGCCCCCTGCCCCCACCCACCCTCTGGTTACGCCACTGTTTCCTAGAAGATAACTAGAGGTCACCCTGCAGCGCCCTTGGCTAATCGACCTAAAAAACACACACACACGAGGCCGAGAACATTCCAACTCCCATGTTCCTCATTAGAAAAAAATGATGATCGTGGATCGCATGACACTGCTTATGATGGTGACTACATCATAAAAGTGGAATGAAGAAACACATAACGGCGAACAGTGTGATGAAAAGGACGATGTACATTGTATATTACTCAGAAACCGTAATCGTGTATTGACGAAATTTAAATCTTCGACAATGTCCGCCTTATACTTATAGTAATATGTTAAGATTCTGATCAACATTTTCTATACTGTTAGTTGGCATTGGAGCAATACAGCTCATTATAATGATGTAGAAAGTAATTTTTAATGGGTGATTTTAAGAAAAATGTTTAACGTCAAACACAAAGTGTAGTAAAAAGTACGGAGGTCACTAATTTCCAACTTGTCCGAAATTTCGCTCTCTTTTGTAGAAAATACCAAATAATTTGCCAAGTAGGCTGCGACCGCTCGGCACACTTCAGAAGCTTTGTTCAAGACAGTTACTTTTACTACATTTTGTGTGAATTAATCCTCTGCCGTAATAATTAGAATCCTTAAAGTAATGATCCAGTGAAAGATTTACTGTCCGTGCTATTTTTCGTTTTACACCCCCCCCCCAAAGAAATACTGTAGTTTCGAAACAAATAAGTCTTTTTATTTGTTAACATTGTTACTTAGTGGAGCAGACGGGGGACGAGAAACATGTTATTCATTTTACTTGGCCCAATTGCTTAATTTTCCCCAGAAATACAAAGTTATTCACTATCGCCTCAAAAATACAATGTAGAAACAAAAGTAGCCATTTTTTCCCCGTTGAAATAAAACAGAGACCCCTGTCACTTGGAAATTCGCCAAGAGAGATGTTTGTTCCACTGCAGAACACGGCAGCCTGGGATATGGGACCTTATTACCTTTAACATTTTAGAAATTTTAGGCAATGTGATCTTCATTTTAACCCTCCTTAAAAATTGTCAAAAAATACCCCTCCCCACCCGTACCCTTGAGTTTGTTTCTGCATTCAAGGTTTTTTTTACATTGGTTTAAAATATACTCTTATTTTACAAGCCTTTTAGGTTTCTTCTGTTCTGCATTTGATAACCATGTATTTTCGTCTGCATAATTATTTTCGTGAATTTTATTTTTGAAAAGGAATTGTACAGACTTAGTTTGTAAACTGTTGGCAATGTTGCAAGGATGCTTTCTCATGACATGTTTTGTTTCAAGTTGAAAATTTCAGTTTATCAATAAGAACAAACCGCTTGAAGATGTATATTGAATTCAAGTTTAAAATGAAATTTCCACTTCCGCTGTGGTTTGATTGAATAGTCTACACACTGCAATTCTATTCCTCGAAAAACGCAATTTATGAAAGGTTAATTTTAATTTTAGGGTTCAGCGGGGTCCAGTGGCCCCCGCGGCGCCCCCCCCCCCCCCCCCATGGGCGTCGCGAGGGGCGCTTGCCCCCCCCCGGAAAAGTAACCAAAAAAAAGAAGAAAAAAAGAGAGAAAAAAGCAAAGAAAAAGAGGCGCGAAGTCATAGTGGTGTAAATTTAATGAGGGGGGGGGGGCAAAATGTCCCTGCCCCCTCTAAAACTGAGAAATCGAGAATATGTTGAGAAATACAGGATTTTTTTGGGAAAGATATATGTTTTGCCCCCCTCTAGAAAAAATCCTGGCTACGCCCATGGCCCCCCCCCCCCGGTTCCTACGTGCCTGAGGGTTCTGTCCTGAGTCTTACTCCACACCGATACGGTAAAAGAAGGACCTACTACATGTATATTACACAAAGTTTCTATAGCCTAAGCCTTATCCCCTGCGTTCCATCATCTTTTATTTAGTTAATTTACCTTTTCATTTATTTAAACGGATAACACAGGGGACAATACCCGGCACTCGATCGAAGTATCTTGCCTGGAGGTGCTCACATCACATAATCTCCGGCGGACATTATATGTCTCGTTTGCGGTCAATATTTTCGATTTTGTTCACTGCCCTTCGCAGCTCGAATCCTCCAGATGGTCACGGTTTCGGGATCACCGCATGCGGGTTGATCTCATTGATTTCGGACATTTAAAAAAAAATCTTCCTACTCAAAAACTGCAATTAAAAAGTTCAGAATTCAGAACACTTCAGACACAAAATAATTTTAATCATCGTTCGATAGCCCTAAAAAATGCGAGATATCGGCAAGAGATAGCAGGCTAGTCCTAGCTAGATCAGCGTTTCGATTTATAGTCACATGCGAGGCACCTGCTAAAATCACACCCACTCAAGCTGAGCGTCTGTCTCCATGGGTACAGCACTGAGGTCATTGGACCATGGCAGACGTGGTAAGCGCTAGCATGCCGTGTGTGCAGGCGTACCGCGTACGCACTGTGTACGTACATTATGACAATGATACAAAATGCATGCTAGCCGGCCGGTTCGCAATTCAGCAGGCTGACACCGCACAGAGAATCTGTCGTCATTTTGGATGGCTTAAGTTGTTCATCGAGTGTGACCATGGTGTGACAGTGTAATTCACTATTTGATCTTCACTCATTTTGGCCGATATCTAGTATTGGTGGTAGGAACATAATCAATTGACTGCAAAGGAACATTTGCACTTCTTAGGCCTACATTGCAACTGCAGGCCGACCACTGTCAGCTGACTGGAGTGGATATCTCGGATTGATCACCATGGGCTGTTGTGGTACACTGTTTGTGGACATGGTGGCCGAGTTTGACTATATAGGCCTCAAGTTTTTTCATCAACTTTGTGAAGCAACTTACTGCTGCTAAAGTGCTAATCTTTTTTTTACTACACTCTGTGACACAAAACCTGCCTTATCCTAAAGCGTAAGGCAACAACAAGCTGAATCCGTTTTAATTACCTCTTCTGTTTTTGACAATGACATAGAAATAGCATCTTTTTGACATATGATTGAAATAGAATGAGCTCCATTTTGAACAATGTTGATGGTGTCTCGTTGATCCAGATTCCAAGTTATGACATTTAAGTAGTAGCAGAACACTTGCATTTAATAGGCCTATAAATGGCATCAGTGGAGAAGGATTTCGGTGGACTGGGACGTCCCTACACATCACAAACGTTTACTCTGAAGTTGAAGAAATTTGAGTCGTACATTGCAGAACTGACCCAACAGGACAGTGAGGCTAGTGCGGAGGAGAGACGCCAAATTCTAAATGGTAAAAACCAATAAGGTGTAATATGCGCCATCTTGCCCGCGGCGGGGCAATTTTAAATGCGTTGCTGTGTACGCATCATCAGTGGAACACTTTCGCGCTTCCGAGTCATCACGCATTCACTCCAAAATGCGCCCGCGTCTAGCAACACGTGTTCTTTTTGTCCTGTGAACAAGATGGCGTATATTACTGTGAAACACCTTGTTCATGATGATATTGTTGGAAAATAATTAAAGGGGGGGGGGGGGGGGGGAGTGGATTCCTTCCCCTTCCTCTGCTGAGGACCTTCCACAGCATCCCAAATCAGGAACCACTTTCACACTAGCATTAATCCGACACAGCTTCTCATGGGTCTGGCAGGTAATCTAAAACCTACAGCTGACCATGCACATCGCACTGTGTAAGTGTGAACGGAACGCCGCAGCGTACCAGGGTTTGATTGTACACATGTCTGCTTCAACTTCTGGTTGACCCGTGTTGATTTCAACATGTGTAGGGGAGAAAATACTGAAATAGTATGGAAAGACATTTATTGAAAGGGAATGTACAACATTTGCTCTTGCTGCAATTTTCAGTAGTAAATGGATTTGGGGGATAAGAATAATCCCGGGACATACCGTTATTTCGTTTTACCGTTTTGCATTTCCTCAAAAACAAAAACAGTAAACGCACTGTTGACCGTTTTTTCGTTTTATAGTTTTGTAAAAGGTCAAACGGTATTAGGTCACAAAAAACAATGACCTTTTTGTTGTTTTTCTTAATTGTTGAAAGCGATAAACGGTTAGTTGCTTCATTTCAGAGTGTTGTTTTACAAGAACATGACAATGAAAAACGGTCAATAATCCTGTCGACCATTTTTTGATTTAGGTTTGGCAATTAAGCAATGCACCTAGGAATGTTAATGCGTCCTCATGGGATCGAATCATTGCCTGGGACCCAAATTACCCTCCTCACATTTCGTTCTCACGACATAGTTTTCGAACTGGCTATTGAAGAGCCGCGCCAAACTCCAATTTCCTTCAAATATCTGCAACTTCTTCAAACGTATTACCATCCTGTATTCATTGTAAAAAGTAATGTCATCCCTTGAAGTTTTCCAGCGCCATTTTTGCTTGCAACTCTTAAGCCCCACCAACTGAATCGCGTGAGAAGGGGGGTCAGGGTCACGCCAGGAATCACACCACGCATTATGCCGAGGTAACACTTTTTCATGTAACGCATGGTCACCCTCCATCCCCCTTGCCCAGCACCACAAAATGCACCACGGACTGCTCACTATGACACTGAAATAAAAAAAAAAACAGTCTGTATTCAATACTGACCGTTTTGCTGTTTTTCAAAGTTATTTGTGTAAAACTGTAAAACAAAAATCATTGATCGTGATGCTGTAATGAATTTTATTAAACTTATAAAACAGAGAAACCGTATTTTTTTTAATACCGTTTGACCGTTTTACAAAACTGTAAAACGACAAAACGGCCAATGGTTTGTTTACTGTTTTTGTTTTGAGGAAATGCAAAACGGTAAAACGAAATAACGGTATGTCCCGGGATTTAGAATGTTATAGCAAACATTGCTAAACTGACTTGTTTCACGTTTTGGGCTTGAAGATGCTGGAAAAACCAAGAAAAACATCATGTTCTTGGAGTTTGGTTCTCTGACCCCACTTGAGATGAAACAAAGCAGTTTGTCAACTTTGGGGAATTGTAAGGTCAGAGAATTAGTCCGGCAAGCTTGTACCCCTTCACAGGTGTGTAATCAATTGCAAAGAAAATGCGGAAAAAAACTAATTATGAACATTCAAGAGCAGTTTTTGAAAAAAGCCAGTTTTTAATACAATTTTCTTGAAAATGTCAGCACACCAGGAGCCACGATTTTACAGGATGCTTTAGAATGTCATTCCCTAACATCCCAGTAAGATATTTCGTAATAATTTGATCAGTTTCGTTTTTTGATGTTTGCAAATGTTGTATCTTCCCTTTAAGAATACTTCTGAATCCTTTGCCTACACCCATGTGTACATGGAGTTGTAGAGCTTTAATACTCTTTTGCACATCCAACAGATTTTCAATGGCATGTTTGAACTGACAGAGTTTTGGCAAACTTTTCTAGAGCTTGACTCTAAAAAAGTTTCTGGAAACACTGGACATGTTTGTAGCATAGGCCACAACAAAGTCTATGGAGAGTCACTTGAGTGCATTTTCAAAATGTTTTCCAGCAAAATTGGAAATGTTTCTCAGTCCCAGATTCATGTCCTTTCAACATTTTTGCAATGATTGACCTTCACTGAGATAATAATATGATGAAAAAGGTGGAGTCAGGATGTAATTCTTTCCAAGTTTCCAGAGAGACAAAAGTTTTTGGAAAGTTTCTAGAGCTTGGTTAGAATTGTCTGTTCAACCACAAATTAAAGTCTGCTTCAGATATTTTCAAAATGTTTTATTTTCAAAATGCAGAGAACCTTCGTTTTGACGTGTTCTGTGAGGCGATCCGTTCTTTGTTTGGCCCGGATATACGCAGTCAAGACTTGAAGGCCATTTTCAGAAAGATCAGCACCAACCCTGATGCTAAGGTGGACTGGAGTGAGGTATGATATTGGATTTAAGGAATGTTCTTCCTTTTTCTAATACCAACAGAAGCCAGCGCGGCAACGCTGTTAGATGGTGTTGATTTTCAATGCAATATAACTTAAAGCTATAGTCCATCATTTGCAGCCATCCGAAAAGTAACTGGCGTAATTATTGTTGAAAAACAAACTTGGTTGAAAGATAGTAAGGGAACTAAACTCCCTGTGAAATTATTCCTTCTGGGAAGCTGTCATTTTGAAGTAATCAACGAAAGAAGGCATTTCCAACGGTGATTCTTAAGAAGCACCGTAGGAAAATTTAAATTAGTAGTTCGTTTTGTTATTCAGCGCAGCGCGCACAAGTATTGGAACGACGCACACGCGCGCGTGGTTGTTATAATTCGTCGGATCAGTGCGCTACGTCGTGTAAAGCTGCAATTCAAAACAATTCAAAACATGATTCAGTAACTTTTGATTTGAAATTGAGATCTTAGAATGCTGTTTTTCTCGGAATGTACAGCTGAAGCTTAGCTGAAACTTCATCAGGTTAGTTGTTCAGTATCCTTCATTAGATTTTGAACCCTTTTGTTGCTTCAAACGAACAAAATGCACAAATAACAAATGATGGACTATAGCTTCAAGGCCAAGTACAAAATAAGCCAGTTTCACGTCCCCACCTGCTTCTTTTTTTCACGGTCAGTCATCTTCCTTTTAAAGGGAATATACATCATTTGCTTTTGCTGTAATTTTCAGAAATGGATGGAATTGGGGGGTTGGAAATATAAAGCAAATATAGTTACACTGACTTTTTGGAGGTTTTGGGTTCGAAAATGCTATAAAAACCAAGAAAAACGATCATTTTCCTGTAGTCTGGTTCCCTGACTCCATATAAGAAGAAACAGAGCAGTTTACATACATTTGGGAATTGTAAGGTCAGGGAACCAGTCTAGCTGGCTCGTACCCGTTCATAGGTTTGTAATCGATTGCAAACAAGTGCAATGGTCAATTGGGGCCAGTATTTGAAAAAAAAGCCAGTTGTTTCCAACGCTGATCGGCCGATCAGCGTTGGAAATTGATACAAAAATACCACTTTTCTTGAAAATGACAGTATACCAGGTGCCATAATTTTACAGGATGCTTTAGACTGTCATTTACCAACATCCAATTAAGGTATTTCGCAAAAACTTGGTAGTTTTATTTTTCGATGTTTGCAAATGTTGTATATTCCCTTTAATTTTTAAAAAAATTAAATTCATACATTGCAATATATAAGAATCCATCCGCCATCTTGGAAAATCAACCATCTTGGGGGAAAAAAATATAGAAAAAAATGCCTGCCTCCTTCATTTTTTCAACTGTTGGCAACACAAGAAGAATATATAGTTTTCTATTTGTCCAAGTATCATTTGATTTCGATGGAAATTTCATGTACATGATGTAAGTGCATGTGTTATAGTCAGCAGTTGTATGTGGAATTGTTGCCATAAATTGTCTGGCTGTTTAAAACAACGTAGGTACAATATCTTTCATTCAATGGCATTTTAAAATGGGGTTCTCATTTCTTGTAAAGTTCAGAATTGTGCCTTCCTGTTTCACTTGTATAGCTTGTTCCCTTAAACCTCAAATCAAAACCTGTTTTTGAGCATTGGCTATCTGCTGTTCCTAGCTCCATGGTTCTAGTCAATCTAGATAGCTAAATGGTCAGCTAAACAAACTTGACTTTTTGTTTGATCAGTTCACTGTACTACAATCACTGAGTCAACATGGACTTAGTTATAGATGCGTGGCAACTGGCAACCATTTCAAACATGCCGGCAATATCTGGGGGCTGGAGAATGTTTTGATGGACAAAGTGCCTCATTTGTTGAAGAGCCCAACAAGTTGAAATGTCCACAACAAAGAAAGGAGTAGACATTTGTTTTGGATTTAGTTGAGCTTCTGGCTGAGTATTCATTGCAACTGTATGTTTGAGCAGGGGTTAAAAACAGACTGGAACCTTCAGTGCAGAAAACATGCAAAAGAAATTCAGGCCAACATTACTCAACTCTTAAGCTGATAAAATTCTCCAAAATTTTCACGAGGAGAAATTAGGCAAGGTCCTCAGTATTTTACCAGCCACGTTTGAAGTCTCAATTCAATTTTTCAAGGAGACTTTTCATCAAAGGTTTGCACCTGAGAGTGAAGCCAAGTGATTTCAATTTGAAGCCTAAGACTAGACTGGTTCATGTCCAACTGTTTGAAAAGATTGATCCTTCAGTGGTCTAGTGGTGGACTATGGAGAGATGTGTAGAATTAGACTGCGTACCAGATGTTTCTTTTGACACGGTTGAAAAAGGGGTGTTGGGCTGGTTGTTTCATGTGCCAGTCTATTTTCCTGTGTTGCATGTTTTCAGTACCTCAAGTTTTGGGGCTCTCATACACGGTATTGAGAGTCCAAAATTGTTAGACTATAGGGGTAAAAATGGCAACTTGATGAACACTAGATACATTTGCATGTCTAGTTTTCATTCCGAAATGTTTTTCTGGATAAATATTGTCTTGTTTGTGTATTGTTTGAATAAATTCCAAGCAACTATAGACATGTTTTCTTCTATTCGCATCACTGTTAAAAATACTTTATCCACTTTGCTAGACAGACATCCTTAAGAAAATAAGGATTAGTCTGCTTACTGTGTGATTGACGCTTTTTTGTCATTTTTGCCATACAGCTCTTTGGCTACTTCCAGTCTGAAGATGAGGAACCAGACCAGATTCTTAATGAAGACATCAGTGTCTTCACAGTATCTAAGAAGCACCGCATTGGCGAAGCTGCAGGTACATGCACGACTTAATTCTCTCTGTAAAGGCACATTTGCAACGTGGCTACCAATTTAAGAAGAAAATCCTTACTCAATGTGAAGGTACCGGTAGAACTGGTACCAAATACCCTGTGAAATTATTCTGTCTGATGTGGTGTCATTCGGAAGCAAACAATCATTGAAGGTGGTTTTAGAAAATGTGTCAGTGTGCACAGTTTTTTTTTTACGTGAGCTAACAATGGAATCCATGTTACAAAACCCCCAAAATTGTACATGCATTTTCTCTGTTTTCTCAAAATGTATAGTATCCATTGAGCTGAAAGTTCAACAAAGTTGTTAGGCACCCTTCAAGATTTTGAGAAATGTTGAGAAATGTTGAAAAATGCACAAAAAATAAATAATGTTATGTACCTTAATTCAAATAATTAGAGTGCTAACTCCTCATTCCCTCACGCAAAATACTTTCGTATGCATTCTTGTGGCAGATGGTTAAATGAATGCGCATAATCGTAGAACATGACATGACTTTTAAGCCAGTAAGCTGTTTGCTAAGCACATTTTTATGCACTTAGCAAAATTCTGTACTTGGCAGCCGAACGAAATTGCCCCGTGTACTGTCCTCACTTGTCAGATAAATTTGTCATCCGCAAGGTTGCTTTTTGTTATGGATATAGCAAAATTTTATTATTTGCCAAAAAAGCCTTATTGTTGTTTTTTAATTTGGTGTTTTGAACATGTGTGGTCTAGCGGTAGAGCACAGGATTCATGATCGTGAGGTTGTGGGTTCGAGCCCCGCAGTGGCCATGCGTGTTATGTCCTTGAGTAAAGCGCTTTACCTCAATTTCTCCTCTCAACCCAGGTGTTAAATGGGTACCAGCATTATTCAATGCTGGGAAGGTAACAGACTCGATGTGGAGGAGGTGTGGCGATCCCCCCACAGCAGCATATGAGTCTGGCCCAATCGCTAATGAAAGAGAGATGGGCACTCCGTTCCTGTGAACACAGGTTCATCCCCTTTTGAGCATGTGTACTCATTCTTTCTTCATTTGATAGTATCTGAGCTCATTAAAGTCGCACTCTTCAATTTTGATTTCTCTTTAACAGGAGACAAGAAGCGGCGTGATGTAATCAGTGCCGTCAACTACAATCCCAATGTGGACATCTACACCTCTGCCTCACAGAAGGGTGCCATATCTGTCTGGAACAGCAAAGTAGGGTTTGCTATTAGGATCAGTAATCGTAGTGTGCATTTATGGGTGGTACGGGAACCGGGTACCCTATTGGAGTAAAACATGGGTACCTGGGTATCTGTAAAACCCCCAACTTCAAATCCTGGAAGTTCTCTGCGGGCTTGACAGCTTTACGGTGTAAACTGCAACTTATTTCAACCGCAACTTTCACAAGTGTTATCAGTCATGCGTGAAAATGCACATAAATGTGAAATCTGCTTTGGTTTTCCATGTAGCCTGGTTTTCATTTTGAAAATTCGCCATAAATGGCATTCAAAACCTTTCTGTTTCATTGTTTGGGAAGTAATTTGCAAAGTTGTTACGGGTACCCGATCCCATAATCTGGAACCGGTTCCTGACATCGACGGTCGGGTACTCGGGTACCTTTGTTCCAATGCACAGCCCTAATCGGTGATGTAGACGAAACCGTTTTTTTTAAAACAACAGGTAACTACGCTTTTGGAGGTGTAACAAATTTTTACAAAAAATTAACCTTTGACCTTACAATGTTTTTTTTTAACCAGAACCTGAGGCTGCAAGCATGCTGTGATTTAAATGTGAGTGTTCCTTCCCCCCCCCCCCCCCCCCGGAAAAAAAAACCCTCTTGCAATTTTTTCTTTTTTTGTAATATACTCAGGTGTGTGTTGTCAATTCGTAATGGTTTAAATTCAAATCTTGATAATCTTTTTGGCAACAAAAATTTGGTAGTGCTTTGTTTCATTGATCAATTTCATAAAGTTTGTCTGTATATTTCTTTCCCTAATCATCTTGCCTCAGACCTTTTTCTTTGTATTTTGGGTTTGGTTTTTGTCAATACAGGAAACATCATGGGTGACAGGTATTGACTATTTGCCTAGCCTGAGAAGAGTGACAGCAGCCACCGAACGCAGTATATGCATATGGGATCACAGGGCCAAAGGAAAGAACCAGGTTAGAAACCTTATAGGCTCCGTGCACAAGTACTCCCTTGTGCAATCAGTTTAATACAGAGAAAGATGGGAGGGACTGGAGTACATTACAACCATATGCCTGGGGCTGAGGCAAAGCCGAAATGGGTTTGTGTACATTCAGAATGAAATGAATTGTGTGTGCTTGGCATGGTCGATGATCTTGGCAAAAAAATTTGCCAGAGCCATGCTTAAGAAGAAAAGGGTGAAATGTACTTTATCACAAAACAGGACTTGATTTAATACAATTTAGGGAAGAAATTTCACTTTGGGGTAAACAAATTGAAAATGTAAAATTCCTCCATGATTTCAACCTTTAAATGTTGAAATAGTGACAGAAAATTCTCTTTTAATTGGTTCAAAGAATCAGCAAAAAGTCATGAAAAGGTCACAAAAAGGTCGTGCTGAGATTTTGGCTCTGAAAAACAATGTTAACCTGACAATGAATGTTGAATCAAATATCAGTACTTACTCCTTCATCAAATAATAAAAATCAATTAGGCTACCGTACTTCTTGACATATTTTGTCTCTGGAAATTTATCACTTTGACAGAAATTAATTGTGCCTGTGCTTGGGGTGTATGTAAAATGACTGGAACTGTCTCTTCTTCATTTCAGAGTATCTTTTGCATCAAGCCGACAGACAACTCCGTTCAGTGCATGACGTACGTGCCGTACAACACCACAATTCACGAAGACTGTCTCCTGTTCGGCGATGACCTTGGTTATGTCAGCCTGCTGCGAATAGCGGCTAAAGACCTGAACACAAAACACGCTAAGATTGACAAGCGCAATGGGAACTTGGTGATTGAACCATCCACATTGACCTAGTAAGTCACTTTACAAAACTGGACGTGTTAACATGCTTTGTTGCGATACATAGTACACAGGGGGCTGTATGATGTACATGTATCAGTCACTCTTAAAGAGGTTGTGGAATGCTCGAAGACATTTCCGTCATTTTTTGGGTATATGTAGCCTAAGGTGTGATGAAATAAAAACGACTATTGTTTCTGTCATGAAATGAGTACAAAGGGTACTTTTGAGAGCTATTTTTCAGGCCCTGTTTCGACCCGAACGTGCAATTTGTGTAAAAGTCGTTGTTGCGGGCAGCAAACAAAACACAGTAAATCGTGACGTAATAAACAGGACTCGTTTATGCTACTCTGCATCGGGAGTCCTGTTTATTACGTCACGATTTACTGTGTTTTGTTTGCTGCCCGCAACGACGACTTTTACACAAATTGCACGTTCTGGTCGAAACAGGCATGACAGGACTTGAAAAACAGCTCTCAAAAGTACCTTTTGTACTCATTTTATGACAGACACAATAGTTGTTTTTATTTCATCACACCTTAGGCTACATATACCCGAAAAATGACGGAAATGTCTTCGAGCATTCCACAACCTCTTTAAACCAGAATCACATATTTGTATAAATATTGTACAACAGACGGGTAGTGTATTGTTGTTAATAGCGGCAATATAAAAACAGAGGCGATGAACCTTGTGGTCTCAGTAAAATGAATTTGTGTCTCTTTTGGGGGGGGGGGGGGGGGGGGGGGTATTTTTTCTCCCCAAAATAGTGGACACAATTTCGGAGGATTTTAAGGAATTTGAAAATGGGTAATTCAGAACTTCTATCACTTAAGAAAACACAGGATGAAATGTGTATATAATCAAACGATTAATACAAGTTTCTTATTTATAATTATCATCCTGAATTTATCTCTTTTTTTTTATCGAAATGGTATTCTGACAAATGAAAGCTATAATCTTGAAAGTCTGTTTATTTAGCAGTCTCTATATGGATGTAATTTTGATTGATAGTGTTTTGTAGATTTTTCTTTAAAAATGGTTCTTGCAAGGAAACTGAGTCATTGAAAATGGAATTTCAAAGCAAGTAATCTGCCTAAATTTTTGGTATGTCAGTTATGACAGAAATATGAAAAATATATAACTTTTTTTCTTTTTTTACTTGCTTATGCAGAGATTTTTTAAAGTCATAACGTCCCACACGATTTGTTCTTTCTCTGTGCAGCCCGATTCAGAAGAGGAAACTTCACGATGATTGGGTCTTGAAGGTAAGAATTTGACTCATCGCTTGTACTTCAGTTTGTTCACTTAGCCATGCAGTACTTTGTAGAAGGCCATCGTTTATTAAGGTTACAAGCAAGCAAATTTGTGAGGTTGAAGGGAATATACAACATGCAAACATCAACAATCAAACGACCAAATTATTATGAAATACCCTACTGGACTGCTAGTGAGTGACAGTCTAAAGAATCCTGTAAAATCATGGCACCTGGTGTGCTGTCATTTTCAAGAAAAGTACTAATTTTATATCAATTTCCAATGCTGGTCAGCCGACCAGCAATATTTACTGTACAGATCGTTCATAAAGGTCTGCACTATATTATCATGCAGCACGATACAAGTGTGTGCACGAGCTCAATATGTAGCTTAACGGTGTAAATTGCATTTTTGCTAGCGTCATTATCGAGAATCTGTTTTGGTTTTCCATGTAGCCTGCTTTTCATTTTGAAAATCTCCACAATTGACATTCAAAACCTTTTTTTTTTTCATTGTCTGAGCAGTTTATACTAACATGAACACACATTCTGGAATTTGTATTCTTGTGGAGACATTTCTTTGGTCTCGTGTAGTAAAGTTCTCGAGTTTGAAATTGAAGTTTCAAAATGCTCTTATTTTAACCAGAATTAATTTCCTGGGCTGAAATTTGGACTAAATATCCCTTTTCTAAAACTCTTCCATTTGCGACAAATCAACCTACCTTGGAAATTCCTAGTTTTTGAGTAAAATCCATATATCTATTTTGTGAAATTCTTGTGGAGACGTATTCATCTATAGAAATGTTCTTGTGGAGACGAATACAATCTTTTGTTCCCTATTGTGTGCATGTCTCCGTAAGGTAGTAAATTCCAGCACGTTTATGCTAAGTAATAAGTGAGGTTGGTTACGATGCACAGCCGTACCTCCCATCCCAGTGGCCTCCCTCCAACTTTCTCTGTTTAACTGTTGAAGGAGTACTTGTGCATGGCTCCATACATTTAATTTCTTTGTGTTTTTCCCAACAGGTGAAGTATCTACCTGACCTTCGATGCTTTGCCTCATGCTCTCCAAGTAGCAACACATCCTTTGTCTTAGAATCTGTGGACAGATTAACAGATACTATGTAAGTGTGAATGAGAATGTATTTCATGTGTATCCATGCCATCTTGTTTCTTCTCAATTCGATTTACATTAACTCGTGAATCTTTGACAAAAATTAATTTGCAATTGTATCATACACACTGTCTTTGAATGATCCTATTTGAGCCACTCTCAGTGTCAACGTGAGTTTTAAAAATATAGTTTGGACAGTTGAAACAGTTATATCCGTTGTTTTGTTAAGGCAAAACCTTTTCCCGTTAACTATTTCAGAATTTGTTGTCCTTCTCAAATAGAACATGACTTTAAGTGTCTGGATGAGGGGTTCACTTGGGTCAAAGGTCTAAATTGACTTGTCAATGCCTGGCTTTGCTCAAGAGTTAAAGGGAATATACAACATTTGCAAACATCGGAAAATAAAACTACCAAGTTTTTGTGAAATACCTTAATAGGATGTTGGTAAATGACAGTCTAAAGCATCCTGTAAAATTATGGCACCTGGTATACTGTCATTTTCAAGAAAAGTGGTATTTTTGTATCAATTTCCAACGCTGATCGGCCGATCAGCGTTGGAAACAACTGGCTTTTTTTTCAAATACTGGCCCCAGTTGACCATTGCACTTGTCTGCAATCGATTACAAACCTATGAACGGGTACGAGCCAGCTAGACTGGTTCCCTGACCTTACAATTCCCCAATGTATGTAAACTGCTCTGTTTCTTCTTATATGGAGTCAGGGAACCAGACTACAGGAAAATGATCGTTTTTCTTGGTTTTTATAGCATTTTCGAACCCAAAACCTCCAAAAAGTCAGTGTAACTATATTTGCTTTATAATTCCAACCCCCCAATTCCATCCATTTCTGAAAATTACAGCAAAAGCAAATGATGTATATTCCCTTTAAACAGGAACTTTCTTTTGTGTATTTCTTAGACCCTGCAAGTCACTGAGCATTCCGAAGGGGGTCAACTGTTTTGCATTCTGTTCCCATGCCAACGTCATCGCAACGGGCGGCAACGACAAGATGAAAATTGACTTGTCAATGCCTGGCTTTACTCAAGAGTTAAACAGGAACTTTCTTTTGTGTATTTCTTAGACCCTGCAAGTCACTGAGCATTCCGAAGGGGGTCAACTGTTTTGCATTCTGTTCCCATGCCAACGTCATCGCAACGGGCGGCAACGACAAGATGATCCGCATCTGGCACCCTCACATCTTCTCCCGACCCACGGGGAAGATGATCGGGCACCTGTTCACAATCATCGACATTGCTGTCAACGAGAAAGATCAACACGTGATCAGCTTATCGACAGCCAGGGTCTGTAGATATCCATGTCAAAAATGGTCCAAGTATGGATTTGCATTTTATTCCTCTAGTCCAGCCGGTACCTGACAAGTGCAGTAAAGCTGCCGAGGCAGTAGTATACAAATATAACATGGGTTGAGGGTGGATAGTCGATATTAGCTCCCCGAGGCATTGGAAGTTGACAAAGTTTGCCTTGGGAACTAGTTTGTCAACTTCCAATACCAAGGGGAGCTAATATACAAATATTGAATGCTTCGAGTGGTGTAGTAAAACTAGCCTCCGAGGTGATCCATGGACCATTCTATTTTCCCGAGGCAAAGCCGAGGGAAAATAGAATGGTCCATAGATCACCAAGGGAGGCTAGTTTTACTTCACCACGAGATAAAGCATTCAATATTTGTTTTATAACACTTCACCCACAGATTCTGCTTGATTTTAATATTTTAAATTATTTAAATCTGAACACAGTTGAAATAAACTTCAATTTCAATACAAAATTGGTGGAAAATGTATCTCTCTCTTCCAAACTACCCCTTCACGAAATGTTTGAACCGAAGTCTGCGACGCGCTCTCTTTGGAATAATACGCGCTACGCACAACGCGCAACGCGCACACCAGCATGCATTTGCACACAAATACCGCGCCGTGGAAATAGTACTTTGGTTGCTAATGGTATAGTACTTTGGTTGCTATGCGCATAGTACTTTTGGCTGTGCACAGAAAGATAGCAAAATTAGAAAGTAACATGTGACTCGCTCTCGGCCAATCAAGACACAGAATCTGTGGGTGAGGTGTTATAATATCAACTATCCACCCAAAATAAACCATGTTATATTTGTTGTACTATACCTCATACATATTCAGTTGCCGACTGAATTTTCCCGTTGCAGTATGCACCTCGGGGGCTTAAAATCTTTGGAGAAACTTGTCCAGCTCACCAGAAGAATATTGCTCAACCTCAGAAAAGTTGTTGCTGAACAACTAACCTGATGAAGTTACAGCTCAGTGAATGCTGTATATTCCGAGAAAATTATATTCTAGGATCTTGATTTCAAATCATAAGTTGCTGAGTCATGTTTTAAATTGGGCCTGAATTCAGCGTCCGAGACACGTTCTCACTGAGCCGATTGCAGCTACGTGATGTCGCGCACTGAACCTAGCAATTATAGCAACCGCGCACACGTGTGCGTTGTGTCAACACTTGCGCGAGCTTTGCCGAATTAAAAACGAACTACTAATGGAAGTTTCCAAGAATGCGTCTTTAGACGCATCGTCAGAAATGGCCTTCCTCCATTGATTTCTTCAAAATGACAGCTTTCCAGAAAGAATAACTTCACAGGGAGTTTAGTGCAATTACTATCTTTAAACCAAGTATGTTTTTCAACAATAATTACGCCAGTTACTTTTTGGATAGTTGCAAATGATAGACTGTACCTTTAATTGACATAAGAAGTTCAATCATCGTTACTGAATTCTGCTCTGGTTGCAGGTATTCCGTGTATGGGACATCCACACACTGACTAGCCTGCAAGTCTTCACTGATAACGAGGAGAGACCAGGAGAGAAGCGGATTCACTGCATGGTGTATGATGAAAGACACGAGCGACTCATTACAGGTGACTGTACTATTATGCCCAAGTGTATTGCATCTTCTACATTTATTAAAAACTTCCAACAGTTGTTTGTGTGGTTATTACTTTGAAAGTTGAGCCATTGAGCATTTTGACCCTAGTTTGCCATTCAGACTCTTGATATAACTATTCAGAATATTGTGACAGGCATCGGTGCTTTAGTACTGACTGAGGTGGCATAATGGTTAGTGGTGGTGAACCAAACGTTAGGCATCATCTAAACACTGCAGTCTTGATCATACCTTTTACCAACACTAGGGCATGCACAGTAGCCTAGTGTTGGATTTTTCTTGGGGGAGGGGGGTTTACCCAAAATTTTGTTGGACTTGGGCTGGCTGTGAAAATTTGAAAAGGGGAGGGGGGGGGTTCACTGTTCATAAAGGTTTGTAGAACACCATGGTCCAGTGGTTACGGTGTTTGACACTTGTACGAAGGTGCGTGGGTTCGAACCCTGCCCAGGAACATGGTGTTTGTGCCCTTGGGCAAGACACTTAACTACAATTGCCCCTCTCAACCCAGAAGTATAAATGGGTACCTGTGAGGGTCGAGGACCGATTGAGCGCTGATATCGGCTGCCGCGTGATCCCATGGCCTGATGAGATTGAGATTGTTGATACGATGGAAAGTGCTATATAAGCACAATTATTATAATTATTAATTATTATTATAATACAGACATGTAGGATGTGTGCACTGTATAGCAGTATTACTGCATTTAAGGTATGTCCATGCACTTTTTAATATTACATTTCCTGACTTTGAATAGCTATAACTTCTCTAAAAGCATCTGTTTTTTTCCTTTGAACACCGCCCCAAGACGTGACTGCAAAACATAGCGGAACAATGTTTCTGCTTCGTGTCAACCACCTCTATGAAACTGGCTCCCAGTATGGAATATGACTTCATTCACACCACGTTTAAACTTGAGATTTCTTCCTTTGGTTGTAGGGTCCAGTGTGCTGGATTTATGGCCACTGACCAGGACAGTACAGGACACAATGCAAGTTCCCCACACCCATGACCGACCAGTGGCTCAAGTACTCTTCAATCAAGAACTGAACCAGGTTGTCACTGTCTGCACTGAGTCTATCATCAAGGTAAGACCACTGCTCAACGTGCCCCTGCTTAACTGTAAGCGAAAAAATCCCACTTACGGCTGGCAAATGTCACAGTTTAGTAAGGAATTTGAGCTTATGTGCATTTTACCTTTCGTAACTAAGGATTCTGTGCTAACAGAGTTAGCATATCATTTTTTGACTAACGCTGTTAACACAGAATGGTGATCGTAGGCGCAGAATGCTGTGGTTAGCAGAGCCGTAAAATTGGGCCCAGATCCAAATTTCATGGCCCTGCTGAACCATAAGCACAAATACCTGCTTACTGTAGCAGGAAAACCAATGCTTATAGTTAGCGAGGATTTTTTGCTTATGCGCATACGTTTATCCAGTAACTATAAAGATTATGTGCTTACAGGGTTAGCACAGAACTTTTTTCTGCTAGCACTGTTACTGGAGAATGGTGATCGTAGATGCAAAAATACTGTGGTCAGTCATGAAATTGGGCAAAGAAGATGGGGCTGTTATAAACATGGAAATTCTTCTAAACACCGAAGATATTTGTGAAGCAAGAAAACAGGGGACAAGTACACGAAACTCATCTTTTATGACTCGCCTTAGGAATTAAGACGAGCCCCCGTTCTAAGATCGATCCTAGCTTAAGATGCGTCCTCAGACCGATTTCACTAAATGCATCTTAAGCAAGATGTAACAGAAATACAGTTAAATGCCAACTATGACAGCTGTTTCATGTTTGTTACTGCTGGACGAAACGGTCCGTCGGTGAGTAACGCGCAAAACCAATTTTTTTAGGGCGTTATTAATAGAACAGAATTTTCACCTGGAAAACAATTATGGCGTTTTGAAGTGGAGACTCATTTCTTTTACATTTGACAATAAGAAAAAAGACCTTTCACTTTTTTGTTAATCTAGGTGTGGGAGTTGGAGTCCGGCAAGCAGGTTTATCATGTGACTGAGTCACATGGTCCTAACGTGGAGGTCACAGCCATTGCTGTCGACAGAACAGGGTACAGACTAGCATCTGGGGCACTCGATGGTAAGGCATTGTGGGCTTGGCTTTCTTCACTGGTTTTCGAATAGCTCTGACGTGAATAGGCTAATTAAAACATTCACAATAACCTTAAAGGTTACATTCAAACTAAAAAAAACCCCAACTTTCTTCAATCAATCAATCAATCAATCAATCAAAAGAAATTTATAAAGCGCCAAAATCAAAAAGTTGGCTCTAAGGCGCTGATGGGGCACCAAAAAGAAGAAAAATTATTGATGGTACACCTCCTGAAACTGGTGAGCTTTCAGGAGTGTCTTGAATGTATGCAGTGAGGTGGTATCTCTACTGTATTCTGGAAGTTTGTTCCAAATTCTGGAGTAAAGATAGGACTGGTACAAATCATCCTTTGCACTAAGCCAGTTCGCAATCTCGATGAAGTAGTCCATGTCAAAGGTCAGTCGGGATCAAATCGCTGACATGATAAGTGTTACGCGGATGCACATTCTAGTTGTTATTAGCGCAAGAGCGTTGTGCGCCCATCTCCGTGCGCGTTCATACGCCTCAATTATCCTGACTGACCTGTGACCCATATCGTTGTGCATATGCCGTAGCTGAAATACCGAACTGGCGTATTATTTTGACACACCCAAACTGGCTTTTTGCACTTTTAAATGCACAAAAAGGTCTGCCTGATATATTGGCGGGTCACAAGCTATAGGAAATTTGTAAAGTATTTATTTTCTCATTCAAAGTGTCTCTCAAAACTGGTAAAACATTTGTATACCTGAAAAAAGAATCCCATTATTTTTATTTTTTATATATCTGTTTTTTGGGTGTGTGTTTTATTTTTTTTTTTTTGGGGGGGGGGGGGGGAATGAAGGATCTCAAAAAGAACTACGACAGTACATATTTCACAAGCTTAGCCCTGCCCCTTTAATACTAGAAACCCAAACACAGGAAAATACTGAGAAGTAAGTATTTACATTTAATGACTCCCCAAACAAAAAGTATATTTTAATCAAGACTTACAATATCCGATTGTATTGACAGGCTCCCTGAAGGTCTGGGACTTTGGCAGTGGCCAGGAGATCAGGTCTTGGATGCCCAGTCAGGAAGCAGAGAGAGACGAAGACATCGGTGTCACCAGCCTACTGTACATTGAAGTCAACGAGAAACGCTGCATTGTGGCGTCGGGGTGGAACAACAAGCTGAGATTGCTGGAGGTATAAGGACAAGAATCAGTCCCCTCCCCTCCCTGCACTTCCAGTAAATGTCCAAAATAGCCAAACCAGCATTAAAAGTCAGTTGGCTTCGTTAAGTCTTTTGTCCAGCTAGTTTTCTTTGCTAGTTCCTGATGACCGTACTTTCAAGCAATGGACTCACTTTGCTGCCTTTATTACTTCCATTTACTGTCATAGTTCCTCAGTCTAGCACTGTGAGATATTTGTCAAGTTTTTCACTTCGTACCGCCTTTCTCTGGAACTCCTTACCTGAATCTTGCTTCACTTCTATGTAATGTCTTTTGCAATTCAAACGAAATGTGAACAGATACCACCTGTCACTGTGACTTTTTCTATTCTTTTTCTATTCTCTTTGTAGCTAATTGACTATCCTCTGCCTTCCACAGAAACAGCATCCAGTTTGTAAACAAATGTAAAATGGCCTTAAGACCGTCTCAGATAAGTCATGGAGATTTGATGTCCCCTTCTGTATAAAGAAAACTTAACAAAAGTAACACATCCTTTTTTTTCACATATCTGCAGGACTCACTAGACGTCGGTGACTTGACACCCTACGCGGAGTTCTCGGATCTGTTCTATCTGCCGTTGGACACACCATCCAATCACCCACTGAGCATGAGCAGTCGGAGTTCAAGCCCATTCAGTCGGACCAGGCCGTTGCCAAGTATCGGCCACGCATCGGCGCAAGTCACAAACATCACCAGAAAGGTATGGCAAGCACGAGACGAATACCGTAATTTCCTGCGGATAAGGCGCGCGGCGGATAAGGCGCAGGTCCCTAAAACACCTCAAAAAAATTCAAACGCCAACAGATAAGGCGCACCGCCGCATAAGACGCATGTTTGACCGCACACAGAAGAACACCAGGCGTCACCCGGTGTCGGTACATCGCCACAAAGGGGCCATTGTGTTGCCTTAGAACGATCACACTATTCGGAGGATGAATTAAACCGTAACCACATTGGCTGGTCACATGTAGAGCCATGAAGAAAAGACCAATGTAAATTGATACCGACCTTCATCCATTCAGCCAACGCGCGCTGTGCATGCTTGCTTGCAGTTTCCAATCCTGGCCTTCCTTGGCCTTAAAAACGATGGTCCACGCGCTGTCTTAAGATATTGCAACACGCACGCCGGATCAGATTCGTAGACTTGCCCAGTCCCTCCGAGCCAGATGTTGCGCCCTCTACCGGTGACTAATACAAAAACTAGCGAGTGAATGCGATTTCCAAACGTTTAAGTAATTCTGATTGCAGCATTTTCGGAATGAAAAAACGGCCACAAAGAAAAACGTTTGTATGACGGCATTGTTGGAACGAAAGCACGATCACTAAGGGGGATCAACGCATTGCAGCATTGTTGGAATGAAAGCACGATCATGGAGGATCAACACATCGCGGCATTGTTGGAATGAAAATACGGTCACAATGTCTGGAGAGTTGAGCCTTGGTTGACCGCATTATTGATTGCGGCATTGAAAGAATTCTTCACACAAAGACCGTCACTTTGAACTCAAGCGACACCAGATAAGGCGCACCTGTAGATAAGGCGCAGCGATGTTTTTGTGGTCTAGAAAGTCAGATAAGACGCGTCTTATCCGCAGGAAATTACGGTAAGTACATTCTGGTCTGAAAACCTTGTATGTGTGTCAGGGATGTAGTGGAAGGTCATTTGAATAGCTTGTGAGTTGAATTGGGCTGGATGACTTGTGATGGACTTGCAGGGACTTGTGATCAAAGGCACAAAATCGTGCTTGGGTGTGTCGAGTCCATCACAAGTCCCTGAAAGTCCGTCACGAATTCTCCAGTCCCAATTTGTCATCGGCACCACGAACTGACACTCACATGTGCGTGAGACCAGGATATTTTAGGTTTCACGAACTGACACTGACCTTAATTCCACCTATTGAAACGGTTTTTAATTAAATTTTTGTGTCAGCACACAAGTATACGGATGGATTAAATTCGTGTGAAACCTTTCAAACCGTTTATTGCAGCATCATGCTTGGGTGTCAGTTTGTGAAAATGAAAATCTTTCTATTTTGCATCAGTGTCTGATGTGCACGCGCACTACTGTGTGTCAGTTCGTGAAACTGAAATTGTTGATTTCATGGTTTTCACGAACTGACACCCACTTGCACGTGAGTGTCAGTTTTTGGTGCCAATGCCGAATTCAATTCATATTAAGCTATTCAAATGACCTTTGATATAGGTATAACTTTGTTGTTGTTCATCCACTGTTTCTTGTGACTGGATTTGTGATAGACTTGTGGTGCTTTCGATAACATCCATGGTATGTGTATAAACAAGAATAACTTTGAATGCTAGGTTTGTTTTTAATCCTGTGAGCTTAATGATTGTACCATACCCCCAGCAATTAAAATGTGTATTGCCAAACCAACAGAATGTATTTTGTTGGCCTCAGTTTTGTAGTTTAGTCACTTAACCCCTTGCGGACGGGGCGTAATGGGGGCATTCCTCCATACATAGAGCAAGTGACCCACATGACTACACAGCCTTTGTGTGGTAGCGGGACTGCACAAAAGCAGCAGCTGTAGAACTACCCATTGGCCGTGTGCCACGGCATACCACAGCTGGCAACTGCATTCCAATGAGGATTAGCGGCCGGGTGGCGATAGCCGCTTCCCGTTTTGACTTTATAGAATAAGAGCATTATGCTTTGACTTTATAGAATAACAGCACAGAGATGACGGAAAATTGAAGAGTTGAACGAGACTTACCTGGGGAAGTCGATGTTTAACTGTAGTTCTATACTGCTCTCTGGACGGATTTTAGGGAACCGCCTTTTGCGAGTTGCCATGTGTGAGGGGCCTTCTGGCGGGGGGACTTCAGGGAAGGGGGGCTCCGGTCTGGTTCTGGAGTAAGGGAAGAGGGGGGCACGCAGGTTCTTTGTTGGAGTGAGTGCTGACACGGAAACTGGATCTCCCTTGCTCTGACTGTTTATTTAGACTGAATCGGCCCAGGTGGGGCCACCTGTAAAGATCGGGCAGGCACTCATAAGTTTCATTTCAAAATACAAACAATGTACATGTGTAACTCATGAAATAATAAGCGTACATGTATTAGAAAGATGTACACACATTACCCAGTTAATTACCAAGAGTGAAAAGCCTATATGCAAGTATGGTGACCGCATCGAACACCCAAGGATGGAATCACAAACAGACAGGCCGGCCCTGCGCACTGACTGACCAACACTCGCACACACTATCACACACCACAAGCACCCACATCCGTCCCTAAAATGCACAATATGATCACCAACTTACATGAACTTTCCAAAACTATATGACAGTGACAGTTGTAAGCATTTCTATAAACTGGTCTCCAGACAATTAAGTGCCCAATAATGCAATATAGGCCTATGTCCAAATAAAATCACTCTTAAACCACAAACTACTGTAAGTTACATATCACAATACATGTACTGCTCACGCACGCGCACTGCACATGGTCACACTGTGTGTGCCATCAGTGCAAACATGGGTTGCTAACCCTCGTGCATTTGGTCACAGTGCTCCCTAAATCTTACAGCAAAAATCTCTCCAAAAACTTCATTACATTCTCCAAAACTACCACCATATTACTGCTCACGCACGCGCACTGCACATGGTCACACTGTGTGTGCCATCAGTGCAAACATGGGTTGCTAACCCTCGTGCATTTGGTCACAGTGCTCCCTAAATCTTACAGCAAAAATCTCTCCAAAAACTTCATTACATTCTCCAAAACTACCACCATATTAATCTATAATAATTTGCTGATACAATAAAGGGCACATAAGTAATAATCATCTGGATTTTTGGTGAAATAATTGCATTCAAAAATGACCTAAAAAAGTACAATACATTTACCTGTAAAGATCGGGCAGGCACTGCCTAGCCTAGGCCTTGCCGGGACCGCATGGTTTGGGAGCTGTGAATTAACAACGTGCAGTTCACGTCAAGTGAACAATCCACAAAAGTGATCTAAAGCCAAACCTATGATGACAAATAATTTGATAATACACATTTCTAATCAAGATAAGCATAATTCTTCTTTAAAATCTAAACATAATGTTCATTTTCCTTGACTAAGAAATATTCACAAAATACAAGTTCAAAATCACAGCTCCATAAATCAATACTATTTTTGGCTCCACTAGAAAAATCAATACTTTGTATAGCCTTGTCTCGAGTCACACTGAGTAGACTTCCCTCAAGTCACATGAATAAATAACAAGGTAAATGCAAGGTTTGAAGTGAATAAACAACCAGAGAAAGGGGTCATTATAGAAGAACAAGAAATATAATCAACACAACCATTACACATGGAATAATCCATTACAAGTATTCGCTGTTTTTCCTTCTCAGGATAATGTCTTAGAGAGTCATGAGGTGACGTGCATGACACCCCTCCCACCGGACTGCTTAGCCACTGGCTGCACTAATGGTAACATCATCGTGTGGGATAACGTCACAGCGGCGGTACAGCAAGTGTAAGTCATTGTACAATTGTTGTTTGCTGAGATGTAGCCCATGGCGTTTTGTATGCCCGAGGGGTGGAAAGGGCACCGAGGTGAAGACGAGGGTGCCAATTGCCCCACAAGGGCATACAAAACCCATGGACTGTGTAACAACGGACTTTTGTTTTAGTCTTTATAAAGTTACAATAGCATAAGTCAATAAGTCAATGTTTGTAAAGAAGAGATTACACATTTCTAATTCGCATTTCTAATTCTGAAGTCCTATTCTTTGGTCTCCGGTATGCGTGTCTGCATTGCACGCAGTTCCGTGTTGACACGGCATGTCCCTGGGTACCTAATTGTGCCAAAGGTTTATTCTACCTGTGTCATGCAAAGCAAACGTATTCAGTCTTTGAGAATTATCAAGGTGATGTGCGTGCCTTTGGTTCATTAGAAGACGTACTCGGCAGGGTCCATCAGAAAGACATACATGAACTTCTGAGATACGTCACAGCCCTCAACCAACCAATTCATTAATGCTTGAGACAGTTTACCCATTCCTATTGGTCGAGGGCCTTCCACGTGGGTGGTTAAACACCACTCAGTGTTTAAACAGCCATATTTAAAACCAGTTGCGAGCACTCGCGCTCCGCATGAGAGCCACTGATATGATCTCCCACGGCTATATCTCCTGCCGTGCTCACCATATGAAAGTCCCAAACATGGAGTAAAATAAAGGTAAAATGGTGTAAAAGGGGGATGAACCTGTGTTCACAGGAACAGAGTGCCCATGTCTCTTTCAAAGCGATTGAGCCAGACTTGAGTCCATGAAATGCTGCTGTGGGGGGATCGCCACACCTCCTCCACAGTGAGTCTGTTACCTTCCCAGCATTGAAAAATGCCAGTACCCATTTAACACCTGGGTTTAAAGGAGTAATTGAAAGCGCCTTATACTCAAGGGCACAACATGCATGGCCACGGCGGGGCTCGAACCCACAATCTCACGTTCATGAGTCCTGTGCCCCACCGCTAGACCACACGTGCCCCAAAGAGTAAAATGGTAGAACACAAATCGTTGGAAGTTTGTCAACTTTTCAAATTTGTATGGTTTTTTTTACCAAAAAGGTATTTACGAATGGGGATAATAGTGTGATGGAGCAGTTATAAATGTGATGTTTAAAACCAATTAGGGTCCTGGTTGCTGATACTGGCCTGAGCCGAAATCGGTGGCCAGGCCCCTTACCGTTTTTAAAACACTCGTTTATAACTGCGCCATATCATCGCCTTAATCTTTTACCACGGCCTCTGTTGTGTTACATACATTTTCTAGCAGTAACACTAACAATCCTTTCCTCATTTATTAAAAAAACCCTCTATACTTAGGTTCCGATTGTACGAAATGCCACCAAACAGCAAGAATGAACACAGTGAGAAGACTGCGCACCCGCGACGAGTGAACACATTACTGCTGATGGTACACAGGACAAGGAAACCAGACCCAGCCTACATCAAGTGAGATTAAAAAATATTGTAAACAAGATTCTTTGCAGTTTTGCAGCGTGATTGATGATTGTTGCCATCCATTTTTCCCCATTCCAATTCTGAATTTCAAGTTGCCCTCTGAAAATATAATAAGCAAAAAAAAATAATAACTAAAAATATACTTTCAATCCAGATGTAAGGATAAGAATGAAAAGGGGCATTTTTTTTAAAAAGTAAATACATGTATTGTCATTATAAACTATTAGTATTAACAAACTTTCTGTCCATGTTTTACTTACACAACATTCTGAGCATGTATATCTTTTAAAATCTGCCCGGAAAGTCTTAAGTTCTCGATGAGCACAATCCTTAACAAAGGGGTGGGAATGTACAAGGGGAAAAGAGGACAAACAACTTGATATTATTATCCTGCTTCATTTCCCAATCCCACCCATGTTACACTTTTGTACCCATTTAGAGTGGAACGATCAATTTCTTATTCATCCATTTCCCCCTATCCCTAACTTTCAGGAAGCTAACAGGCCATGTCTCGCCCAGCTTCCCCACCCCCTCCGATGCTGATGAACGGGAGATGGACGCAGACTCAACGGCCGACACCAGGTCACGAACGGTGACCAGCTCCTCACGCATGGGTACCGGGATGGCCCCGATGATGGACCCAGTGGCAGAAGAGATGGAAACCGGCCAAGACAAGCAGGACCCACTCGGTAGGCAGAAAATGTAGATGATGCATCACTATAATAGTTTGGTCCTTCTCCTTGTTCCCAATTACACCGAAATATGTGTGCATTTATGGGTAGTACGGGAAACGGGTACCAGACTGAAAAAAAACATCTACCCCAAAATTCAAATATCAGAAGTTGGTGTTCAGATTGTTTATAAAGGTCCGCACGATAATACTACCGCATTGGTGCATCAATACAGCCAGATACAATTGAGTACAGTGAGCTTTATAACTTTATGGTAATACGGTGTAAGCTTCAACTTTTGCGAGCATCATAATGTGAAATATGTTTTGTTTTCCCATGTAGCCTGGTTTTCATTAAAAAAATTTCCCCAAAATGACATTCAAAACCCTTGTTTTTCATTGCCTCAAAGTTACTAAGTAATTTGCAAAGTTGGTTACGGGTACCCGATCCCATAATCTGAACCGGTTCCTGACATCGACGGTCGGGTACTCGGGTACCCCGTTCCAATGCACAGCCCCATACTGTGGTCTCTGAGCACAAGTAACCCTCAATGGTTAAAAGGGAGAGTTGGGTTGAGACCCCTGGGAAGATCTCTTGAAAGGATTTCTGAAGGCGTGTGATGCTCACACGGTGGCGCTACATGCATGTGCAGATTCAGAATACAATTAGACTTTCGCACAAACGCGCGCAAACCATTACGCGCATGCGGTGTGTCCCTCCCAGTTGTTGAAAGTGGTCAAACTGTGCCATCTCACTGTTGGTGCGTGGAGTCCTAGTGGAATCTGGCGACCAGAATTAGAAACTTTTACTGCAGTAGTGCCACGCTCACGCACATGCTCCACGCGTTCTAAAGCCAGCCTCAGGTCGACCTTGCAGATCGACACGACACAGATCAGACTTTTTAGGATCAAGCTGCGCCTGAACTACCACCGTCTCGAACAACTCAGTCGCCGATTTTGTGTGACCTGAATGTAACTGTGACGATATTAAAATGATCGGCATCAGTTGGCGCTCAAAAAAATCAAGTCGCAAGAGTAGAAAAATGTCAACTTCTGCGACGTGTCCTGCGATATCAAGATCAATCACATGATTTCTCAGTTTTGTGACCTGAGCATAATTTGTGTGCTTGATGCCGACGGTTCCATTTCGCGCAAGCAAATCGTTGGTCGACCTGAGGCCGGCTTTAAAGACCAGGCGCATTCGCATTTTGGCATTCCTTATTGGTCGAAGGAACCCTGAGTGCGTGTGTACTACCTGAGCGCGACTCACGCGAGCCTGGTGCCACCGCAGAAAAATAGCTGCCGACGGATTTGTCCTAAGCACCAAGTCTTTGCTGACACAGTTCTCCGAACGAGTACGAATATGAATGCCTGGATACACGCTGCTGACACAAATATGAAATAAAGCATGAATATTTGTAAAAGGACTCGGACTTATTTATTGGCTTAAAACATTGTTTGGTAGAGTGAGTGTGAACATCTAAGTACAATTTGAAATTTTTTGTTAGTAAATTAAACAAATACAGGCCACGTTAATCTGTAGGCTAAGGGTACACCAATTAATCTGAATTTGCTTTTTGGAATACAAAACAGCATAGTGCAGAACAGCATTTAGTATCTCGCGTATTAAACTGTCTTGTTTTCATTTTTGTCATCATTCGCAGAGGAGGACAAAATTGAGACTGATGAACAGATGGAGGAGGAGGTCGGGCAAGACGAAGGACTGGACAGGCAGCTGACACCGGAGGGCGATCACAACGTGGACGAGGAGCTGGAGAACATTGACCCGACGGCTAAGATGATAGTCACGACCTATGACCCCATCCTGGTGTCGTGTCACTCGGATGCCTTCATACGTTTCTGGGACATGAAGGTATTAACTAAAATCTGGGAGTCAGGTTGGCGCAGCCTGTGCTTTCCATGCCTTCCATTCCTCTGTGGCCAGGGTTCGAATTCCACCCAGGCAGGCGTGTGGGTTCAGTTTCCATTCCTTACCTAAATTTTTTCCAATTCGTATTCAAAGTCGCATTTATTTCCATACCAAATGAGAAATAGAAGTATAGAATACACGAATAAGTAAACAAATTAGTAAATAGAATTGTCAAAAAGGTGTAAAATTCGAAAATATATATATATGTATGGAGGCATCTTCTAGAAGCCGAGGCTTGTGGCGAGATGTCTTGGACGGACTAGTACAATACAGAAACAAGAACAAGTACACACGGACAGTTGGACCAAGACAGAACCATAAGTGAAGAGAGAACACAAAAAACCATTTGCTGAAAAATCAAATGAGAAGCAAGCTATGTCAGATATTGAGAGATGAGAGCTCTTTTATAGGCATGGTTGAATCGACCCACAGATGAGAAAGATTTAATAGATTTGTCAATGGCATTCCAGAGATGAGGCCCATGAATCTCCTTTGGGGGGGGGGGGATCTTCCCATCTCTAACACTGGACTTTCTTCATTTCTTCGTCGTCTTCTCCCCCCAGGTTTCTTTAGGCTTCTGAGCTGCAGTTTGTTTTCATTACCAGAGAGAAATACAATCATTTTTCAATGAGTCATGCTGTGGTGTTTGATATTTGTTAGGGTAGTATGAAGTTTAATGTAAATAATTTTTTTGATAAAAGTGGCTGATGGAAACTAAGTACCCATGGGTCTCCGTGAACAAGACTTGGGGGGGGGGGGGGGGGCTTGAGCCCCCAAGAGGTTGTCAATTTTTTTTTTTTTTGGTTAATTTTTTTTAGTCCCATGATTTGACCGTAGTGATAGGTATGTGGCTCAATGTCAAAATAGTCCTCCCCCCCCAAAAAAAATATACATTTTCTGCAGCCAAAAATTGTGGCCAACATTTTTTGAGAAACTTCTAAAAAAAAAAACGTTCACAAAAAGAGAGTTGAGGGAGACAACTGGGAGGGACTCGTGAATGCATTTGCACCATACGCCTGACGCTCGCACGAAGACGCGATAGGTTTGTAAACATTCTCCCCGCCCTGTTTTTCTGGAATAATGAGCCTTTTCCAAATGTTCATATGTGTAGTTCCTGTTCGGGTTGTGTTTTTGTTTCAGGGTGAGATGGTGCGTGAGATCTCTGCCATGACAAGGCGGCAAGGTTCCCCTGTGACTGCCGTGTGCTGTGACGAGGACGGCAATGTACTCATCACAGGAGATAACAGTACGGCTCATTTCTATCCCTCATTCATTACAACTCTGTTGAAGAAGTCCGTAGTAAACTAGAGAGGGTCAGCGGTAACACCGTGTGGAAGAATCTCTTTAGAGAAGATGTGTGGTTCTGGAAAGTCACCTGAAGATGATCACAGTATTGATTGGAATGTGGAGTTTCACAACCATCCAGATCTTTTCAGAACCACACATCTTCTCAAAAGAGAATTCTACCACAAACCCTCACAAAATTAAAACCGGGATACATGGAAAATCAAAACAGATTTCTCGTGTATGCACATTGTAACGCACAACAGATGGCGTTTGTTTATGGTGTAAATCGGGGACGACCTTGATTAGAAAATGTGTACAAAACCAATGAGAGCTGTTGCAAAATAGTTAGTGTACAAACAAAAGAAAAGGGAAGAGGAACAAAAGAAAATCTTTGATGTACACCATAAATAAATGTGCTAGCGCTCGTGAAAGTTGGAGTTTACACTGTAAAGCTATAAATTAAAGCTCATTAACTTCCGGGATTCAAATTTTGGAGTTGGATTTTATGGATACCCGGGTACCTGTGTTTTACTTCAATAGGGTGCCCGGTACTCGTACTACCCGTAAATTAAAGTCACACCACTATATAGGAACGTGGTTTGTATTTTAAACCAAAACTTGACGGCAAACAGATTTACAGGGGAAACAAAGTTTTCCACATTTTCCTCAGTCAATTCATGCCTTAAGGCGGGCTCATGCTTCTAACCGTGAATGACTAATAAATTTGAAGTTGCAAAACATTTGCTGTGGTCGAAATTTGCCGTATTTGAAGTTCCTGTGTTCCACTTATGCAGATTCACAGTATGAAAACCTTCCATGACTTCACAAGTTTGCGTTCTGTTTTGAACTGAGTATCAGCCAGACTTTAATCGAATGGTCAGTGCTGCATTACTTGGTAATCCTTACACTTCCAACAAGTGAAGGCGCTGCACAGAATTAGTGGACACAAGAGAAAACATAGTGTAATGATCAGTTCAAAAAGTTGCGCTTTGTTCATTTCAGACTTTATGTTTGTCAACACTTGATAATTCAGAGTCAGTGACAGAGATTTAAGAATTACATGATTATCTTGGGGGGGGGGAATTTAAATGGATTTATTTTGGACATCCAGATCCTTGAAATGTGTTCCCTTTAATTAAATAATCAAGCTTCCAAAATCTTTCATCCATAGCCATGCTTCTTGTAATGTGCTTGGATTTACATGTGTATGCATCCTGTTGCATTCGTTCTTTTCAGAGGGCTACATCACCATGTGGAGTGTGGACATGTTTCTAGAAAACCCTCAGTCGGAAGACAATGTAAGTCACTTAAGCCCCCTGTCAGTAATTTGAAAAAAAGAAAAGAAAATAGTTTCACTGCTTGCATTAGATTTGCTTTCAGAGGAAGCTTAATTTATTTGACATAATTTCACTTGATTTCATTGACTTTTGGTTACTCAAATCAATTTGATACTTAAAACCATATTCACACTTTAAAATGTTGCACACTGTCACAAATCAATCGCTGTCACAAATCGATCTCTAGTTGACCAGTTGTCCATGTTCAAACCACTGATCTCTATGTAAAGACTGTGTAAAGCGTACAGAGAACTGCAAAAGAAAACCATTTGATGCCATATTGGGGAAACTGGTTGGTGTTCTACAAGTACAAGTAGGTCAAGTGGCCGTCTTTAAGGCACTTGTGATTCACGGCAATATCGTGGTGTACCTTTTTGTCCACCACCATCACCTACCGCGGTTCAAGTTTTCGAAACTTCGAGGTTCACTTTATGAACGCTGCAGTTCACTTTTCGTGACTTTTGGAAATATAATCATGACAGAAACATGTCCTTTTTAGAACGTCATAATATGTGTAACGTGAACAAAATGCACGTCAAATATTAATACATCGCACGCTATATGTACATGTAGAACATTTGTATATCAGCGGCCATTTTTTTATTACCGGGGCGAACCGGTCAATAAGTGAAAGTATATGTAACTGTACGGCGTATGGGCATACGCTATCCAGTCTTTATCTCGAGATCAGTGGTTCGAACATTTTCTGATTTTGATTCTTGCTTTGACTTTGATTTGATTGAATTTGATAGGAATTGATCAAACAGCTGATCAGCTGGCGAGGCCATCTGAGCAGGATTGTCACCTTAGTCTATGCCAATCATATGAAGTCTGTCATCTCAGGCTCCATGGATGGGTCAGTCAGGTAAGACGCGCCATGCTCACCGATCACGACACCGCTCATTATCATCACGCCACTTTGAAACGTTGTTCCAGAATGGTTGATCCATGGCAGCTACAGTGTGGTATTACGTGGCTTTATACCGTATTGCACAATCTGTATTGCACCACACGTATTGCACCCTCTTCTAAGATCCATGTATTTTCCTGCTGCGCTAACGTGCATCTTAACGTTGCATCAAGTTTGTTTGAAGATAAATATGTGTCCCTTTTGCATTCGTGGATGCAAACAAAAACAAAAACTGAACAAACAAAGTTGTTTGTCTGTGTACCATATCACCTCATGATAACAGGACACAGACGAATTACATTATATAATTACATTGGTCTTATTGGAACTGCTCAAGAGCAGTTGTGTAGAAAATTGGAGTGCTACTTGCAGTGTAATGGCAGTTAACCCTCAGCAAATGGGTACTGCATTGCATTCATCTTTATATAGTGAAGTTAACTATTTAGCTAAGTAAACTATTTGTGAAACATTGATAGCGATCCCAAAGGAAAAATTGGCTGTCCCCAAATTGATCAACATGATGTGTTTAGAAACTGTCTCTAATCTCTGCTTTTTTTCCCCACTGTGTATTTCTTCCCACTTCCTTCCCCTTCCCCTTTCCCCTCCAGGATGTGGTACGGGGAGGACCCTGCCAGAGGCCATTTCATGGGCTTCTTCAGTCAGCACCGCCCCTGGAACCTCCCGAGTCTTGAGAGGAGCAACACCCCCGTGCTGCCCTATGACATCACCGAGGGGCCCCTTAAGCCCATGAGAAGTACCAACGAGAAGAAGCATAAGACAACTCAGCAGAGCTACCAGTACCCACTGGTGTTTGCAGACGATAAGTAAGACACTCGGGCGAGCTTCCAGGCCCTGATTTACAGGCCCATGGAACCAGTTAGGGAAAGAATGCAAGATTGAACAAGCGGTTACTGGAGGTTGAACCCCGAGGTAGCCCACAAAAACCTCGTAGGGCCTGAGGTGAACCTCGGTTTACGGCCAGTTTAATGTCTCATTCTTCCCTAAACAGAATGTATTGCTCAGAAAAATATTCACTTTAATAGCAGAAATTGGCACTGAACCAGTCAGTTGCAACATATGATAGTGTGGCTGGTAAGCTGTTTTACTGAGTCCTTCTATAAATTTAGAATTCAAGTGTGACATTTTTCCTGTCCTGGTTACCTCTGAGCTTTGTTATTTGCCATTCAGATATCATCAAAAATGATACAACTGATCCAAAATGATGTGTTGTTTTCAAATAGTGGTTGACAATCTCAATTTCTGTCACAAATCTGACTTGATAATGAAGGAAGACCAACTGGATGTTCCTTTAAAATAAAATCCGATAATGACTTCAATAATGATTACTTATTCTTACTTTTCCAAATAAAATTGTTTATGCATGTTTATGATGTACATTATATTATATTTATGCATGTTTATGATGTACATTATATTATACAATGCCTGAACAAATCCCCGTCATCTAATTGGTGGGTCCTTGATCACGTGTCATTGAATTTTTCGTCCCGGTGCGGCCGTGCGGCAAAAATAGAAGTTTGATTCCAAGGTACATGGAAGTTCCATTGCACGGTAATGCTTTTGGTGGCCCTGACTAATCAGATGACGATGATTTTGTATTCAGTATTGTATAAAACAAAAAATTAATGTTTTGCATTCGTGCATTGGAACAAAATAATTTCATTCGGTGACAGATGGAATGTTCTATTCCACCCAGTGACATTCCATCTGTCACCATTGCACTCACAAACATTTATTATTTGTGTACTGTTTGTTGTCCACTGTGGTATATTAAGTAACTGCAGTATCATAATATACAACACAGTATATGGATGGCCGTGTCCCAACAATAAGAGGACCTCTTTTAACATTCTAATAATATTCCAAATGAACTTGTTTGTAATGATTGATGATCTTCACACTTACAGAATTGCAGAACTTTTCCTTGTTACTTCTGACATAACTTGTCCTCTCTCTCAACTCTTAACAGATGGAAGCCTTTCCGGCGCTCAGCCTACGCCCAGACTAGGACCAAACCCAAGGAGCCTGAGGACATGAAGTTCTTTGAGGCCCTCCAGAAGCCGCAGTTTTACAACGATCACCTCAAGAGTTGCAAGACTGGGGAGATGAGCTTGGGCGCTGTGTTCAGGGCACTGCCAGTCTACACGGTCAGTCCAGAGTTCAATTAAGCACCCCTCACTCCAGGGGCATGGCGCTGCATAACAGTTAGCAAAAAAGTTGTGCTAACCTTAAGCACTTGTTCATGGCATGAATGTGCTAATGGTCGCGCATGCATGCGCGCATGTATGGGGATTTCTATTGTTACGTCACTGATTTAAAGCTATAGTCCATCATTTGCAGCCATCCGAAAAGTAACTGGCGTAATTATTGTTGAAAAACAAACTTGGTTGAAAGATAGTAAGGGAACTAAACTCCCTGTGAAATTATTCTTTCTGGGAAGCTGTCATTTTGAAGTAATCAACGAAAGAAGGCATTTCCAAGGGTGATTCTTAAGAAGCACCGTAGGAAAATTTAAATTAGTAGTTCGTTTTGTTATTCAGCGCAGCGTGCACAAGTATTGGAACGACGCACACGCGCGCGGTTGCTATAATTCATCGGATCAGTGCGCTACGTCGCGTATAGCTGCAATTCAAAACAATTCAAAACATGATTTAGTAACTTTTGATTTGAAATTGAGATCTTAGAATGCTGTTTCTCTCGGAATGTACAGCTGAAGCTTAGCTGAAACTTCATCAGGTTAGTTGCTCAGTATCCTTCATTAGCTTTTGAACTCTTTTGTTGCTTCAAACGAACAATTACAAATGATGGACTGTAGCTTTAAGCACATGTTCATGGCATGAATGTGCTAATGGTCGCGCACGCATACGGGCATGTATGGGGATTTCTATTGTTACGTCACTGATTTAAGCAACTTTTTCCTCTCAGTTAAGCATACCTTTTGCTGTGATATACTGCTAACAGTCTCCATGAAATAGACGGAAGCTCTATTGGCAGAAAACTGTGTGCCTAGCAGTGCCATGAAGTTGCGCCCGGGGCCCATGACATGAACGTAGCTGTGCTTAGCTACTCCATTTGTAGTCTATGGAATACATATCTCTCAAATGATGTCACTGCATACATATTGTCACGTGCATCGGCATTTTGGCTGTGCCTTATTTTGAGGAAATAGTGAGCAACATACGCGCGTGTTTAGAACATTTTGCACACTGCACACACACACACACACACCTGACGAAGATGGCCGTCTCTGAGATGGGTCTATATCCTCTTGCACAGCAAGTGCCTATGATATGTGAGCAGATTCGGCGATTAATTGTGCAAAACAGGACTGGGTCTTGACCTGATGATTCTGATCATTCAGCAGGTGCCTTCTATCGGGTGGTCCGTAACCAATTGTGTTACAAAAAGATGGCAGGCATATTGATTAATCAACTGCTGAGTCCAAATTTCTGATCGAAATTATGTCAACATTTCCAAAACCTACTCCTTCTACTGAATGTTGCGACTTTGCCCCTTAAGACTGTCACTTTTAGTCTGGGTACACCTGAGATGAAATTTGCAAGCTTGCTAACACCCAAGCCTGCACACAACTTAGGTATGCACAACAAAAGTATCATGTGATAAGGCCAAAAAAAAATAATATTTGGTCTCTGGTCAGACCAAAGTTCCGGAATTGACGCGGCCATGCGGCTTTTTTTTTTTTTGGCTTTTTTTCTTTTTTCTTCGGCTTGGATTGTACAGACAACGTGGGGTACTATTTTGCTTTTTGGGTGTCCTCATGTACATTGGTGTCCTCCATAATTTGCCTTGGTGCTTTCGATCATTTGCCTTGGTGCAATTTCCCATTCCTTGGTGCTCTTTGGTATAAAAAAAATTGAGGAGGTGCAGAAATAGAGGGCGCTGTTGGAGCTACCGCGGAACATTTTGGAAAAAAAAAAGATCGACACACATGATTAAAATCGACGCGCGCGCTGACCAGAGACCAACTTTTTTTTTTTGGCCTAACATGCATTATATAGAATAAACACAGATCATTACAATCAGATTTCTAGAAATTCCAGCCTTAACCATTCATATTTCATAAAAGTCTTTAAAGTGACACGTTATTGTATATATTCATATGCATATAAGACAAACTTTAACATTGCTGGTTTCCCAAACAGAGCTCCGAGAATGACAAAACAACATTGATGGGGGCTGTCTGGTTCTTTTCCTTATTTCCTCTCACAGAAATATTCAGTAGGTTTGTGCAACATTTACTTGAAGAAACTAGTTGAATCATCCACTTGAAGTGTTTAACACTAGCATAGTGCAAAGATGAATGCCTTCACATGCCAACCACCCCACCCCCCCCCCCCCCAAAAAAAAGCTAGTTGCATTGAACCCAGGTCGCAATAATTAACTTCCTCATGAAATTTCCCTCTCGATAATTGATGTTTATTCATCCATCTTATAGGTCAGCACTCCAGATCGTATGAAGACCCCAGCCATGGAGTATGGTAATGCCTCCTGGACGACAGACTCCTTCCTCTTTGCACCACCTCCATCCAAACCTGTCAAGGCAACCTCACCCACCAAGGACACAGGAAAGGTACCTCATGATTCCAATCTTTCACAAGCTTTTTTTCTTCTTTTTTTTCACTGTATCCAGAGGGCCTGCCTAGTGTTCTCTTTGTACCTGGATGTAACAGACCGACTCGCCGACTGACTGACAGATTTGCCACTTGTGACTTTACTGGTTAAAGGGAATATACAACATTTGCAAACAAAAAAACTACCAACTTTTTACGAAATACCTTAATAGGATGTTGGTAAATGACAGTCTAAAGCATCCTGTAAAATTATGGCACCTGGTGTGAAGTCATTTTCAAGAAAATGGTATTTTTGTAAAAATTTCCAGCGGTGGTCAGCCGACCACCGTTGGAAAAACCTAACTATTTTTCAACTGCTCCAAATTTACCATTAATTCAGTCCAAATTTTGTTTGCTATTGGTGACATGTTCATGAACGGGTGCAGGCCAGCTAGACTGGTACCCTTACCTTACAATTTTTGGGCATCTGTAAATTGATCCATTTTATATTTAGTGGAGTCAGGGAACCAGACTTCTTGAACAATTTTGTTTTTCTTGGTTTTTCCAGCATTTTCGAACACAAAACTTCAAAACATGTCAGTGTAACAATATTTGATCTATTATACTACCCCTTCAAATAGTTCATTTCTGAAAATGACAGCAACAGCCAATGATGTATATTCCCTTTAATACCGTCTCACTGACATTCACTAATACCTGGGTCATTCCATAAATGTTTGGGTCCAGTTTGTTGTGTCCCTGTTACATCTGATATAAGATGTTGTAAATAAGCCAGTTCAGTATTTCAACTGCGCATGCACACAATGATGTGGGTCACGGGTCATTCGGGATAATCCAACGCTAATCGAAGGCCTGCACGCGCACGGATAGTCTGGTTCCCAGACCAAAAGATTCTGACTATTCCTGATGAATCTTAGGTCAGGCAGCCTCCGTGGCTAAAAATAAACATGACGACATTGATGGCCCTTTTTCAAAGCTCGGCTTCGTTTCCGATTTCGCTTTATCACTTTTAGCTTTTAATGTTCGATGTGATCAAATTTTTAAGTAAATCACTCGCTTAGTAATATCATACAGTTATGATAATACAGTTTGATATTTCTGTAATCTTCAAAATTAGGCACCGAAATAGCACTGATAGCAGGCGGAGCTGAATGAAGACTGAGTTTTAGAAAATCTCAGTTAACGGTCGTCAAATTCAAAATTGTACATGACGCAGCAAAAAGTTCGCCCATATGATCCGAGTATATTTGATGCACAAAATCGTCGTTGAATTTCAAGTTTTCTAAATGAAAGCAATGAATATTAATTATCAACTCATTTAAAAAAAAATTAATAAGCAATTAGCAGTTAATTAAACCTATATTATATTCGGAAATAATCGGGTGCTATCCGATTGTCGATGAAACGAATTCAGCAAACTTCGGAAAAAGGAGGAATTCCTCTCGTTTTAGTCACGTGACGTAAATTGTAATACAATGTATTACCGGAGGCTACCGGACCTAAGATTCATCGGGAATAGTCAGAATCTTTTGGTCTGGGAACCAGACTAGCGCACGGAGACCGGCACACGATGCCCGCGTGTTAATTACAAGCAGAATGAGCATCCGCGTAGCATCACTTACATCACGTCAGAGATTTTATCCCGAATGACCTTTGACATGGACTACTTCATCGAGATACAAAACTGGCTTTAAATACTCAGGACACATTCTTTAATTCTCTCATCTCCAAGAGTGATTATGTAATGCAAAGTACCTACCAAACAAATAAAACATAGTGTGAAGTCAATTTTGATGATACTTGCATGACAGATGACGCAGGTCAGGTGTAACAGGGACACAAAAAAGGTCAGACTTTTGGACCCCAAATTTATGGAATGACCCACCTATCATGCGTGTGCTGCAGCATCCTATACTACATGTGCATTAGTCTGGCACTGCTTGTCTCGTGTCTTTTCATGATACATGTGAAGTCTCCATGTGAACAGCGAAAGTGGATTTTCCATTTTCGTCACCTTACCGCAGCTCAATCTTCAGCCTTTTTAGCCATTGAGTCAATGGAAAAGAATTTTGTGCCGCCTTGGATCAGCTTTACTAGAATTGCAGTCTTGATAAATAACCCCCAAAAATGTGTCTGAGTTGGGTTCCTGCCGACTTAAAGCGTGACCTTGGCTAGGCTTTTGTAGTCTTGATTTGGATTTTGCAGGCATGAGATTTTTCAGACATTTGTCTGAAATCAGACTTTTTGAATCCGCTCAGAGAATGACATAATCGGTATAGAAAGCAACACATCTTTCAGACCTTTCGTCTAATTTTCAGACTTTGTTTTTTAATTGACAATCTCATCCCTGACTTTGTTACCCTAATGCCTAATGGATCCAATCCCCTGGTTAGTGAGGTTAATCTGCTGCACTGGTAGAGGACATATCAACAAGATGTTTAAAATCCAGGCTTGGGAATTTTGGCACTTGGACCCGAGAAAATCCGAGCAGAATTATGTGCTCACATTGGCTTGAATGAGTGCTCTGCTACCATGACGGCTTGATAGAGGACTGGATGCATTATTAGGAGAGCAAAATCCAAATAAAGACTTGGACCAAGACTAAGCTGTTGGTGTAGTGTTCGTGGTGATGATTGCCCTCCCTATCCATATTTGAAATCTGTGTTGGCTCAGATTTAATTTTGGTACTAACAATGTTAATCCACAACTGTGTTATTTTTGTTGTGTGCAGATGAAATCTCAGCAAAAGCGCAGCGCTGCCAAAGATTCCACAGTTGCTCTGTCCAGCACCAGCCCGATGCCATCTCCTAGGAAGAGGTAGTCCCCATGCCAGCTCCACGAAAGAGGTAGTCCCCATGCCAGCTCTAAGGAAGAGGTAGTCCCCATGCCAGCTCCAAGGAAGAGGTAGTCCCCTTTCCAGCTCCAAGAGAGAGGTAGTCCCCATGCCAGCTCTAAGGAAGAGGTAGTCCCCATGCTAGCTCCAAGGAAGAGTTGGTCCCCATGCTAGATCCAAGAGAGAGGTAGTCCCCATGCGAGCTCAAAGGAAGAGGTAGTCCCCATGCTAGCTCCAAGGAAGAGTTAGACCCCTTGCTAGATCCAAGAAAGAGGTAGTCCCCATGCTAGATCCAAGGAAGAGGTAGTCCCCATGCTAGCTCCAAGGAAGAGGTAGACCCCATGCTAGATCCAAGGAAGAGGTAGTCCCCATGCTAGATCAAAGGAAGAGGTAGTCCCCATGCTAGCTCCAAGGAAGAGGTAGTCACCATGCTAGATCCCAGGAAGAGGTAGTCCCCATGCTAGATCCAAGGAAGAGGTAGTCCCCTTTCCAGCTCCAAGAGAGAGGTAGTCCCCATGCTAGCTCCAAGGAAGAGTTAGTCCCCATGCTAGCTCCAAGAGAGAGGTAGTCCCCATGAGAGCTCAAAGGAAGAGGTAGACCCCATGCTAGATCCAAAGAAGAGGTAGTTCCCATGATAGCTCCAAGAGAGAGGTAGTCCCCATGCCAGCTCCAAGACAGAGGTAGTCCCCATGCCAGCTCGAAGGAAGAGGTAGTCCCCATGATAGTTCCAAGGAAGAGGTATAGTCCCCATGCTAGCTCCAAGGAAGAGGTAGTGCCTGTGCCATCTCCTAGGAAGACATAGTCCCAATGCCATGTCCAAGGAAGATGTTCAAATCACATTTATCAAAAGTAGTCAGTATTTGTTCAACCAAGAATCAGGTACTTTATAAACTATATAACTTCAATAGAAATTGAAGTTAATTTTGAGTATGAAAATTGCACAGGTTCAGTTTTCAGGTTTTTTTTGGTGGGGTGGGGCTGGGAAGACTGCCAAATCATAATATGGGACGTTTGGAATATTTGGATAATGTCGGACATTTGGAATCCAAATTATACACTTTTGAATTTTCATATCAGGAATAAACAATGTGAATTTTGAAAAAAAATTATCTGTATATATTCTTATCTTCAAAGCACAACTCTCGATTTATGTACAGAAACATATTTTCTATGTTTGGCTGAAACTTTCTGTGTCTAGTTTTGATACCCATTAACCACTTGTATTGTATTTACTAGTGAAAAACTTTTATATATTCCTGTATTGTTTGAAGTGTGCATTCAAAGGAAGCAATTAGCAAGTTTCTTTCTTTTTTTTTACAGACAATCATGCATTGAGATCTAAAAACTAAAAAAGGAGACGATAACATATAAAGAGAAAATGATAAATCACTAAATTGCTCAGACTTACTTTGTTCTTGTGTTTTTATACGTGGAGTTGGTTTATTGTGAATTACAGGGTTTTCAAAGTATTTAATGGTCCTGTGAAGATGTATATACATATTTAAATTTTAAAAAGGTAGAGGGCCTAATTCGATCCTAGTAGGACCCTTGTCAAAGGCAAAATGGTCATATTTCCCTCTGACAAAGGTCCTGCTGTAGGATCGAAATACTAAGCACTCTAACTTATTGTGATTTGAATATTTCAGGTCAATCCAGTCAGTAAGCAATTTGCAGCAGTTTATTAATTTTCAGGATTGTATTGAAGTTCCTTGAGAATTGGGGTATAAGCCTTTTCGGAGTTCCAACTGCGCGCATTCGTAACCTGTGACAACGCACATTGTTTGTCTCAAATGCCCTTTGACAGTACCCACAATGCACAAACAGCCTTTTTGTAAAGTCAGTGGCGCGATGATGTCAAAGGCCATTTGAGACGAACAATGCGCATTGTCACAGGTTATGAATGCGCAGTTGGAACTCCGAAAAGGCTTATTGGGCTGCAGTCCACTTTCTCTCATTAAGTCCACTTATTTACCAAGATGAAACATTTTGGACTGCAATTTTGGACTGTTGTTGTCCGCTCCTTACTGAATGAAGAACGGATTAGATGACCGTACACCCGATGTCAAAAAAGTGTCAAAATTGAAAGCAGTAAATGAAAACCAAATTTTCGATTGAGTGATTGGGAAATAGAGAAAATAATACATGTACACGTTATTAAAGGTCATTTCATAATACAAGTCTCCCCACTACCCCTGAGTTAGGTCTGATTCCCACAATTCACAACCAGCCTGCATCAACCACCCATCACACAAACAGCAAACAGCCAACAAAGAAAGTCGTACTCTACACCGTCGTTTTATTTGGTGTCAAAAGCCCACTGATGCATTCATAGATAAAAATGAGTAATCTTTACAAAGAGTTTATTGGTTAATGTTGGTGCTTGAGTTTCGTTTTAAAAACTAGTATCGCCAAGGAAGTTAATCTGGGTGAATCTTTCCAACAAACGTCGGAGTACTGTCTCTATCCCAAGGCTGCAAAGACAGATTTTATTCAATCCCAAAAAATAGATGATTTTTTTTTCACATGTGGATCCCTAGACAAAAATTAGATTTTTGTGCAAAATGAAAAGGTTGTTTTTATGTCTAAAGATTACTAATGTTATGTCATTTTTAAAACAAGTTATACGCGCTTTATGTAGCCCAGACGAACGGCATGTAACCAGTCGACTGCATACAAAAGGCCTTGTGTATACTCTTTTAACTATTATCGTGTTTATCGCGGCCAATTTTAGGGATTTTAAGAAAATTAATTTAAACCCAAGTTCAAAGGGAGACACCCTGCTTACAAATGATATGTTTGATTGTTTCATCAAAGTCGAACAACCCCTCTAGAATAAACCCCGCACATTAAACAAGATACGGTCAGTTACGATCAAACTGCAGTGTCAGTATTGCTTGTTTGTTTGTAGTCCGGAAGATGTTCCGTTCGAAGATGTTTAATAAGACCAGCCGTCGTCGTCGTCAATTTCAATTTTGCGTATCAACTCCACAGCAGCTCGATCATAAACCTCGGGTGCAGAATCACGGAACCACTGGTGGGCCAAGGCTAGCTGTATGTCTAGCCTGGGACCGGGGTCCACGGTAAGCATACCGCGTATCATCGATTTGCATCCCTCACTGAGAGCCGGCCCCGAGGTGGGGAAGTGAACCCCGCGCTGCTGTGCCTCAAGGATCTTAGCCACGTTACGGACATCATCCCCGAACGGCATGTAGCCAGTCACCATGATATAGGACACCACCCCGAGTGCCCAGACGTCGCTCAGGAACGGGCAGTAGGGCTGCGAGCGGATGATCTCCGGTGCCGCGTAGGCCGCCGAGCCGCAGTAGGTCTGACTGAGATGCAGAACATTCATGAGGCGGCAGAAGCCAAAGTCGCTCAGCTTGATGTTGTTGTTGGCGTCCAGCAGCAAGTTCTCGCACTTGACGTCCCGGTGCACGATGCCACGTGTGTGCATGAAGGCAATCGCACGGGTGGTCTGTAGGATCCACTTCTGTGCCAGGAGCTCGTCCACAGGGCCCTTAGATACTGTCCTTATGTACTCCAGGACATCCCCGCCCTCGGCAAATTCCATGATCTGGAAGATCTTTTGGTTTTCCTCGAACCAATCGTACGTGCGGATGATGTGGACCGTTTTCAAGAACTTGATCACATGCAGTTCCCTCGGTAGAAATTTCTCTTGATAATCGCTCGGCGCTCGCCGGCGATCTATGATCTTCACCGCTACCTTATCAAACTGGTTTTTGGTGACGGCGAACTTGACCTTGGAGTAACTGCCTGAGCCAATCTTCCTTCCCAGGTAGAACCCATGCTCCAACATAATCTATACAGTGCCAAGGAAAAGGTGAATTGTGCGTGAAACTATAGTGCAGATCTCTTGGCAAAACTAGTATTTTTATGCCTGGCAAGAAGAAAGCGCATAACTGATCATTTGAAGCAGACAAGCATTGGTAACCCAAGAAGCACGAAAGATCAACTACATGTATGAGAAATTGGGTATATTGCACGATCGATGCTTTTTGATGCAAACAAAGAAACAAGATTGAATCTTCTATAGTGATTTAATGCGGACGACTCAAAACTGTACGCCCTGACACTACTCACAACTCTCGATTCATCATGGATGACCGAGTTTCAATTTTAGTTTTCAGCGTATAGAAAAGGTCTCCAAATTTACTTTCTTCAACTATACAATCACGTATCAGTGGCATTGTAATACATGTTATGATGTACCTCTTTATCAGAAGGACCGTTCTTGACAGCACAGTCTTTCTTCGGATTGCCAACTGCTGTATCGCTCTTGGACTTGCTCGGTTTGCTTGAACTTGAATGTGAAGAAGACATGTTTTACGCCTTAAAATTCAAACGTTTTCTGATGAAATTACACACTCGTCACTTCAGATATCGACCCATAATAATGCGAAGGGTTTCAATGTTTTGCGTTAGTGTTGGTTAGTGTTTTAATGGTTACCATGTCATAGTTGGGATACTTTGATTTCGTTTATAAACGCCGCAAAGAATTGAGCGCGTGCAAATATCACACACTATGACGTCATTTAGAAAAGGCACATGCGCGCTTTATGCGCGCGCTGAAATGTCACCAAGAATATCTAACTATGAATCAATATTATGCGCAAGTTCACTATTTCAAATTTCCCAGTTATAAGAAAAAACATCGTACCACATTTACATGTACAAAATGATTATCTTTAAACATCAACTTTGACACTACATGTATTTTTATCATTCGTTATATATATGTTTGTTCAGAATTTACTTTGTTGCAGAAAAACGCGTTAAGGAATTCATCTTTTACGTCACATGGTATTGTCCATTCGGCCAATAGGAGAAAGAAACGTGCAGTTGCGTTGTCAAGAATTCACGAACGGCGCGCCCTCTCACAACATTGAAGCGAGCGCATGGAGTCCACATGCGCTGATGCGCTCTCTACAAACTTTCCTTTCTACGAATAGAGTAAAACTAAAGTTTTAAAATTGAAAAATTTTAACATTAAAGACACTTTTTTTCTTATAAGTCAGGTTCTTTGACGGTAGGAATATAAGAGAAACTAGAATACTTAGTCTCCGGTCTGTATACCGGGCCGTGATCTTGATGACATGGCCTCGGGCTCCGTGGCCCAGACTTTCGGCAAGTCAACTCAGCCGACATCACTCCGAAAGGCAATCAACGAGGAACACATTCTCCTCAAGCGAGGCATCGTGGTCGGGGACCTCCTTGGAGAGGGATCCTACGCCTGCGTCTACTCCGGCTACCTCGAGAAGGAGAGGATAAAATGCGCCATCAAAGTCATCAACAAACGAAAGGCGCCCAAGGACTTCCTCCAGAGGTTCCTCCCGCGGGAGCTGGAGATCCTGAAGGCCATCAAACACCCGAATGTCATCCGCTGTTATGAGATAGTGGAGATTGGGCCCAAGGTGTACATCTCTATGGAGCTGGCCGGTCATGGGGATCTTCTGGAGTACATCAAGCTCCGTGGAGCTCTGACGGAGGTGAAGGCCAGGGACTTCTTCCGGCAGCTGCTCGAGGGAATCTCCTACCTTCATGGCAAGAATATCGTGCACAGGGATCTCAAGTGCGAGAATCTTCTACTGGACGCCCACAACAATATCAAGATCACTGACTTTGGCTTCTCTCGTCTGATCACCAAGAATGACCTCAGTAAGACCTTCTGCGGGAGTGCTGCCTACGCTGCTCCAGAAATCCTCCAAGGTATAGTTACATCATACGTAATTATTCCGACCAGATCGCTTTTGAAACCGGCAAAAGGGCTAATATTTTGTTCGCTTCGAACAATACTAGTACTTCACCATCGATGGCTTAGGAATGAATATTCTTGTATCGAATTATTAATGAGAGTTCAATTCCTTAAAATTGCATCCACGTTATAAACAGTGGCGCACCCAGGATTTGGCTTGGGGGAGGGGGGCTCAATTGTTTGTTTTTTTAAATGTTCCCCAAAATGTTGGGACTATTTTGACTTTGGTGGCGCCACTTACACCCCTATTATACTACTCGAAAATAGGCTACAAATTACCAAGGTCAAACAAAAGAAGAAAAAAAGAAAGATTGAAATCCTCTTGGGGGGGGGGGGGCTGGGCTTGAACCCCCCCCCCCCCCCCCCCCCCTGACCCCCGCCACCCCCCCCCCCCCTCTTTGGTGCGCCACTGGTTATACTTAAATAGTAACATTTGTCTAAGTTATTCAAATTTAAAGTGTAAAACACTATCACCGCTGCAGGGAGACCGTACCAAGCATTCCTGTACGACGTGTGGAGCATGGGGGTTATTCTGTACATCATGGTGACCGGCTCCATGCCGTACGACGACTCCAACGTCAAGCGGATGGTCAGAGATCAGACGGACAAGAAGCTGGGCTTCTCCCGCTCCAAACAGCTGACCCTGGACTGCAAGGATCTCGTCTTGAGAATGCTGACACCAGACCCGGCACGGAGAGCCACCCTGTACGACATACACCACCACAGCTGGATGCAGGAATCCAAGGGAGCGTCACCTCCGAGCATGTCCAAGGAGAACTCTGTGGGGGTTGAGCCTGGCAACACCAAGCAGTCATCACCATCTGCGTCTGACGGCCCAGGACACAACTCCTCTGGCAACGATGAGCAGGTTATCCAGACAGTCGATCATGAACAACCGCCGACACACAAAGAACGCGCCCCTTTCAATCCCAAATTCCTCCCAATTTAAAATTCGACGGACCCTCAAGTATATTCTTTTTGCGCCGTTATTTCAATATCCTAATCAGAATTATAGCATCGTGTGAAATAATGTAAAAAAAAAGTGAAATTAAACATCTACTCTGGTCATCTCACCAAACATACTGAACCAGTCTTAATTAACAATGAGCGCAGCCCCATCACCGGACAGGATGGTTTCAAATGAACCGTGAACCGTCTTGCCAGGTATTTTTGTTTTATATTAAGTTTACATGTACAAACTTCAAACGTATTTTAATGAACAAGACAATGCTACCAAACTCAATTAACTATTACAATAAATAGAAGCATGACTTCTACCAGTTGAACCAAAGTTTGTCAGTGTGAGAACTACTTGTTACCATCAGAACGTTAAAGGGTTGTAAAGTTTCAAGATTTTCAACACAGAACAAGCCCGAGAAGGTAAATTTAGAGCATTGGTTGGTATAGAAGGCATACCGGGTAAAGTTCATTTTACCCCCAAACAGCTGGTTTTGTGCAATACACCGAGGAAAAATTATATTCAATTGATTCTTGTGAACAGTCTGTACAAAAATGATCAAAATACTGCACAGAGAAACTTTGCTTGGCTAAACATGTACACTAGTTAACTTACATTAGACAGCCCGGCTGTATGAACGCTCAAGCGCGGGCCACCATCACAACCCTTGCGTGATAGACTGAGAGCTGGATAGGGTTTAATCAAAATTTTGGAAACAAAACCTTAATTGTTGTTCATTTATAGTCTCATCTATGGATTTTCTGCTATGTTCCTAAAGCTCCAGACAGCATTATCCAAAGCTTGATAGGCCTCGTCGTGTGTCTGACTTGTTTTCATTGTTTTCCGTAACATGAACATCACGTGGCTGGCTTCTCTAGCCAGTTACTTCCAATCATTGCTGGTTGCAAAGCTCGAACGATCTGCTGGATTGTTCGTAATCGATAGCATGCTCTTTTTTTTCATAGAGGGAAATGCTTGCTCGGCGTATCTCCTGGCTTGTGCCCCCTTCCCTTCTCTGCTCGCTGAAAATGTGTCAGTATTCATATTTTAATATTCACGTTTCTCGAATGTTTCGTATGATCTCAGGCAAGCTACTGACTGCTAGTATGGGGCTCGTACCATACTTCCAATGGGGAGCGCTGATCAAATCCTACAATCACGCACAATATTTCGCCTAAATAGGGCCTGTCCGCTCCGTTCACAAGTACCCCCTCACCGGCAAAGGAAGTACAGTTAGGGGTGCGCGGCCACTGCGTGTACATAGAACAAATCCCCTGGTGTACGCGCGTCACACACAAGGAACGGTGCGCGTCAACCAGCGAAATGTACCGCCCATGGGGCGTCGTTGCTAGGTAAAAGGGCGCCCTCTTTTGGTAGCGCACGGAGCTCATAGTTTACCCCCTTCGCACTAATGGCTACGCCTCTGGCGGATGATGCATGCACGTTATTATTATCAATACAATTTTCAACGGGGGGGGGGGGGGGGGGGGGGTTGACACAAAACCCACCCTCTGGTTCCGCGCCTGGCCGGCTAAAGCGAATCTTATTATTATCATCATGTGACGTCACCTTCTTACATTTGCTACTGATATTTCATATCTTTTTGGCATTTTTGGGGCAAGTTAAATAAGAAGGGTTTGGGGGGCTACCCCCAGGCCCCTCCCGCCGTAGACTAAATGAATGAACAAATAAATGAATAAAAGGGGAACAAAAGACCTGTCAGTGACAATAGTGAGATTTAACAATGCTTGAGAACGCAATTAGGCTATGTACTTATGGGGGGGGGGGGGGGAGACAGACCGGTCAATGCAACTAGGTTTCAAGCGGCGATTGCCTCAAAAGTCCACAACTATCCTAAAGTTGTTCAAACGTGGAAACCAGATTCAATTTTTCGCTTTGAAAAGAGAAAATCCTCATTTTATTTAATCATTAATTATGAATACAATCAGTTTCCAAGTACAGAACCCATTGCTCATAACATTAATGCTTGTATGTTTCTCTTCAATTTTTGGAACTTAATAATAATAAACAATATAATTTTGAAACGCCTTACATGTCATTGCTACACCACAAGCGCTGTACAATAACAAATAAATACACACATTCTTTAAAAAAAAATAAAGTCATTGTAATTTAATAACTTGATTGAACAATCAATTAAACTCTTGCTTATTAAAAGAAAGTCCTAAACAATTATATATATTTGAAACGTCTAAATATTATGGGGGAAATTGTTCATACTACCACCCCATCTCTGAATCATGTACGTACAGTATAACATTCAGCTCATTAACATAATGTAGATGTATATTGCATGTACACTGTCATTTTGTAATATTTTTTGGAGGCACATAGACAATTTTCTCGTGAAGCACATGGGTGGTGCTATATATTCAAAGAAAACTGCTTGAAAATGTTACATATCTGCATGATTTACTAAAGAAGAAAACAAACAACGTTTAGTGGCTTGGCACAACCATAATGGAGGTCTAATTCTACCTCCATGGCACAACTAAGTTCAATCTCATTGAGTGCGTGGAGCAACTGTGCTTTCCTACCCAACGTTAAATGGCGCCCTCCCTCACGGAGCAACTACCGGTACTTCCTGTTTCCCTCCCCCCCCCCCCCAGCGAACTGTCTGATCTTTCCATTTAATACGATCTTTGAGTTTCCTGCACTGCCTTTTATAGGCCTCACACACAACTCACTAGGTGTACAATTCTTATTTCACAATTGAAAACTTGCACAAAGTAATAACCCAATCATAATCTAGCATTGCCATACAGTGACTTAGGGACACGCCCACTCAAATCTGGAAGCCAACCAGGTTTTAGATCTATGTATTACTATAGCGATCCTGCTACTCAGTAAGGCCATTTTTGCAATACAGTTTTAGCAATACCTAACACATACAACAGATGTGACTTCTCAGGGGGACGTCATCGAGGTGGGTAGAATTTGGAGATCGTATTCGTAATGCATTCCCGGTATATATATATCATGATATATTATATCCCGCACAATGGGCGTGCTGGCTATTATTTTGGAGTTTCACCCCGAAAACCCTTTTTTCTCCTTCATCGTCAACTTTTCTAGCAATAGAAAATGTATTCACTTTGAATGAGACATGTAACGAAAAACATCCACCGACATCTTTACAAAAATTTGGGTCATTGGCAGCACGACAATATTTCTGCTCAGTGCGTGGTGGGTTCTAGCCCCATGGCCGCTCACTGTAATAAACTCCATGGAGTGGGGTTTGGATTGGGTAGGGGTAGGGGCCTGGCATAACGGTTGCTGGGGGATGTCCATTTATACATGTTAGTTGCACGTGTACCCTTACACAGTAGTGTTTTAGGCGTTTTCAAATGTACACATGTATTGTATTCTGCTAAAATTAAAGTGCACCATATATTGACCGTCTGTAAATGCTTCCTCTTCTCAAAAAGGTATCCTCATTTTTCATGAGGGGACAACTTTTAATACCCTTAATTCCTTACAACTGCATTCTAAAGCTTGTGAGGTGAACCTTACCTGGGGTGCAGAAGGGCCTTTTTCCCTCTGATGATGGGTTGATCTGATCGAAGGATCGAATAAATTGTAACAGCGTGACAGTTCAGAGGTGGGCATGCAGTGAAGTGAAAGGCAAGAACAGCGATCAGAAGCGGCAATAAAATGGAAAGGAGAAAGTGTCAGAAGCAACAGGGGGAAGCGGTAGAGAGAAAGAAATCGCAAAAGTCGAGGCAGGAAGAAAGGAGGAGACCACAGCAATCAGAAGGTAAGAGTAAAGCAAATATCCAGGGAAAAAATGAATAAAATAAAACACACACTTCGGTATAATAGTCAAATTTTGGATTCATCAAAATTACAATTGACATGAACTCTTGCAGAAATAATAAGAAAATGCTATTTTCAGCACCAAACTTTGCAGACTACGGGCCGGTTAATTTTTGATTCAAATTTCATTGCAGAGCGAATACGCACAATGATTTCTCTATTTGTTGAAGTCGTGAAAGTTGCTCCGCTTTCAGTAAATCTTGTGTAAAGTAAGAATTGGCCTTACAGCAAGTTATGTCCATTTATCAAAATGTCCATGTGAAGCCTTCCGAATGATATTATGGCAAATTAATTAACTTTGTTTTGCCATCATTCCTTGTTTCAAAAAGATGGTAAAACTGCAATTGATCCCAATGCCTTTGACCATCTAATCTGGGAGGTGGAGCTGGCCCAAAAGGTGTGTTTTCATTATTATCTTTTGCTTCTGTAAACACTTTTAAACGTCGTTATGGGAAGATGCATGCATAAAAGAGCTCATGATATGAATTTTACTATTTTGTGCAACTATCTACTACTCTTAAATGAACGTTAACTTTTTAAACAACCCTTTTGGTTAATTATTTGAAAAGTGCCAATTGTCCATGCTTTTCCTGACAAATGAGGGCGCTGTTGTTGTGATGTCATTAATTTTCAGGAAGACACTGTTCAGTTTTGGGATTTTCTGTTCAAATTGTGAACCCAAAATTTGATCATTAAAAACATTTGTGAGAAAATGTTGCTCATTAGCCTAATGTCATGTACTGAAACAACAATAAATTCCCCTTAAAAATCAAATTGACGACGGCAAAATGTCAAAAATTCTGGCATATTTTCTGCCTGAGATTACATCACACTTATTCTCATGAATATGCAAATTTGCAAAACAAAAAAGTCACCAAAATGCTTTTAAAAATGGCAAAATGAAAGTTGAAAATAAGGTTGAATTATACAACATTACATTACATGAGCCCTTTAACTATTGCAGTTGCTCAAATGGATGCATAACAAAGGAAATTTAACAGAACATCTGGCATGATTATCTGCAAATATCCTTCAAAAGTGTAAACCTGACGCTCGCCTCTTTTCATCAAGTAAAACTGATGAAAATATTGATTAGCTGTTCCATACCTTTAGCCATGTTGTGCCACACATAATATGCTTTACCATTCCTTTGTGGTTAAAGTCTGCATCATATATATAAGCCTAAAACTAACAGAAAGATAATGAAAACAATGTTAATTTTCAGCAGTATAGGAGTGAGAACCCCACATAATTATTTGGGATCGTGGACTGCAGGGTTGGGACAATAGTAGTACCTGGGCATAGAGGTGGAAAGCGATGAAGCTTCAATTTGTAAAATAAACAGCTTCAGCAGCTGCAGTGTTCCAGTTCTCTTGTGTATATTAGGTCCCAATTATAGCGATAATATCCCAACTAAATTGTTGGGCATGCCCAACATGCCCAACTAGAACTGTGTTGTTACAGTTGGGGCGAAACGCAGCAGGGAGCTCAACTTCGCATGCACATCGGCATGCACACAATTATAATAATTGTCGCTTGAATGATTGAATCTGAATATGCAAAGCATGATGTGAACATGCATATATTATGCATGATGTGATCTTGCCTATCAATAATTACTGATCAATAATTACTGATCAATAATTGCCATACCGGAGCTGAACAGAGTTGTCAGTGTGGTTTCCGCAGCTAGGGATGGAACATCGAACGCTGAATTATGAAGCGTTCAACTGTTTTTGCACGGACAATTTCTGTGATTCAAGGACTAGTCTTGGGCGATAACAATTGGAATCCCAGAATATAGTCACGTCACATCACCTATATAACCAAGAACATATATATTTTCATTTTTTTAAGAATAATTTCTCTTGTCCAAATTCAAAACAAATCATGCATTCGAAGTATACAATTATACTTGCCTAAAACAAAAAAAAATCCCTAATTAATCGAGGGTGATTAAGAACGTCAGTGGTTTTGTTAAAAAAAACCTTGTTCATTGAGATCCTCCCAAGGACATGTGGCACTGCATAGGCGTAACCGGGGGTGTTAAGGGGGTAAACCCCTCCCTCAATATTTAGTAAAGAGTGCCATTTTTTTTTACAAGTGCCCTTTTTTTCTAAACAAGTGCCTTTATAAAAAGAAGTCGTGCCCTATTTTTTTGCCATTGACAGTTCCGGGTTTTGTGTGTGTGTGAATTTCACGCATGTATCGCCCTGAAAAGCACCATAATTGTCCATTAGTGCATAATCGTCGGTTTGAACAGCTCCCCCATCGACAGAGGGTACCAGAAACCCCCTGTAACCAGCCAACTTAATTAGGACTGTCCCAACAATAGTTCGGGCAACCGCTATAGTTGGGACGTAACGTACATGTAGCCACTGCTACTATTGAAAGTCCGCTGATTTGGAAAGCCTCTCTACATAAAGGGAGCTATAATGATTCACGTATCGGTCATTCGAAAAAGGTTGGCATCTTAAATCGTTCACGATATAACCAGGTAAACACACTAATTTGGGAGTTGCAAACACTGTTTATTTCTACCTGACTTTCTCAGACGGTAGCCAAATTGGAACACACAGTTACAGGTTTCCTACTGTCTAACAACACAGGGCGTTATAACACGTTCAGTCCTGAACAGGTCACTACAACTCCTCCCCCTTTAGTTAAACCTAACATTTCCAGATGCATTAGATTGTTTGGAAATTGGGTGCTTTACAACAGACTGCTTTGTACATAAAACTGGCCCCGATCAAGCAATGTCCAAGTTTGAATATGAGAGTATGGCTCACAATCTTAACAATGTCAACTTTGAAACAGTTCAGAACAATAAACAGGAGTAACCTAAATAACGTCAAATGTGACAACAATTGAACAGTAGAGGTAAATCAATATGTGAAGTCTAGCCAACAGTTACAAATCTGGGAATCCATATCGATCTGGTTTATTATGCGTGCGTTTTAGATCGAAGAAGAAGTTGTAGTGTTGGTGCATCGTTCTCAGATTTCTCCTCCTTCCTACTGGACTCGTTTATGTCCGACTCCTTCACCGTGGTGTAGGCATAGGTACGACTGGATAAAGACGTGTGTCGCAGGTACCTGGCGGGGTCGGATGTGGTCTACAAGTCGTCTCCATATACATGTAGACGACTATCCTCAAGCTGAATAGTGTACATGCAATAATTTACCGATCGCGGCGGTGATGAAACCAGCGTCCAACGAGGACCAGAGGCGAAGTTTTCGGCGCAGACCACCTCATGAGTATTGAAAGTACGAGGTCGACACGCACCTGTCGTGGTACCTCTTCTGTGCTAGCTGCAGTGTGCATAGCGTGGATGTCCAGCCACTTGCTGTGTGCATCGACTATGACAAGAAGCATGCGGCCCATGAATGGACCAGCATAGTCCAAGTGTAAGCGCGACCATGGATGACTAGATAGGTCGCTCTCACGGATTGGTTGGAACAGTTGGTGTCGATGTCCGCGAGAATTGACAGTATGTACATTGCTATAAGCCTTATCTTCAAGGTCTTTGTCCATACAAGGACACCAATCGTAGCTGCGAGCGAGTGATTTGATTTAATTTATCCATGGTATGAATCTTGTAGTTCTTCGATGATCTGTGATCGGCCTTGAGGGGGAATGAGGACTCGCAATCCCCACAAGGTGCAGCCATCTTGCACGCTTAACTCCTCTGAGCGGCAAGTGTATGGCTTCAGTCCTTGATCTTGACAGTCACGTGGCCAACCGTTCATAACTTAGGTACGCACGAGTGACTTAGGTACGCATGATCGTGACGTAGTCTGCTGGAACCGGACTACGGCTGATGGTCTCCGGCAGTGGCAATCTGCTTAAGGCGTCATTAATTGCTATTCAAGTGTCCTGGTTTGTACGCCAAGTCATAGTCATCAGCTGCGAGTGTGAGGGCCCAACGTTGAATTCTGGACGACGCCATGGGGGATATATACTGGTCGCTCCTCACTGAGCAGCGGTGTGTGATCGGCAGCCATCTCAGAGTGGCGACCGTACACGTAGGCTATACTGGTGAAATTTCTTCACTCCGAAGATCACTGCTAATCCCTCCTGATCCAGCTGTAAGCACTGAAGTTCACTATAGCGATAACGAACACGAGGCTTAGGCAAATGGTGCTCAGATCCATCAGGCATGCGGTGGGCAAGCACGGCGCTCACACCGTACGGGCTGGCATCACAGGCGTCATAGTGCACGGCATTCTGGCGGTCAAAGCTAGGAAGGATTATTCATGTTCATGTACAAGCCTCCTAGACTAGCGGACGTTTTTTCAGAACTGATGACAGATTTGGCAAGAATTGGCCATAATATAGTTCAGGAGACTCAAAGCTGTCACGTTATGTGTACTGGCGCATCCATGACTGCTTGAACCTTCTCTACTGTAGGATGCACACCTGCTGCATTGATACTGTGCCCAAAATACATCACATCCGGGGGCAAAGACGCATTTTTCTCGCTTCAGACAGAGTCCTGCACTCCTGAAGTCGACTCGGGACCTTGTTCAGATTTGCGACATGTTCTGCTTCAGTCTTTCCCGTGACTAGTACATCATCAAGAAATGCATTTGCCTGGGGATGTCTGCCAAAAGTCTTTCAATAGTCCCTTGGAAGATTGCAGGTGCAGCAGATATGCCAAAGGGCATACACGTGTACTGGAAAAGCCCTTTGTGTGTGTTGATAGTAAGGAGTTCACGTGACTCCTCCTCAAGTTCAAGCTAGAGTTAGGCATGACTGAGATCCAGCTTGCTCGTGCCAAGCTTCCGACTTTTTACGGGCCTCGGAAACGCAAATGTCGGCTAGACTTCATTTTTGTGAACAAGAAATGGACACGTCTGATACGCAAGGTGCGCAACATCAAGCCACATTGCATTCACTCTAATCACACACTATTAACACGCTTCCACAGTCCAAGACTCTTCGTCTTCGACTATGGAGGCCGACGAAACACTGCTTTAAGATTGCCCGCAATACGACATCGTTTCATCGACGAAACCTCCCGACAGCGTGACCAAAGGTCAGGGTATGCTGGCTATGTTGAATCGGTTAGCCATGCCGCAACCAAAGTTTTACCTAAGCGTCGCCCTCTGCCGAAGGTCTACTTATGGGATACAGATCCGGAAGTGGAGCGAGCCAGACGTCAACTGAAGGTTGCATACCGAACAAATCTAAACTCAAATCACCGACATTTGGAGGCGAGCCTCAAAAATACCTACGTGCGATGAAGGGATGAGCTGATAAATCAAATATCCAACGAGATCTCGCAACATCTATTGATAAGATCACCGGCAGAAAGGTGCGCGACCCAACGACTCCGTCGCTGCTGAGTCCATGCAACACTTGCATACATTTGTGGTCATATTGGTTTGATTTAATGTCCGAATCAATTCAATTTTATAGATAAAATATTTCTATCTTGTGTAGCTTTAGCCACAATGCATTTTAAGTGCACGCATGATCGAGATTTCATTCATTATAGATTTGATATTAAATCACAAATGGTGACTTCTACGTGATGTGCCATGCTGTCACCATTTGGAGATCAGCGATTCTTGATTCTGTTTTTAAAAGAGCTTGTGAAATAGGTTTCACCATTATATTTTCTTAATAAAAAGGGCATTTTTTTAAAATGAAAAAACAATCCAGCTGCTGGCCATATGTTGTCTCCGTGGGTAGAAATCCTTTGCACTTCACCCCACTAGCCTCTCTCAACCAATGAATTGAGTAGGGCCTACTGGCATGGTTGGGGAGTAGTACCTGCAATGGACTGAGATAAACACTAGCCTGATTCTTATTGACAAACTTAGTCTTTATGAAAAAAATCAAATCCTGCCTTTGCTATTAATTCCTCCATTTTGTCTGATTGCCAACAACACTGTGCTCAGTGTCCACACAAATACATCATATAATTATGTGGTTCACACATAAGTGGACAAATCTAAGATAATCAAACAGTTTAAAATGTAACAACATATTATTACAAATTAAGCTCCATATGTTGCTTTTGTCTAAGGTTTGGGAGTTTCTTAGGGATAAGAAAAATCCCCGTTATATCAAGGAAACTGCTATCAGGAAGATCCAGACTTTAGCCACGGGTGACTGGCATCGTGGGCTCAGCAAGCGTTTCGTTGGCTCTCCTTGTGACATTAAACTGTATGAAACCAATCTGACCAAAGCCGGACGGATACTGTGGGAGCGGACGGTCGTGTTCTCACCTCGGCTCACCAGTACAGAGTACGAGAAGATGCTTGAATCAGGTACATGTAAGGTCTTAGCGCACACATTCTACCTCAAAGGTTTCAAGAGAAAATTTAGAGGGACCACCAGGAGAGTAAAATGGGATTTCCCGATGCTCACGCAAAAAAAGTGTAGCGAACTCTGCGCCATTTCAACAGTGCGCCCGCGTTCTGTTCCCCTCACGCTCTTTGAGTTTCTGGGAAAGAAAGAGTAAAATCTAAACCCTCTTTCAACTTCATCACTTGTCAAGTAGTTGACGTCAAATGAAAGTAGCTCAAACTTTGCTGCCCAAGTTTCCCTACAGAAATAACATAAGTCAATTATTACTGGTTCCTTTTATTTTTGTTGGAATTATACAAACTTATAGAAGACTAAGTTACGTCGTTCCTAACTATTTGTATCGACTTACACAGTTAATTTCGTAGGGGCAACTGCGTTATCCATTGTGAGCGTATCCATTTTCAATAGAAATTCATTTGCCCAATGCGCCCCTATTGACCGCAGGTACAGACGACTCGACACAAATTGCACGCTACTCTGAGGTTATCCGTGTATGGGACATAGTGCTAGACCACTCCAAGGTGCCACATGCCATAGAAGTTATTACACAGGCGGTGAAGGGAGGCCAGAAGTGTAAGATCCGCAAAAGTCTGGAAAGAATCGACAAAGGAAAGGCTTCAAGTATGAAAGAATTGTGCATATTCTCAAGAGTATAGGGGTATAAAGCCTGGAGGTGGAGGGAGTTTTGGGTGTTAAAGCAGAGGATGGGCAGTATAATAATTTTGATCTTTTAATCTGAATTACATTTGAGTCTGAAATCAATATTAGGTTGAATGGTGGGATACAATTAATTACCTGAAAGATTAAATGTTCAAAGTTTGGAAGCAGGAAGTGTTCCCACAATTTCAGATTATTTTTTATCATGTGTCATGGCTTCCAGGGGGGACGAATGAGAGTAAGAATCTGTCCTGCTGTCCTGCTGTCTTTCGAGTGGCTCAGTCCGCACAGCATGCAAGTAATGACATGATGTTACGTCAGTGGTGTCCTCCAGCCGTTGACGAGTACCGCATAATGAAGATGTATTCCTTCACGTCCATGCTGGTCAATGCAGTGCTTAAGGACAGCCAGTTGGAAGTAGAGTTTCCCTTCCGAGTGACAGAGTTGGAGCATGCGATCATCAACCTACAGCCCGAGCCGCCGTCCTCAATCTTGCTGCTCGGTCGAAGTGGAACAGGTAATCAAAAATCAAAGTCTTTCTACAAAATAAATATATATACCAGAGATACCGATACCATTCCTCCGGCCCTTTAGCTACAAGACCCCAACTGCAACACCATGTCTCAAGACATTCCAACGAGTCATCTATACCCAAGGACCATACCAGTACCCATCCAAAAGATTCCCCCACTTGTGAGTCTCCCATTGGCCATGTTCTCCTCTGCTGCCCTTCATTGCACTGACGACATCCCTCACTGACCAACCAACATTACTCGCTCCAAGTTTTGTCTTCGATGCTTCACTGCTTCCACTTCCTTCACACGTACGTAACCACCCATCTGATGAAATCGGGTAGAGTTTACTGTCTGACTGAAACATTGAGTTTCCTCGGCTGGTATCCTTTTGAGAACCACACAATATCCATAGCATAATACATTTGTTGATTTTTGTATTATTTTACACTTCTTGCATGTATTTGATTCCTGTTGCCTAATATTGCATATGCAATGGAAATAAATGTGATATTGAATTGAATTGAACTTACAACAGACATTTTCCTAGAATTGCTGACATTCCTGAGAGAACGATATATTTGTTTAACTTCGCAGATCTTATTACGGAACCTGCTCTGAATATCAATTTAACCATTAAAACAAGTCTTGTTAAATACCTTGGGATGCTATTTTCCCTTTGTAAAAGGAACAAAGACTGGCATGAAAAAAAAACCCAGAAGTTTTAAGCACTGTTAATACTTTCTGATAATTACTGAGATATTTAACATTTTTTGATGTAGGTAAAACTACATGCTGTCTTTATCGAATGTGGACGAGATTTGTCAGATATTGGCAAAATACTTCAGAGGGGCCATGTTGGATTCCCAGGGATTCTTTATTTACTCATCTGGAGATGGCAGAAGAAGATGGTAAATCAACTGTACGGTACTAATCTTGAAGGGGGACAGGGATAGGGTGGGGTTGGCGTGGAGTGTTTAAAACCCAGCTAAATCAACAAGGAATGATTGTCTCAGAATCGGAATTAAATGCACTGAGAATCAAGATTCATTTTTTTCTTCATAAGCAAATCACTCCTCATATGAGTCTAATCGCATAACTTGATCCAATTCCAGACTCTTCAAAGCATTAAAAATGTTTTCCAACACTTGTTGCTGCATTAATTCTGAGTCAAATTCCGAATGTAGGCGTATAGACTAGCTGACTTGTGATTATCATGTGAGCTGATTTATGATGACGTAATGACAACTTACAGAGACACATGCATCCATCAAGAAGGCTCTACCAAATATGGACCACCTTCACCAGATCTTCGTCACTAGGAGCCCAAAGTTGTGCGCCGAGGTCCAGCGAAGCTTCTGCAACATGGTTCGTGGCTGTCAATTTGCTGAGGAGCCCCTGTCCCAGCTAGACAGGCCAATGCCTCACCGGCTCCAGGATGTTCATCAGGCGCAGTTCCCCTTATTCCTGACCTCTCGCCAGCTCCTTCTACTTCTGGACGCTTCGTTGCCAAATCCCTTCTTTCCACGAGAAGCTGATGGCTCACTGGAATTGAATCAAGGTAACAAGTTTTGTCAATTTCAAAAGGAAATCCGGTGCATATTTTGTGTGCTTAACTTTAAATTCTGTGTAAAGTACAAGTGGTTCGCTCTACCTTCCTCAATCCTCCAAACATTTAGGGCTATTATTAAGTCCACTTTCCTCCAGCCACTTTCCTCCATTCTCAGCAGCATGCAACCATCCACATCGAAAGAAAGCAAACCGAAGAGGTCTGGTAGAGAAAACCAAGTTTGATCTACGGAGTGAGGTCACTTATGAGGTATTTGCCAAGGAGCTGTGGCCGTGTATCAACAAAAAAAAGTTGAAGTGTCACCCATCACTGGTGTGGACAGAAATTACATCGTTCATCAAGGGTAAATTCATAGCTGCATTTTTGTATGATTTTTGAATTTGACATTCGGTGCTGTAGTTGAGAATGGGTACAATGCCCAGCAGGCAATAACAGTAAAAAAAAAAAAAAAAAGGCAAAGAAAGAAAGAGGTACACTTGATTGTCCACTTGCTTTCAAAAAATGGAAAAAAGGCTCAGGTCCTGACTTACTTGAGCCCAAACTTTGGGTTCATGCATACTTTTTTTAAAGGTCGTAACAGCCCGAGACTGAAATCTGAACTTGTCGATTTCTGAGTGCGAGCTTTCTTTGTCCAAACTTAATTATATAAGTCCGAGATTTGGCATTATTATCAATTATATCACGTCTACCTTCTAGCTCTAGCTCATGTCAAGTCTGGACTGGAACTTGGAATTCCAGTTTGGGATTCAAAATGGCTTTTGTTAATCCTTGGAATTACACTTAGACTTGACTACAACACTGAATGTACGTATTTTTTTCTGTTCTGTTTTGTTGTAAAAGGGATTACTCAGAATGTAGCCATTCAAACGCAATTTCAAAGTTTGTAAATTTATGTTGATTCCGATCCTGTTGTATTGAAACTATTTACTGATGTTTTAGTTTTGGTTTCCATTACAGGATCATTTGAAACTATTTACTGATGTTTTAGTTTTGGTTTCCATTACAGGATCATTTGAGGCACTGCATTCAGAGACTGGCTTTCTATCCTTGGAGGAGTATTTGGATATTGGTAAGAAGATGGCCCCTAACTTCTCCACCGACAGGGAAGAAATCTACAACATCTTCAAGATGTACAAGGTATCTAACTCATGTGTTTCATTGTTTTCTTAAGTTGCTGCCTCGGGGCCTAAAAGTATCTGAGCTGCTTGTTGTTATCTGGACGTAAGTATTGCTTATAATATCGGATACAAAATAATGTTGTGAGTGAATGGTTGCGATGTTTTCAGTGTGTGTTCTATTTCTTAACCCAGCATGGAAACCAGCAGAAGAACCTCTTTGACGAAGGGGATCTCGTGTTTCATGTCTACCGTCGTTTGTGTGAGTTCCGGAGGCTGGAATGGGCTATCCATGAATTCTACGTTGATGAGACGCAAGATTTCACACAGGCTGAGTTATCGCTGTTGATACAGTGTGCACAGGATCCAAATTCACTTTTCTTGACAGGTGGGTAGCCAATTAGCAGGCAGAGCGTGGCTATAGCGCAAAACTTAAGAAGAAGAAATCTTTAGGCTGCAATAAACTCTTGCAATTTTGTTGTACAATCCTCAGTTTTTAAGTACTCATTCTAATTTGGTAATGCTGTAACGGACAGTTTATGCAGCACTTTTGTTGTCATTGCTTTCTTGCACTAGGGGCGGTGTAGCGTGAATATCCGACTCCATGAAATATGGACTCGTTGGTAGTATTGCGCATGCGTTTATTTGATAATAGCCTATTTATAGGCCCTATATAGGAGAGTGATTTGTCACGTGTGAGGGGTTAAACAATAATAGGGAAAAGCAGTCCGATTTCCACAGGAGTCGGATTTTCATATGACACCGGCTCCAGCGGTGGGCTCCGGTGGCGCGCACCTGAGCTGGTTTTTGGTCTGGCTAAGGTTGCTTTGTAAGACTAGCAGAGTTATTTTAGATTCCAGAGTTAGGTTGTTCGGTCTGTGTGTTTTCGCTGAATTAATAAGAGTTTCTCTTAAAGTTGGAAATCACTGGTGTGCGTCCCTTTTTCTTGCGTTTTGCTGGATTTGGAGGACAAGAACCCAATTGAAAACTATTTTACTGAATCCTAATCTCTGAACGGTTTTATTCGCTTATTAAATTCTCAAGTTCCTACCCTGAACAGTAATCCAAATTAACAATCTATGGCAGCCGATACTTAATGTAGTCCGGAATAGTAAACTAAACCAGATACTTTACTGGAATTTTTGGTGGATCTCAAGTAGTAAGAGTGAATGATAACTTGAAGGATGTTTCAGGCAGTACTGTAGAATGTTTAGCACCACCCCGACACCCAAGTTGAAGTATTTGTATCGATCCTAATGTCACTGATCTGACGCACCGTACTGACACAGCTGTTGATACTGAATCATACCGTCTCTGTTGAGGTTGGTTCCAGTACTTGTACAAGTTTGACGAAGTACAATACAATGAATCTTTAAACATTCTGTTGAAAGAGTTGAGGTCTAGTCGCAGTAAGCCTTTGTGCAAAAGCAAGTAAAAGCAATGATGCCAGTCACTTCTTTTGTACCAACTTTTTAGGAGACACTGCACAGAGCATTATGCGTGGGGTTGCTTTCCGATTTAAAGACCTGAAATCGCTCTTCTACTATGCGAATCAGTCTGTAAAGGTCCAAGGCAAGTCTTCAGCTGTAAGCGTACCAAAGAACGTCTATCACCTCACATACAACTATAGATCTCACTCTGGTAAGTTAAGGCCCTGTCACACTGTCTGCAATCTTATATGCGCTCTCACTGCGTCCTTGAAAAATAACAGTGGGGCGCAAAAACAACTACTAGATCGCAGCGACAACTATAGGTTGCCAGACGGGCGCCAGAGGGTCTTAATGGTCTCCGATGAGCGCCAAGGTCTTTGAACATGCTCAAATTAATCGCAACACCTCTGCGCCCTGGCCAGGACGCCGTAATGACGCATCTCGGGCGCTGTGCGAGCGTGAATCGTGCGACATTGAGGCAGCTTATAGGCGCAAGGCAGTCGACGTAGTCTCCATGAGAAAGTAACTCGACTGCGATGAACTTGTAGAATAATTTTGAAACCGGACTGTGTATTGACCGTTTTGTCGTGGTATTTAAACAGCGCAAGTGACGTCACATGAGCGTATTTTGGTCGAATAGAAAGCGCGACGCGAGCTTCTAGGACGTATCAACAGCGAGCAGAGAGTAGTGTGAGCGCAGTGACAGCGCAGCGGCAGCGACTAGATCGAGTAATTGAGCTTGATAGGGGCGCAGATGCAGAGTGAGTTGAGCGCATCGTAAGCTCGGGAAGAGCACAGTATGAGCGTAGCTTGAGCTTCTTTGAGACAGAAAGTTGTCATTTTCTTGCGTCCTCACTGCGATTGTTAATTTATGAAATATTTTTGGTCGCCGTAAGGTCTCCTATGAGATTGCATATAATGTGACTGGCCCTTTATAAGGTGCAATATGCTGTTGACTGAATAGACGCATTATGAAACTCATCATCTTGCTCAACAATGCAGCTGAATACAGTAGTTGTGTTTGAGCTGTCCTTTCTTGTTATTTCAGGCCAATGCAGTGCCTACACAGTTTGAGCATTACTCACAATGTCACTGCTGTTTACTTGTGCATCTTTAGTTTGTTGGCAATTTGGTAAGTGGGATACAATTAATGTTCCTGATCAATCTGCTTGTATATCTTCTTCCACCAAGGGATTCTAAATCTGGCAGCCACTGTTGTGGACATTCTGGGCCATTTTTTCCCTTTGTCCTTCGACCGTCTGTTGCCTGATCAGGGCCTGTTTGACGGCCCCCTCCCTGTAATCCTGGCTACCAGCAATGTCAATAACCTACCATCACTGCTGCAGAAATCGAAAAACCATGAAGAGACGTCCGGTATTGACTTTGGTGCCGACCAGGTGGGTAGAACAAATCCAGGAAAAAGACACAGATTAGCAAGAGATCATTTCCTTTCCATAATCATCCTATCCTCCCATTGAAAAAAAAATATACCCAAGAATTACTGATGAGAGATCAATTATTTGGATTCAAGTCTGCCAGCTCACTTGGGCAAACTCATTCCATAAGGACCGAGTGAGAATTAATTCCAAAATATCGCAAAATACGATCATATCTTGGGAATTTTTCTCCAGTATATTTTGTTGCGCCGCAGAAAAAAAAGAGTGCAACTGTATTTGAATATTCATATTCTGAATAGTTCTTTATCTTTACGAGGCTTTGCCGCTCCGTCTGCTTCTCATGGGCGAAAGCCCGCTTTGAGGGCGATCAACTATAATGAATGATGTCATGAACAATAACATGAACAATAACCATGAACAATAACCCGTAAACACACATGTACACATGTGTACACATACCTATTGCGCTTTATGGTATAGCGGTGATTTATGTACAACGAACATGATATTTACTTTCTTTAGTAACTAGTTTTGCCCTCCATGTCCTTGCATGAGCCTTGGAGAAATATCACTTTCTGTTAATTTTACAAACTAGTTATTATAATATGTAAATCACATTGGAAAACTCTGATTGTGTAGCTGTGAAATCACGTCTCTTTTTCAAATCTTACCTCAGAGAAATATTTGGATTAAGCCGTGCAGTTTTTAACCAGTAAATCTCTTCATAATATTCGTGCTTCAACAGGTAATCTTGGTTGCAAGTGCTTCGGTGAAACAGCAAGAGAAACTGGCGATGTTCGACAAGGGCATAGTCATGACCATAGAAGAAGCCAAGGGATTGGAGTTTAATGACGTCCTGCTGTACAATTTCTTCAAGGATTCAGGGGTAAGACTGCTTTGTATCCAAATATTTCCCCAACTTCTAGTTAGTGCTAGTAGTCGAAACGCCGAACTTGAATAGCGCATCCATTCAGACCCGTCGCTAAGATGGGGCCCGGAGGGGCTTGTGATGTGCCCCCTAGCTGATACTGTGCCCCCTAAAAATGTTCAGTTTACGGTATTACAAACTTTACACACACAACTAACATGAGTGTCCCACTTCAAGTTTTCTTGCACATTGATGCCTTTAACACTTTTGCTAGCATCCCCAATGAAAAAGTTATAGGCAACGCTGCAGGTAGTCATTGAAAACATGAAATCATGACCTGACAAAGTTTTACCAGGTGGTTGAGGTCCATACCTGTCTGTTCTGAATCATCACAAATTTGAGACAAAGTCATTTCATCTACATATTTATAATGAGTATTATGTATGAGTAACGTTTGAAACCAGAGACAAAGTCGTTAATCATGGTATAAAAAACTACCTTACTCCTTAGGCCTACCAAGCTTGGTGCCCTGTGGGCCCCCTGCGTCGGTCAATTCTAAGATTAAGATAACACCATTCAAACGAACAGCTTGTCTTCTATTATCAGATTGTGAAACCCTCCAAGGAATAATGGACGGTCTAACACCAAGGTCAATAAAGTTTTCTGTAACCATTTGGTAGTTAAGATCAAGAGCTTTACAGAAATCTATAGTTACTTAAAAAGAGAGGTTTGTTTAGGCTTATTAGTGGGGCAGATAGGGAAAATCTTTGAAGAATTGTACCTTTGATTATACAAATATGAAATTTGGCAGACAGTCAGAGTATGTTATGGGAAAGTTTTTGGCTATAGGGCCATCGCAAATTGTGCTTTGAAAAAATATAGGTAGAATAACAACCAATTTTCAAAATTTTCAAAATGGTTGCTATTGCTTGTTATTTTTTTTTCTAAAGGACAAATCTGCTTTGACCTACAGCAAAATTTCTTTCTCATGACATACTCGGACTGTGTGCAAATGCCATGCTTGTATCATTAAAGGCACAATTTCATCACCTGTCTGCCGTACTATATATTATATCGTCACCGTTTTCACGAAGAGGCGATTGTAGCATTTAACGGTCTTAACAAACATTCTAGAAAATCGCGTGTAACGTTGGTCCTATTTTTATTTAACAAATTGAAACGTAAGGATGCATAAAAATATGTGCCAGATTGATATCAAAGGAAAGAAGAGATTATAATCTTCTTAAATGTAGCAAACTTTAAGAAAGGTGTTTGGTTTTGCAGAATTAAGCAATTAAGAGAAGTGTCGTTCGTTTAAACGAAAACAATGATAAATTAGCCAATTTGCCCCTGTGGCTGTGAAATTTGTCCCTTCGTGAAAACGCTCCGAGTCAGTAGGCGCAGATTTTGCCCCACTGCGCCTTAAATTCACCCTTCGTGAAACGCTTAACCAATTTGCACATGGTCTTTATTGTATTACAATATATTTATTCACTGGAAATTCACCCAAACCATAGTATACTCAGGCTGTTTCGGGCACTAGTGAACGGTAGCATTAATAAGAAAATGTACTGCGATTTTGCCAAAAAAAAAAAAAAAAAAACTATCGTTTTTTCTAAATTTGCTGTTGGTGACTTTACTACTGGTATTTTCTCATCCCCTGCCTACCACAAACATTGCAGGGACACATATTTTTTGTTGTTAAATTTACTGTATTACAATATATTTACATTTGTGGCTAATGATAGATTTTTATGACATTCGAAACCTGTTTGGGCTACCACTTATTTATCCAATTTAAGGATAAAATCACAATGTATGCATGCTTAATATTTTACTTCCATTTCAGGCTGGCAACATGTGGCGAGTGATAACTGGTTACAAACCCGGTACCATTGGTGATCAGCAAAGAGAACACTTAGAAAAAACCGACCTACAGTGGCTCTGCTCGACAAATCCATCACGTCCTTTGGACTTCAATCCGGATGAACACAAGGTTTAGCGACGTCTCTTATTTTCTTGCTTAATAATCAAAAAACAAAACATGTCTTCACCGCACACGAAATCTTCACTGTTGAAATTTTGGACGTAATTGTTCCCTGCATATTTGTCAGCTCTGCCAATAAATTACTATTTCATTTAAAGGTAATTTTGACATCTTTACCAAGATTAGCCTAAGGGTTCAAGTCACACATGAATTTGGAGATACATCTCTAATGTTCATAGCAACTTAATTGTTTTGCCTCAGGGACAGTATACAGTGTTTTCGGTTTATTCTACGGATTGGATGAATCTGTTCATCAAGTTAGCATTTTAGCCATAGCTTCAAAGTAACCGCTGAGTTTTGTCTTCACGTGGTTAAGATGTTGCTGTATGCTTCATTAATTCCAAAGGTACTGAATTCAGAGCTGAAGCGTTTGTACACTGCCATCACGAGGGCACGGAATAATGTCTGGATCTTTGACGAGGACGAAAAGACGCCATTGCCGATGTTTGAGCTTTTTTGTTCCAACGGATTGGTGGAAGTGGCAAAACCTGAGGACGTAAAATCTGGTACTGATTTCCGAATAATCTTGCCATTATGTCACGTGGACGTTTTCCATGAGCAATGGCTAACGCTTTACGGACACACTATAGTTCGCACACGTACGGTGCTGAGCAGGCACTATTTATTTTAATCTGAATATCCACAGATAAAGCCCTTTCTAGACGCTGTGCTTTACTGCGGCCGCGCCGAACGAGTGTTCATCTACAGCACTACACTTACAATAAACGCCGAACGTGATAGTCGAACCTTAATGCATCTGGTGTAATGGTTCAGTTAAGCAGTTATAGCAGTTCAATTGGATGAACTTTCAGCGCGATTAAAATATTTACACCAATTTCACTCCCCGTGATGCGGACGCGAGAGAGGGTATCGTGAGCATCCCCATTCCTGAAACATTGGCCCCAACTTTGAATTAAACAATAATTGAGTTCGGCACAGCAATGGCACGGGTGCGTTTAGAACAGTGCCGTGCCACTGCCATGCGGATTGACGATAGCTTATTACCCTACCAGCTACGTCGCCCTAAACGCTGTGCCTATCGCCGTGCCGAGTTCAACGGTTCAAGTTAATTGAGTTCGGCACGGCGCGGCAGTAGCTCGGCGTCTAGAACGGGCCTGTGAGACCTTGTCTTTGCGTGAGCGAAAGGCGCAGCTATCGGCAATCCCTCCTGTGGTCCTCCGAACCTTTCCTTTTATAACCGTTCAGGGGTTACTGGTGCACGGAATCCATATGAAAGTTTCCATTAGACATCAAATATACAAAGTGCACTTCTCGTTTTAATTTGTGTTCAGCTAACTCTAAATTAAAAGGTGATCAGGGGCTCAGGGAACTTTGGACAGACCCAAAATCCAAGTTAGCGGGGAGTATATTGCTCCTCATTGCTGATTTCTGACCAAAAACAAATGAAGCATGCGATATTTGAAACTTGTCACCTCTACAAAAAAAATCACACAGTAGCGATGGTAATAGGTATCAAAACAGCATTCGAAACCAAATGTTATATTTACAGTTTAGTAGTTCGTAACTGTTAGGGCTTCAAGGTGATAATTATGTATAGCACAACATTCTTAAAGATAACGCTCGCTCCACATAATCCTAGGCGTACATGAACATATAATACTGATACATATAATTTCTCTCAGAGTCTTACACGGGATTTGTAAAACCATCATCGCCGTCTGAGTGGAAGGAAAGGGCCAAGTACTATACCGAGAAAGATAGTTTGGAGGCGGCAGAAAAGTGTGCAAAGCTTGCCGCCGATCAAGGTATAGTTTAAAAGATGATAAATATATATAGTGTATCAAAAAAAACTAAGCAGATGTAAATGCAAATAATAAAAAGTTCTAATAAATATTTTCAAAAAAGTTAGAGATCATGTGAAATACCAATGTGTCCTCTTTTCAATGATATATTGATTTTGTGTCCGTGGCCACGGATGACTGAGCTGCATTCATTGTTAATCTGTCAAGGGTCAAAACCTGCACTGGGCCAAGTTTGTGCAAAAGGGTATTCTGGGCATGTGCAACGGCTTAATAAAGGGAATATACAACATTTGCAAACATCAACAAATAAAACTACCAAGTTTTTTACGAAAAACCTTACTAGGATGTTGGTTAATGACAGTCTAAAGCATCCTGTAAAATTATGGCACCTGGTGTGAAGTCATTTTCAACTTAGAAATGGTATTTTTGTATAAATCTTCCCACACACAGAACAGCTCTGCACAAAGTCTACTCCATTTTTGCCTTTGCATAACAAACCAGCCAGCAATCTTATAACTTGGCCAAGTACAGGTTTTGACCCTTGACAGAAACAACGAAGGCTCAGTCATCCGAGGCCACAGACACGCAATCAAGGTATCATTGGAAAGAGGACGCATTGGCGTTTCACATTGATCTTTAACTTAGTTAAACATATTTATTCGACTTTTTATAATTACATCTGGGTTTCCTTTTTTTATACACCCCGTATAACCAGCTTGTCGGGCCCCTAACAAAAATATTTGTGTGGGCTTTGTTTTGCTTTGTAAAAAAGTTGTATATTCTTGAGCAATGTTATCTAGATATAATAATAAATAATACTAACATGGATAAAGTGGGCATACACCAGCAAAATCATGCTAATGGCACTACATCAGTATTAACCCTGCTCATCGGACCATGAGAGCATGTATTAGATCGTCCGTAGCGATCCAGTTAAACTTAGATGCCACTCAAGATTAGAAAAGAAAAAGACAAATAAACCAATGCCCAAGCAAACATTGTGATGAAACAGTACATTTTTGTGTCGTTCACATAATGTGGTCAGTTTTCTCAGAGATTTGTTGTTACTTTTACAATATACCAGTTTTTAAACCAATCTTTGCTTATGATGATCTTGTGTATATGTTATTATGTTCTTTGTTCAGAGGAAAAGGAGCGAATACGAGCCGAGAAAGCAGCAGCGGGTGAGACCAGGCTTGTTTCACACTACAATTATGTACTGAGGACAATTTAGCATTTAAATTTGTAGTTGAATTGAAATTGGGAACAGCTAAAAAGGACAAAATAAACTTTAACAAAAACAAAAGCTATTCCCAATTGACATTGGAAAAGCTAACAAATGCCAAACAAAAGGTGTTATGAAACAGTACATTTTTGTGTGGTTCACATAATGTGGTAAGTTTTCTCAGAGTTTTTCTGTTACCTTTACAATATACCAGTTTTAAAACCAATCTTTGCACATGATCTTGTGTGTATGTTATTATGTTCTTTGTTCAGAAAAGAGGCAGCAGGAGGAAGAGCAACGAGCCGAGAAAGCAGCAGCGGGTGAGACCAGGCTTGTTTCACAATTTAGTATTTAAATTTGTAGGGGGAGTATTAGTTTGAAGCACTTTTCAAAAGTTAACAAGGTATTTCTCTTCAAGTTCACATTAGCAGTCTTACAGTTTGATGTATGCTTTTTATCCTGAGCAGCTGAAAAGGCACGGGCAAGAAGGAGGGAAGTTAACCCCCTCCCAGGCGATTTTTTTCCCTAAACAACAGCCGCATGACATGGTTGTTGAGCGCTCTCTGCGACACTTTTATGATACGTACTCGGGTATATATTGCCATGAATTTCCAAGATTTGCCGAGCAGTTCGATAGCTTACTTGGTAGAGTCGTGGTTTTGTACCGCGAGGGATCCCCTGGATGTTTGTACAAAACACCATTTTACCATTTTTCTTTCTTTCATTATCGGAGGATTTGGTGGCATTTTTTGTTTCATCCGGAAATAAAGTCCGAGGTTCATTATGTTAGAATTCATTTCTTTTTTTTTTCTATTTTTTTACCTCATGTTTTTAACAGAAGTAAAGTCCAAAACGTCATAGCGTACACCATATGCGGATGTCGTTTGGGGAAAAAATCGCCCCCGGGAGCACATCGCGCCTTAGGCGAAGCCGAGGGTGCTGTGGCACTACATAGTTGGAGTGTAGTTGGAGTATTTGTTTGAAACAATTTGCAAAAAAAAAAGATCTTTCAAGTTCACAACATCAGTGTATAAGTTTGATGTCTACTTTTTGTCCTCAACAGTTGAAAAGAAGGAACAGGCAAGAAGGGAGGAAGAGGCTGGTAAGTCCCATTCTGAACTTTATTGCACTTGTAAAGAGAAATGTGGTAATTAGCAATTGCTGACTACTGTGTATATGCGTCCCCCCCCCCCCCCCCCAGCACGTCGCGCCTTAGGCGAAGCCTAAGGGAACTGGGACACTGCATCAGTATTACCCCCTGCTATCGGATCATGAAAACATGTACTACGTGTCAATAAAAACATTATCCTAAATAACTCTGTTGTTTACGAATGGAATTAAACAAAACATTAAGATCATGTAAATAAGCCGTGTCAAATTTTATGACGCGTCTTTTATAAGCTTCGTACAAGAGGGTGAGATTTAAACGCTATACGAAAAAAAAATACTCACTTTCAGAATCTGCCGTTTTCGACTTGGCATCCTCCAATGTCGATACAGCGCTGGAGACGGTGGCGGAAGGCGCGTGGTGTGGCCGAAGCTTCTGAAGGAATGTAGGATCACCCCTGATGTCATTACACACCTCCTCGATCGGTTGGCGCAACACACAATAGAGGAGGCGTGCAATGACACCAGGGGTTATCTTGCATACTTTTAGAAGCTTTCGGCCGCATCACGTGCCTCCCTCCGCCTCCGTCTTGAACAGCGAAGTATCGACATTCTGAGTGTTTAAGTGATTGTTTATCCCTCAGGCGTTTAAATCGCACCCTCTTGCACATAACTTAGCTAATGAAACTTGCTCCATAAAATTTGTCGAGCCTTGTTTACATGATCTGATATTTTGGTTCAATTCCATTGGTACAAACCGAGTTATTTCGATCAAAATTAATGTAAGACATGTTTTTTCTTACATTTAGTATAAGACACCGGTAGCGATCCAGATTATACTCAGATTACTTACATGTCACTCAAGATCAGAAAAGGCAAACACAAATAAACTAGAGGTGGTTGTAACTGAACAACCGCAAGGCTGTTCCCAAACTGTTTGGATGGTACAAAATGATTTGATGATTTATGAGCAAAGTCACTTTTCAAAATTAATTATATTCTTCAGTGATTGCACTTCCGGTAATACCGACGTAAGGGTCACATGACCTTAACATTCCAGCAAGCACACCTCTAGACCAATATAATGCAATGTGCAAAGAACGAGAATCATGTAAAATAATCCTAATGCTGAGATGTGGTGACCGCAAATATGCCTCATTAAATATTCATGACGTCATAAAATGAGACCAATAAACTGCACAGTATAATAATATTGTAATTTATTGCGTCATGATATTATAAGGTATTATATTATAAGGTATCAACCCGATCAAATTTATAATTCATTAGATATGATTATTAGGGTCTAAAATTTACACTTCCGGTAAAACCGGATGTGAGGGTCACATGACCTTGAAATTCCAGGAGGTGCATTTTCAGTGTAATATGAAGAATTGTGCAAAGATCTGGACTTATTGTTGAGATATGATTGCCACAAAAATGCCTCATTAAATATTCATGACGTCATAACATGAGAAAAATAAACTGCACAGTTATAATAATACATTAAATACTTTTTCAATATTGCTTCATACTATTTTAAGGCACCATCCCAATCAGATTTATAAGTCATGAGATATAATAATTAGGGTTTAATATTAACACTTCCGGTGACACCGGAAGTAGGGGTCACATAACCTTTACATATTCGTCTATAACTTTGCACTTCCTTGTCTATATACCTATATACCAAATTTGAGATTAATCGATGTAATAGTTCTATAGTTATAAGACTGTCAAAAGTGAACCTTTAAATAGATGTCACGTGACCCCGTTGACGTTACGATGACGAATTGTTTCGGCATACATGTTCATATGATGGTAATGACTATGTAGAGTTTAAAGTTGATCGTAAGTTGGGAAAACGTCCCAAAGTGACTTGAGGAATAAAAACATATGGGGAAAAGTGGAAGAGGAAAAAACCCAGAAAAAATAGAGGTGGCTGTAACTGAACAACCCAAAGCTGTTCCCAGAATGCTTTGAATATCCATTGGACGGTACAAAACAATTGAATGATGTTTACCAAAAAAATGTAACTATTCAAATTGATATTATAATCTTTAGTTATTACACTTCCGATAACACCGAAGGTAAGGAACACTTGACCTTGGCATTCAAGGAGGTGCATTTTCAGTTCAATGTGAGGAAATATGCAAAGAACTGGAATCATACCTTATCGTATTGTGGAGATATGGTGGCCACAAAGTTGCCTAATTAAATATTCATGACGTAATTACTGCATATAATATGCAATATATTCCGCTTTTTACGTTGCTTCACGAAATTATGCAAATGTAAGGTATTATCCCGATCAGATTTATAATTCATGATAATAAGGGTCTAAGATTAACACTTCTGGTAACATCTGAAGTAAGGGTCACATGACCTTGACATACCAGTTTCCATCTTCCCTAGTCCGGCAGCCAATATTTAAATATTCAAGATGGCGTCCAAGATGGCTGCCGCGAAGGACTAAAATTCAAAAAATCCAATTATTTTAACGTTTTCTGCCAGAAAACGATGATGTTTTAGAAAAGATATATGTTTTTGGGTCCGATTGATTTAATTTACATGTAAAAGGTTTGAGAAGTGTTCGATGTACCGTTGCTATGGTTACTAGCAATATGGTAACCATTAAGCTGGTTAAGGGCGTTAAAATGACGTAACTGCAATAACGTCTAAGATAACATGAATAGAACACTCTTTGTATGTCCTAGGTATATAATATTGACTAAAATAAATGACTGAAAGTAAACAAACTGTCACAGCATTAAGGATGAACACCATATAGAGCAATATAATTTGTTCCTGGATATTATCATTTAGGGCCGTACAAGATGACCACAGGAAATGCCTGATCAAAACTGACCAACAACCCTGGCCACCTACATGCACAAAACACTGAGCAGGCAAGGTTTGCACTGGTTCAACCATATCTTTGTGTCTTACAAGGGATCTCACTACTGCAAGAACATCTGACGAGTTTCAGTATATCGTCCGGTGTTAGGGTGTTACGGAGATGCCACTAGTGGGAAGAGTTGTTTGGCAAAGTGTTTGCAGCACTTTGCAAAAGTTTACAAGGTATTTTTCTTCAAGTTCACAACAGCAGTCTTACAGTTTGATGTATGCTTTATATCCTGAGCAGCTAAAAAGGAACAGGCAAGAAGGAGGAAAGCGGCTGGTAAGTCCCATTCTGATCTCATTACAACAGGTTAAGAGAAATGTGGTAATTAGCAATTGTTGACTAATGTGATGTGGTATAGGCGTTTTTACCCCCCCCCAGCACATTGCGCCTTAGTTGGAGTATAGTTGGAGTGTAGTTGAAGTATTAGTTTAAAACACTGTGCACAAGTTTACAAAGTTATTCCTCTTCAAGTTCACAACATCATTGTGAGAGTTTGATGTATGCTTTTTATCCTGAGCAGCTGAAATGGAAGAGGCAAGAAGGAGGGAAGCGGCTGGTAAGTCCCATTCTGATCTTAATATAACTTGTAAAGAGAAGTGTTGATGTGGAACATGGCGTTGTTTTACTCCACGGAGCGCATCGCACCTAGCTTATAGGCGAAGCCGAGAGTACTATTCGCCCCGAGGGTCGGAGTTAAAACAACATATCCCTCATCACAAGTCAACAATTACTTTGTTATATCGTAAAAGTAAAACGGAGAGGCTTGTTACATATGCAAGCAATGAATTTAATCACTCCGGTGTAACTTTTGATAACTGCAAGCTTTCCTGCCGGACATGAGACTGAACAATTAAAATAATGTTCTCAGTAGCGAGGTGCGTGCGCCTTACATGCGCGCGCAACGCAGAGGTAATATGCAACGAGGTGTACAAATATCCTATATTAAAAGATCATACGATGTCTGATGTCATGTCCTACATTTGATCCTGAATAACTCTGTTGTTTACGAATGGAATTAAACAAACATTAAATATCATGCAAACAAGGCATGCCAAATTTTATGGAGCGAACTTGGTATTAAATCTCTGGTTTTGATGAAGCCCAGGTCTCCCACTTTGTCCAAGAAGCCTTGTACTAAGTCGTGGTGGATTCGGCCTTTGCTGACATCAAGAGAGACGGCAGTGTGCTGTTTGCTAGTTCACGGAGGGATGAGTCGCGGAGGGTAGATGTATAGTTGTTCCACATTTCTGTAGAGGAAAAGTGAAAAGACCACCCAACAGTACGGGTAACAATGACGAACAAATACGTCTGTTTATAAACATATGTTCCTTCAAACAATGGAACGTTACCAAACATTTTCAAAGAGAATATTTTTCAGTGCCTGGATTTAAAGCGACAACTGTTGTGCAAATAGCCGCAAATCGGCAATTTTTTTGGCAACAAATAGCCGAATCGAAGAATAAAGTCATGTTGAGTCCTGTTAAGACTATTTAATGAGTATTATTTATGTATTTAATTTATTTGTTGATAGAAATATTTGTAAGTGATTTTTAATTATTTTTAATTGTTATCGGTTCGATGCCGAGTGTCGGCGTATATAACAGGTTTTGGCCTGCTACTCGGTGGCCACGAAAACCCCCCTTGGGGGAAACGTGGGTGCAACCCGGACCCTCGCCGGAGGTGCACTCCCCCTGAACTGATTTTCATTATTAATTAAGTTAATTTAAATGGGTTGGGAGCGGTGGGCAAGTCTGGTGTAGCAGGGTGTGTCTTCACCGAGAATGAATGCTTTGTTGTTGTTGTTGTTGATGTAGGTTAGACTGGTGCCTACAGCACTCGTGTGCCCTTTGCACCATTAACGTCACTGTGTAGCTAAGATACACTTTGTGTGTGCTTCGTCTACACATGGGGTTCGATGACTGATGAGTGAAAAGTCTCTGTGGTTTAGTTCAAGTGTGGGAAAAAGAGTCAGTACAAAAACGGATAAATCACAGGTAATGGCGGGGGAAGAGGAAGCACTTGTGATCCTCCGGACACAAAACGTCACAGGAGTCCTGCGAGGTCGGACCGTATGATCCCCCGCATTTTAAGGGCCCGGGCCCGGCTGCGCCTATGTTTTCCGTACCACACGCTGTTAGTTCGAAGTACATTGTGTTACAAGTCAGGTTCTCGCACTTTATTTTCCCTTAAAAAAAAAATCCTCCAAACCACATATTGGTAAAAGAAAAATGTTCCAAATGAATAACAAACCTTTTTAAGAGAAAAAAAAAATAAAGAAGAAGAAATTAAAAAAAGGTTCCACCGGGAATCGAACTCGCACCACCAGTTTTATAATTCATCATAGTATACAAATATTGAATGCTTCGAGTGGTGTAGTAAAACTAGCCTCCCAAGGTGATCCATGGACGAGGGAAAATAGAATGCTCCATGGATCACCGAGGGAGGCTAGTTTTACTTCACCACGAGACAAAGCATTCAATATTTGTTTTAGAACACTTCACCCACAGATTCTGCTTGGTTATAATATTTAAATTATTTAAATCTGAACACAGTTGAAATAAACCTCAATTTCAATGCAAAACTGGAGGAGAATGTATTTCTCTCTTCCAAACTACCCCTTCGCGAAATGTTTGAACCCAACTCTGTGGCGCGCTCTCTTTGGAACAAAACGCGCTGCGTGCAACACTCAACGCGCACACCAGCATGCATTTGCACACAAATACCGCAACGTGGAAATAGTACTTTGGTTGCTAATGGTATAGTACAATGTACTTTGGTGGCTGCGGGTATAGTACTTTTAGCGGTGCACAGAAAGATAGAAAAAATAGAAAGTTTCATGTGACTCGCTCTCGGCCAATCAAGACAAAGAATCTGTGGGGGAGGTGTTATAATATCCACTACACTATAAATCGAGCCACTACAGCAGTGGCTCGATCGATATAGTTGTTTTAAACATTATATTATTGCATATATAGCGACCTCCAGCATATTTCTATTTATAACACCTCACCCGCAGATTCTGTGTCTTGATTGGCCGAGAGCGAGTCACATGATACTTTCTAAGTTTGCTATCTTTCTGTGCACGGCCAAAAGTACTGTACCCATAGCAACCAAAGTTCTATCTATACCATTAGCAACCAAAGTTCTATTTCCACGGCGCGGTATTCGTGTGCAAATGCATACTGGTGTGCGCGTTGCGCGTTTTGTTCCAAAGAGAGCGCGCCACAGATTTGGGTTCAAACATTTCGCGAAGGGGTAGTTTGGAAGAGAGAAATAAATTTTCCACCAATTTTGTATTGAAATTGAAGTTTATTTCAACTGTGTTCAGATTTAAATAATTTAAAATATTAAAACTAAGCAGAATCTGAGGGTGAAGTGTTATAAAACAAATATTGAATGCTTTATCTCGTGGTGAAGTAAAACTAGCCTCCCTCGATGATTCATGGACCATTCTATTTTCCCTCGGCTTCGCCTCGGGAAAATAGAATGTCCATGGATCACCTCGGGAGGCTAGTTTTACTACACCACTCGAAGCATTCAATATTTGTATAATAGTGACTTTAGCTTAACTGGTATAGTGTTAAGTTACAAATAACCAACAATAGTTTTTGCTCATTTTGTGTTTTGGTTTGTCTTGTTGCCTCACACGGTTTTGACTTCAGAGACACCCAAAATTAAGGAGGATCACGGTAGACTATAGTTATATTTTAATGGAAAATGTCTAAAACTGTATTTGGTTTAGCAAAGGCAATTGATAACCCTCGTTAATATTAATCTATTTATCCTTAGGCAAAATCAGAAACATTCATCAACAGCAGGAAACAGTGAGAGAGAAAGTAATGCAGGTAGCCGAATTGTTTCGACGGCAGACATTTCGACGGCAGCCACCCCGGTACCGGATCACATTAAACCGGTCAGTTCACCAGTAGACTTAAGTGTAAATGAGGGCATTTGGGCCCGGGGGGGGGGGGGGTCATTGTCTGGGGGGGGGGGCATTATATTAAGTGGGGTTGGTCAGTTTCAAATAATCCAAACTGAGCGGGGTCCTCGGGTACCGGTGTGAACGTGCCAGACATGTATGACTCGTGACTCGGACTCGGACTCGAGTCCCATTTTCCGTGACTCGGACTCTGACTCGAGTCGCGATGACAAATGACTCGGACTCGGACTTCAGAACCTTGAATAGGAAAATTAACGTGCAAAATGTTAACATGAAAGTATTTTTGGTTCACGGATTTCTTAAGAAAATCACCCCGAGAATTGACCGTATTTGGTTCGTTCGGTTTTTTTATTCGATCGACAGCTAGGCTATAACAAAACACAGCAAACCGAATAACATTTTGCCTTATCTGCAGCATAAGTTGCAAATGATTATGTTTCCACAAACTGACTTGAATTAATCCAGTCTCACAAAAAAATGTCTCTTTAAATAGATTTAAGTCTGTATTGACAGATTCCAAAAGGTTTTTTAAGGCAATTTCTCTTGCTGTCAGATTAACTAAGAATATCCAAAAATCAAATGCATCTCTAAAAACAAAAAACCCAAAAATCAGCTTAAACTAATGCTGTACAAAACACAATAGCATTAAATGTACATTGTTTTCAGTCACAGGTAATGGTCAAGAACAACATACTTGTCCAAAATGCATTGAGATCTCCGGATACATCAATGAACTGATTATACTTACTTGTTTTGCAAGACTCTTCTGTCACTGAGCGTGTGCTATAAAGCAAACTGTAAAAAAGTAAAAAGTCACTTTTATTTGACGTAAAACGTTAAACCTACAACGAAAATACAGTAGCAAGATCATGGCTGAACAAACAATAAGACATAAACTGTATATTTTGCACGCTCTTCTTCAAGTAAGTGTTCTGCCCGGCCGGGTCACTGAATGGAACACTTTACTGCCGTGATGTCCCCCATTTCTTTGATACTGTAACGAAACATTGGACAGAGTGCCAGTCTAGGGTACTGGTGCCCGCATCGATGGTCTCCGCGCTTCTACAGTTAATGCGCACACGCGCTGCCCGCGGGTATAAAAGGGTGCGTCAGCCGCGCGCGTGACACGTAGGCTGTGTCCGAATTACCGGCTTCGGCTGCGGCTTCGGCTGTTGCTACGGTGTTGCTAAGGGCGGCCATTTTCTAGACGTGTCCGAATTGTTGGCTGCGGCTGCGGCTGCGGCTTCAACGTCACAAATTTCAAGCCACAAGATCAAGAAGAGTTGACTTTGGCATAAAACAAAATGGCGACGAAAACTCCTTACGTCAGTATTAACGACGCTACTACTACTCGCTTCTGCTGGGGGAGAACCATCTTTTTAAGTGTAAGTAGCCTAGAGCAATGGAATTTTTAATACTTTCTGTCATTTGTAGCAATAATGGTTCTACATTCATGACGGCTTGTAGCCTACATTTGAAATTTAGGGCCTATTTTGGCAACGTACCGTGTGTACACGGCGCCGGCGCCGCGGTACGTCCCTGCATTCTGTGTGCATATTTACAATAGGCTGTGTACACAAAGAGGAGGGGGGGGGGACATTATTTTAGGCACAAACATTAATTTTAACAATTTTGGAAACAACGTTGAAATCTGACGCTACTTCAGCGGTTGTGTAGGCCTACACAGTGTAGGGTTCAAATTCTATTTCCCCACATTTTGCCACAGGCCGCCGATTTCCAATAACGCGATCTCAATCGGACCTATAGTTTCTAGAATTATCGATGCTAGAAACCTGCCTATATGAGTAACAGTTGGTTTATTGTTCATACTGCAGGTGTCATTACATACCTCAGAACAGGCATCACAGATGTACATGTAGATTCAACTTAGAAAATGAACAACTCCATGAAAATGAGAGAGAACAATAGAGAACGGTAAAAGAAAATTGTTGTCTAGCTGGCCGTGGCGAACGAACTGAAAACAAGTAGTTGCCACGCGTAACATTTGAAACTGATTAAGAACGCGTAAGTGCGCGCAGTACGCAAACCAGAAGCGCGCAGAAGACTGGCCTCAACATTCCAGCCCCTTAATTGTTATGTAACGAACATACAATTACCTCAAATCATGAAAACTATAAAAGACTCAGGCACTAATTTAAACGCACTTTTAAAAATAGAACTAGTTGCAGCAATCGTTTCTGCTTTAAAGAGAAACCTGTAGAATACTAGATGCTTGTCAACCGAAGCACTGAATACAGAGTGCACACAGGTGTAACTCCAGCAAATGGTGTCTATTCATGCATCCCTGTAGCAATAAGAATAAAGACTCATCAAACAAGTTTATAAGTTATCATAACAACAGTCTTTGCATGCTTCACAAGAAAAGCTTTAAGAAAGTGAGATTTCATCAAAACAAAAAGGACACATCTAACAACTTGGAAAAAGGCAAACACTTGTACTAAGTAGAACAATGTCTTTTCAACAAGTAGAGTATAACTGTACAGCGTATGCTGAACATTCTTAAAATTACTTTAAAAGACATAACATTCACGGAGACTTCCATTAGGATGAGTACACTTCGTCGAATGTCCGGAATCGTCTTGCGATGATTTCAAGTAGAGTTTGGCTTCAGAACCTGCAGCTCCATCCGCGAAGACTAAATCTCACTGCATCGAACTGACAGGTGTTCCAGGTGAAATGGTGGCTGTAGAACATTGAAGGTCTCCATTGTGAAGATCCACTGTCTGGTTGGTATCCTTAAGCAACAGCTTGAAAGGACCCTTAAAGTCAGTCTTGCTTTTAATCTGACTTGGGTTCCCAGCAACCCATCCCAACTCTAGGGTAAACCCTGCAGTTAGGTGTCCCAGTTTAGACGCCGGGGACTCGTCTCTTCAAAGTGTCTATAACTGTTGTGCATTACACAATGGCTCATTGTGATCCTTCAGAACTGAAGTTTCTTGCTCAAGGAGAAGGCAAAGCTTCGTGACCGGTCTCACCAGAAGAGCCGTTCTTGTTTTTACCTCAGCACTCCTGATCAATCCATTCTTGTCAGGAAAGGTTTTTTCCACTATTCCAAGGGGCCACGAACTGCGCGGTGCTTGATTGTCAGCAACTAACACCACATCACCAGGGTGTAGGTTCCTCTGAGGGTACAACCATTTTTGGCGCTGTTGAAGATCCATCAGGTATTCTCTAGACCATCGCTTCCAGAACAGATCTGCCAAATACTGCATTTGGCGCCATCGCCTCTTCGCATACTGATCTTTCTCTGAGAAAACACCAGGTGGTGCGACGTATAGACTGCTCGGTCTCAGCAAGAGCAAATCATTGGGAGTGATGGCGTTCAAATCCTTAGGATCATCAGACGCATGGGTTAACGGTCTACTGTTAATTGTGTACTCAACTTCACACATCAAGGTCCTGAGCTGTTCCTCATCTCTACACACTCTCATATGCTGCTCATTCAACATGGCTTGTAGTATCTTCCGAATGGTACGGATTTGGCGTTCCCAGATGCCGCCAAAGTGTGAAGCTGCTGGCGGGTTGAACTTCCAGGTGATACCACGATCAGTTGTGAATTTCTCGAGAGTTTCATGATTCCACTCGCTCATCGCCTTTTTCAACTCTGCATGAGCACCCACGAGGTTGGTACCATTGTCGGAAATCAACTCTTTTATATTTCCTCTTCTGGCAATGAAGCGTCTCACTGCATTTATGCACGAGCTTGTGTCTAGGCTCTCTGCAATCTCAATGTGAACTGCTCGGCTGGTCGAGCAGGTAAATACTACTCCATACCGCTTCTTTATGTTGCGGCCCTGCTTGATATTGAAGGGGCCAAAGTAATCTATTCCGGTGCTAGTGAAGGCTGGCTTCTCAGATAGCAGCCTGTTAGCGGGTAAGTTTGCCATCTTCTGCTGACCCAATTTAGCTTGGACTTTCTTGCAAATCACGCACCTCTTCAACACACTCTTCAAAACCACTCCTGCCTTCAAAATCCAATATCTCCGGCGCAGCTCTGCAAGTACATGATTTCTGCCTTGGTGGTGAATCTTTTGGTGTGTATGTTGCATAATCAGGTCTGTCACGTGGCACCTTTGTGGCAGGATTATCTGATGCTTGGCTTCCTCTGGGAGTTGAGCGGCTTGTAACCTACCGCCGACCCTCATCAAGCTCTTGTGCATCACTGGGTCTAACTGGTCTAACAGCTTATCCACTTTCTGCTGTTTTGGAGATTCCCTTGTGAGATCTTGAGGGCCATCATTCATTTCTTGAAGCCTCTTTATCTGGTGAGGAAATGCCTCATGTTGAACCCATCTCAAGATACTCACTTCAGCTTCTTCTATTTCTTCCACTGTGAGGTTGTTCACAGCGTCATGTTTGAATTCTTCTTTGCTTCTCTTTCTCAGGATTCTCTTTAACCGTAGCCACCATGCTGCAGCTCTCCTCAGACGATTCCAATCTGAGTAGTATTCTATCAGCTTCTTAACTGCATTTGACCGACTCAGCAGATTTTCAATCGGAACCGCCGCCATGACACGCTTTACTTCTGGGTCCCGATCTACTTCTGGCTCCTCGGTCACGCAAGTTGAAGGCCAATCTGCTTCTGCATGCCAGAGAAACTCTGGTCCTCGGAACCATCTCCTATTGGCAATGAACTTGTCGATGGGAAGTCCCCTTGAACAGTCGTCTGCTGGATTCTGTTCTGATCTCACATACTTACACTGACATGGATGAGAACTGTCCCTTATCACTGTAAGTCGATTAGCCACGAAAGACTTGAACCTTGTCGTCTCATTGCAGATATACTTGATGACGGTCATACTGTCTGTCCAGAAGAAAGTCTGGTCAACAGGGATCTCCAGCTCTCTAACTATCGAGTTGTGTACTCTCACTGCTACAGTGGCTGCTGTAAGTTCAAGTCTGGGTATGGATTGCTGCTTCAACGGGGTCACTCTTGATTTGGATGTAACAAAGGAGCAATGAACATCTCCATATCTGTTCTGTAGTCTCAGGTAGCTGACGACGCCATACCCTTTCTCACTGGCATCGGCAAAGTGATGGATCTGCACACTAACAGGATCCTGAAAGCCTTCAGGCTTGAAGCATCTATCTACTGAGATGCATTCTAGTTTGGGTAGGTCCATCAGCCAAAGGTTCCATTTGTGCAGGTGTTCTTGAGGAATCTTCTCATCCCAGTTCAACTTCAATCTGCATAGATCCTGAAGCAGCAACTTGGCAGGCATAATGGCAGCACTGACCATTCCCAACGGATCATAAACTGAACTCACAATGGATAGTATACCACGACGTGTGGGTTCACGATCTTTCACATTGATCTCGAAGCCGAAGGTGTCGCTCTCCATACACCACAAGACTCCGAGAGTTTTATCTGGTGGAAGAACATCTTGATCAATCTGCAGGCCTTTTACCTCCTTAGACCATTCTTCCCTAGGAATCGACCGTAAGACTTCTCGCTGATTGCTGACCCACTTGGTGAGTCTGAATCCACCCTCAGCTAACAGGTCTGTCACTTCCCTCGAGATGACCTTGGCCTCTTCTTTATCTGGTACTGACTTGCAAAAGTCATCGACGTAGAAATTCTTCCTGACAGCATTCGTAACTTCCGAGCGATAGCGCTGTTCGTTGTCTGTAGCTGTCCTACGTAGTGCATAATTGGCACAGCTGGGAGACGATGCTGCACCAAAGACGTGCACTGTCATTCTATACTCTTCTAATTCACGACTCAGATCTCCACCTGGCCACCATAGGAATCTTAGGAGATCTCTATCTTCCGATCTCACCCTCACTTGGTAGAACATTGCCTCAATGTCAGCTTTGACGGCAACTGGTTCTTGTCTGAATCTCATCAGCACACCTGTGAGACCATTGGTCATGTCTGGCCCTTGTAACAGCTGTCGGTTCAGGGAAACACCACCATACTCTGCGGCGCAGTCGTACACCACTCTCATCTTCTGCTTCTGAACTTGGTAAACACCGTGATGTGGGATGAACCAGACTTTACCATCACTTCTGAACTTCTGGCTGTCGGGAACCTTTTCAACATAACCCTTGCCTATGGTATCTTCCATAGCTTGCACATATTTCTCTTTGAACTCTTGGTTCTTATCGAACTTCCGCTTCAGTTAAACAGCTCTCTTTTCTGCCAGCGAGCGGTTGTCAGGCATTCTTACTGTGGGTCGCTGTAGTGGTAGTGCCATCTGATAGTGACCGCCTTGAAACTCTGTAGTTTCTTTGACAATGTCTAAGAAGCGCATGTCTTCCTTTGACAGTGCACTTTCATCTTGGCTTTCACCCAACCTTTCATTGAAGTCTAAGTTCATGTAGTGCTTGTATTGATCTTCCAGGTTGGTCAAGCCATCTAGTACGTTGATGTAGTTCGCATCAAGTTGGGATTTGGGTCTGCCGGGCACTCCATAGATGACCCATCCCACAGGGGTCTTAACACCATAAGGATCTCCCGAGTTGCCTCTGATGACCTCAATTGGTGTTGTAGCAGCTGGTACGTTCATACCTATGATTAGGGTTACCCTTGGAATCGCTGGGCTGCACAGTTGTGGTAGTTGTATGTGTGACAGGTGGGTCCATCCCTGCAGATCATCTTTCGTTACCATGTCTTCTGGCGACACAGGAATGTCATTCTTGACATACACATCAGGTAGGTCGATGAAGCTGTTCTCCTCTATCATCCCTCCCAACTGGAGTCTATCTATCACGATAGCAGAGTCGACAACTTCTTCTGAATTCAAGGTTTTCAGTATTATACTTCTCTTCCTTGTTCTCACCTTCAGTGCTCTGCAAATCTCGCTGTCTGCGAAAACTGCTCCACATCCGTTGTCTAGAAATGCGTACGTGGCAATGCATTCATGACTTGAAGATGCCTTTACTAAGACGGGTACGATAGCCATTCGAGGACTGCCAGATGCGTGCAAATTCGCCCCAGCCCCTAGTACACCTGCACACCCCGTTGTAACTTGGGTCTGAGAGTTCTGCGCTGGGTGGGACGTCTTAGTGATTTTCTCATCATTATGCAGAACTGTTGGATGGTTGCCTGGACATTTGCTGCATTTACTTAACTCTCTCTGTTTACAGCTTGATTTCGTATGACCGACCCCCAGGCAGCCAAAACACAATCCGTGTTTGAAACAGAATGACGACTTGTCCTTCCAACTCAGCTGCGCGAATTTCATGCATTCTAATGTAGCGTGATGGGAGTTACCGCCACAGAATTGACAAGACTTCTTCTGCCTTGCTTTCTCTGCATGGCTATTCACAGCGGTGCCAAATGCCTCTTTCTTGACTTGAACTCTTTTGTTCTTCTCTCCAATGTTATTCTTGCCTAGGTGGGGAGTCTCACGTAGCCTTCCAAACGTTGGGTTGGAGAGTATCTGAGAGTGTCGATCTACGAAACTCACCAGATCGTCCAGGACAATGCATCTCTTTTTCTCTTCTTCCACTTCATACACTTTGTTTCTCCACATGCTGCGCAGTCTGTACGGAAGTTTCTCGACCAACATCTGGATGCTCTGGGTGTGGTTTAATTCACTGAGAGCGCTGACAGACTTTGTCATGTTCTTGCACTCCGATAAGAATATCGAAAACTTATTCAGGCCGGTAGCATCTTCTGCTCTGATGTCAGGCCAATTATTGGCTTTGTTTAAAACCGCTTGAGCAATCTTGTGACTGTTGCCGTATCTTTTGGCTAGCAACTCTTTAGCCTTGCTGTAGCCCTCTTCAGCATCATGGTAATGTAAACAACTGCTTACCAGAGTGTTGGGCTCTCCGGAGGTATATTGGCAAAGATAATTCAGTCTATCTCTACCGTCTGTGGTCTTGTCTTCGACACCGAACTCAAAGGACTTGACGAATCTTGTGTACTTCAGTGTATCACCATTGAAGGTTTCTATCTGTTGTGCTGGTAACGCAGCTCTAACTTGTTGCTTGATCAAAAGTTGCGTCAGCTCACCGATATCGGAAATGGGCTGCAAATGTGGTTGATACCGTTGTGCTGTAGTTGGCTCAGGCACATGGTGATCCAGCTGAGCACAATCTTTGTGTAGCTGGCCTATATTCACCTGCGGAGTCAATTCTGGCATCCGGTTTTCGACTTCATCTACTTTAACTTGAAAGTCTTGCGGTATCGACCAAGGATTTTCAATCTTGTTGGGCTCTTCATTTGAAGAGACCTTTTCAGATGCTCCAGCTTCAATTCTATCACCCAACACAGAACTTGCACATGCCGCCGGATGAGGAATTTCGTCGGGCAACTTGAATCTGATTTTCTGATCAAACTCATCTTCATATTGCTCTATAGCACTAATGCTGGCTTCAGAAACTTCTATTTCTACCTGCAGGTCGAAGTTTTCCCTTTCTCTCTGCAGTCTAAATTCTTCCTGTTGCCTAGCTTGTTGCACAGCAAGATGTCTAGATTCTAATTCTTGTTTCTTTGTCAGTAGACGTTGCCTACATAACAGTTCAGCTCGTTTTGCGGCTGCTTTCACATGAACTGTACTTGATGTTCGGTTACTCATGGGTGAAATTTGAGAAACACTATCTTTGGCATCCATCATTCTTTGATGTTCTCCGACGTGAAATATAACAGAAATGATATTACGGCATCATAAAACCGGTAGGTAAATATATAGCGCCCTCTATGGCGACATCATCACTGAGGCAAGACGATTTATCGATGCCCGAAATTGTCCGGTACGGGTGAAGAAATACAGGGAACCCGCAGTAATTCTACTTCAAAGTTCTATAGCTACACTCTACAAATGTTCACGAAGAAACTGGGTAGCACATTCAGTAGATCTACAGTTCATAATCAATTTTCTTTTACTAAAATGTAGGGTTCAAATTCTATTTCCCCACATTTTGCCACAGGCCGCCGATTTCCAATAACGCGATCTCAATCGGACCTATAGTTTCTAGAATTATCGATGCTAGAAACCTGTCTATATGAGTAACAGTTGGTTTATTGTTCATACTGCAGGTGTCATTACATACCTCAGAACAGGCATCACAGATGTACATGTAGATTCAACTTAGAAAATGAACAACTCCATGAAAATGAGAGAGAACAATAGAGAACGGTAAAAGAAAATTGATGTCTAGCTGGCCGTGGCGAACGAACTGAAAACAAGTAGTTGCCACGCGTAACATTTGAAACTGATTAAGAACGCGTAAGTGCGCGCAGTACGCAAACCAGAAGCGCGCAGAAGACTGGCCTCAACAACAGTCATGATTATGTCTAGTATGGTCTGAAGAACATTTTCTAAGTAACTTAGCTAGTTTAAGCCAGGTTTTGGCTAGGCCCATTTCCTGACAAAATTGGAAATGTTTCTCCATCTCAGATTTTTGTCTTAGTACTCTTGTCATCATTTTTGCAATGACTGACGTTCATTGAATATGAAGAAAAAAGCAGCATCAGAATGCAACATTCTTTCCACAATTTTTAACATTGACGTGTAGGCCTAGCCTACCTGCTGATATGCCCTAATTATCACGATTATCATATTTATGAATTACTGATGTGACTGTTTTCCAAATCCAGTGATCAGTAATCTTTAGAACCCCATTCCTATAAGCAAATAAGGTTGCAAGACTCAACAAAACACTGTTAGACCATGGTTTGACATTCAGCTTAAAAAAAAATATGACACTTCAAAGTGATATTGTGATATTTCTTGACACATTTGCAAGGTTGACACCTCCTTGAATATTAGCAGGTTGAATTTGGGGAATCGGTCAGGATTGGACCTCAAGCAGCACTAGGGGCACTCTAAATTTTTTAAAATTTAATTTTCAGTGCAGGAAATGGGGACGTACATGTACATCTATATTGTATTTAAAACAGTCGTTTTCATTTGTTCTCCACTTGGAATAAAAAAAAAATCATTTCTCCAGATCTTTTTGCTGATAATTTGAACTTTCATTGCCAACTGGTGAGGCTCTACAACTGCAAAAAAAAATGGTCGGGGAAAGTGTCAACCCCTACCCCCTCCCCAAGATTCCCCTCTAAACCTTGCATCATCAGTCTCTGGCAGTCTCCACCAGGTGCACCATGCCAAACTTAAAGGCATTACTTGAACTCATTGTCTTTATCAAATAATTACGACCAATACCCCTTGCAAGAATTGTTTTAACATTTATGAAGCACTAAAAAGGGTTTCAAAGCTGAGTCATGCTTTATAATTGCATTTTGCCAATTATCAGTAACCAAGCCTTTTCCTGTACTATTTACTGAATTATTTTTGTCTAAAAAGATTGATGACTTGAATAATCCATGCCCTGTTTCTACTTTTCTCTCCAGGCATTAAAGCATCCTCCCATAGGAACAGGGATGGAAAGCAGTGACACACTATGTAGACCCATCTTCTGGTCTTTTTAAGGATGTGGACAAGATTCTTGGTGAGCATCCCATGATGACCCCGCCATGCCTGGTATCATCCCTTGATGAAGAATTCCCAGACAAAGAAGCAGCATTTGGCGAAAGTGGCCCTGACCATGGAGCTCCATGCCATGGCCCACCACAAGAAAAGACGAAAAGTTATCAGCTGATTAATTTGATCAGTGAACAAAATGGAAGGCTGAGGGACTAGGAAACTAACTATGCTCTTTACTCAACTCAAAACCAGTCCTTCTTGTTCTTGTTTGGAAGGCTTCTTACTGCCAAACTATCATAGAAATAAGTAAATATTCATAATTATTTGATAATTTAACTTTTGCTTTCATTGGTTCATTGATATTTCAATTTATAACAGTAAGACAATGAGCACACTCTGCACGAATGTTTTAATAAGCAGAATTTGGGGTTCTTTGAAGAGTGTGTTCCGACAGTGACATCACGGCAACAGCACCCTCAGTTGTCTGGAAAAACATGAAACATTTTAAAGGTTAAAAAAGTGCGCCTCGAAAAACAGTTTTACTAAAAAGGGATATGTCTCATACTTTTTTTTTAATACATTTCAGAGGAATCGGTGTTTGCTAATATGCTCCAGTGTAATATTAGTTTCTTGGACCCTTTGTTTTTAATTTCGTGTAAGAATTGTTTTAACATTTATGAAGCACTAAAAAGGGTTTCAAAGCTGAGTCATGCTTTATAATTGCATTTTGCCAATTATCAGTAACCAAGCCTTTTCCTGTACTATTTACTGAATTATTTTTGTCTAAAAAGATTGATGACTTGAATAATCCATGCCCTGTTTCTACTTTTCTCTCCAGGCATTAAAGCATCCTCCCATAGGAACAGGGATGGAAAGCAGTGACACACTATGTAGACCCATCTTCTGGTCTTTTTAAGGATGTGGACAAGATTCTTGGTGAGCATCCCATGATGACCCCGCCATGCCTGGTATCATCCCTTGATGAAGAATTCCCAGACAAAGAAGCAGCATTTGGCGAAAGTGGCCCTGACCATGGAGCTCCATGCCATGGCCCACCACAAGAAAAGACGAAAAGTTATCAGCTGATTAATTTGATCAGTGAACAAAATGGAAGGCTGAGGGACTAGGAAACTAACTATGCTCTTTACTCAACTCAAAACCAGTCCTTCTTGTTCTTGTTTGGAAGGCTTCTTACTGCCAAACTATCATAGAAATAAGTAAATATTCATAATTATTTGATAATTTAACTTTTGCTTTCATTGGTTCATTGATATTTCAATTTATAACAGTAAGACAATGAGCACACTCTGCACGAATGTTTTAATAAGCAGAATTTGGGGTTCTTTGAAGAGTGTGTTCCGACAGTGACATCACGGCAACAGCACCCTCAGTTGTCTGGAAAAACATGAAACATTTTAAAGGTTAAAAAAGTGCGCCTCGAAAAACAGTTTTACTAAAAAGGGATATGTCTCATACCTTTTTTTTTTAAATACATTTCAGAGGAATCGGTGTTTGCTAATATGCTCCAGTGTAATATTAGTTTCTTGGACCCTTTGTTTTTAATTTCAAGCAATAGATCTGTTGCAATGCAGCCATCTTTGAGGTGCATAATTTGGTTCTACAGTGATCTGCATGGGTAAAAAACCCTCAAGATGGCTGCTGAAGGAAAAAGGTCTTTTAAGAGCAGACCATCAAAACTTGGCCCTCAAGGACATCAAGAATGGCTGCAGTTTTAATAACTGCCACTATAGTTAGCAAGGCAAATGCATTTAAATGTTCTAAAAAAAAAAATTATCTGGACATTATACCCATCTATAATTACTATGTACTATTGCTCAGCTGGAATAATTTTATTGATTGTACATAATAATATAATTACTTCAAATATTTGTTTTCTTGTTTAATACCACATTAAAGAAAACTGTTGACATTGAATATTTTTTGGCAGTTACTGACCTCTTGATACCGGCCCATCCCTCCCCCTTTGTAGATTTGAAAATGTTCAGATTTTCCCCCACTTTGTGTCCATCCCAGACTCAAAACCTGCATACGCCAATGTTCGGCCCAAGAAGCCCAAGAGTCTTTGATTTCAAGGATGTGTCTGAGCAATTTCTCTGGTGATTTCCTGCTCCATATCAAGCCGCAAAAGTTGCCATAAAATTTGTTCTTTTGCGTTATTTTTTTTGCATACATATATTTCTTTGAGTTTATACATCCTTTCGGCCCATCAATGAGCCAACAACACAAATACAACTAAGGGACTAGAGAATGCACGGGACGGACGCGTCGACGAACTTGAAAGGTCCACTAATTATACAACCTGCAGGCGCGCCGGCTGGCCTGGCTACAAATTGGTTTTAAATGAACGATTGAGGGCGCGGCGCGGCCGCAGCCGCGTCCGAATGATCCATTGGCTGCGTGCGTTTAGCCGCGTCCACAGCCGCAGACGCAGCCAGCAGCCACAGCCGAAACATTCGGACGCAGCATATCTCACTCAGTCAGTCACAAGTGGGGTCGCGAGCAGAAGCGCATGACACAAGTTAGTTCTTGAGTGAGTCGTCAGTCAGTTGCATTCAGGTCTGACAGCGCTGCGATTGGTTATCCGCTAGCGAGTTAATCCAGAAGAGGGAACCACCGGACGGGCTGCCTTTACATCACTAGTTGGTGAGTTAACTGGCCAGGAAGAGTTAGAATAAGCAGCCAACATTGTGTTTCCATTAGAGTAAGCGATAGACGCCTATATAGGAGTCGCCTGTTAAGGCGCAAACAATAAATCACCATTGTTCAGTTATATAAAGAGGACTGTGACTTAATCATTGTCTCCTGTGAGTTATTGAGCCTAATAGGGTGAGAGTGATTGAGTGCGAGTGTCTCTGGTCCACTGCAATGTCTGGGGGTATACTTCCTCTAAACGAAGTAACGTCCCGGGTTTCCCGGTAACCGCTCGTCGGGAAAGCCTTATCCTGTCGGCGTCCGTCCGGCGGCATCTCCCGGCGGGAGGCAGGGACGAAAGGTCGGCGGACCGCTTCAAATTTGGTGTCAGAGGTGGGATTGGCGTTGCAGTGACATCAGTCACCATCAATCATCTGTAGAGTGTGAAGGAGTACTTCACCTACCTAGGCGTCATGGCTGTCAGCCTCATTGATTTTGATGGCGATTTGTCAGAGGTCGACCAGATTGAC